CCCCCCCCCCCCCCCCCCCCCCCAGAATGGCATGGACGTGTTCATGTACCGGTTCGGTCCGTAGAATGTAGCCGTATAATTATAACTGCGACCATCGAACGTGGAGCTTCCACTTGTCGTATACCCTTCAGTGACCACTGGCGAACAAGACATGATCTTTCTGTAAAGAATCGTGTCTGATGATTTGCTATTGATACCAAAATCATCACGAGAGTGCAAGAAACCAGTATCGAGTAGTAGAGATCCATTTGTAGGAGCCAGACACATTTCTGGAGAAAAGGGGCAAGACGCATTAACCTGGATCTGGAATGGTATCCGACGCTTGAACATGTTACACTGTGGAGAGGATTCATATCCATTGAGGCAGTCTCGGACATAACCTTTACTCAAGTCTGCATTTTCTCTGCGGTGTGCGAACCAATCTGTCCGCTCGGCAAGAACCTCAGGACTTGTGTCATCATTATTTGGTATCCAAGTCCCACAATAGGAACTTCGGACCAGAATTTCGTTATTGACCTTGGCTAGACTGGAGGACAGGATGCCGGCGGTTGTAAACAAGACCAAGTGTGAAACGCCTAGGAGCAGAAGGCTGAATGACTTGCGGAAACTCTTCACGCCTTGTGATCGCCAAGCCCAACCAATCAGCCCAAACTGCCAGATTCCAGCCGAAGCCGCGCTGGTATTACGCAAAACCGCTTGTTGTTGAAGAAATATGGCATGCTGAGGCCAAGGCTTTACCCTGAATTGGTGCGCCAGGAAGCGTATGATTCCCCAAGACTGACTCCCGGCCAGTGAAACGAAAAGAGCGAGGACAGCAACTAGAATGAGTCCGCTTCGTGGTGATACAGTTAGAGTCTTTCCCAGAATGGCACCTTTTGAATGGTTCGTCCACAGTCCAGTATACACAGAGGAGTTGCTCGACATGGCTAGCTGGCGTTGGACAAATGGATGAGATCAGCAGATCAGCAGAAGTGCTTTCAATGCCGATAGGGAACCCAAGGCCTTGGCGATGAGATGTTCGATGTAAAAATGACTTTGGAAGCAACTTTTCTGAGCCGTGAACTAGTCGTACATGTATTGCTAGAAACGCACTTGCGTTAGTCATACATGTTTTTTTTTCTTCGAAATCTGTGTTGTCATGGAACGCTCCCCACGGTTTAGCTCATATGGCATGGGTCAAACAACTGCCGGATGGCAAAGCATATAAAACAGTACTCATCAGTTCAGGAACTCAATGTCATAGAACTTCTGGACGCATGCAAGCAATGATTGAGACACATCTTCACTCGTATTACTTTCAACATTACAGACAGACGAATGACGAGACTCAAATAGACGCGCATCATATCGAAGGAGTATGATAAGAGTGAGTGAGCTAAATCGGGACTTGGTCTTGGAAGTTTTGGGTCGGACGGTTGGTCGTCGCCCCCAATACGACACTGCTTTTAATTTAGCTGAAGCATGAGGACGGGGAACAATCTAAACTGCGCTCAGAAACATCCGCATGAACTCAGCCGCGAACCTTTGTGCGACGTTGATATCAACGATCTTAGATATTGCAGTACGAGTAAACGACGACTGATCGTGTATGATGTCTGCAGCAAAGCTAAAGAGGGAAGACAGGGCAGATAATGAGGTGCAGAGCGGGGCGGAGAGGAAATAGATAGCTGAGATGGCACTGTTGGTCGGGTCTGCTATCTGGGACCTTCAAACCATGCGCCGACATAATGAGGTATATTAATAGTTGTCGCTTGGCTTGATTCTTAGCTATCGACGTTCCTCCCTCCAGCATCTACCGCTTCAGAATTTTCGCCACAACGACCCCAAAGTCCAGAACCGCGAACACAGTATCAAGGACCGTAATCCTATCAAACCCCTTCCCCAAGATCCACCTATCCGTCTTCCTCAAAACCACCAGATTGTTCCACGCTTGACTCGCATTCGCAATTCCAAGCACCGTCAAAGCCAGAACATCCAGATCCTCCCCCAACCCGTTCCCCACTACCTCAGGACTACTTGATCTAGTTTTGAGTAAAACAGTAAGGCGTAAAGCAGCAAGTGCTACGAAGCCTAAGTTTATCTTGCCAAGATAGTCGAGGATATCGTGATGCCATGCGTCGCCGCCGGGCGTGGAGGAGATTGCTGGGTTGGAGGAGTTGATGCGTCGCCCGACGCGGAGAAGGGTGTGTTGGGGGCGGAAGGAGAAGTGGATGAATGCACTGACTATTGTTAATCCTATGACCTGTTCTGTCAAAGAGAATGGTAGTACCTAGTGTGCCAGAGCTAGAGAAGAGTTAGTGTTTCGATCACGTGTCGAGTTGAGACAACTTACCATGTTCCCTGTGTAAAGGGCTTTTAGAAAGCCGCGGCTAAGCATTATACTGGCTAAGTCTGACATGATTCGAATAGTGAAATATAACTTGACTTGTGGTGGTGCCAGAGAGCCGACTTGCAGTCGAGACAGCAAATTGAGGGTTTTGGCTTGCTCTTATAATCAGGCTCTTGTCATGATTCCCGCATACCTCGGCTCGATGTATTGTAATCTCTAGCAACCCTCTGGTTGTTGGAGAGAACGAACAGTAGTTGGACTTTCGCATAGGCAAGCCAATCACAACGGTCACCTCGGTTGTGAGACTCGCTAACCCTTAGTTAGCCCCTTGGATAGCACGTGCTAGCTCAAGTTTCCGACATCTTCCCATTGCGTTGGGTCGTCCATCCAGAAACCTGGAGTTGGAATGTTACTAGAATTAGCCAGCATGGTCTCATTTCTACTTTCTGAAAGTGTATATAATGTCGCGTCCAGGATGCCATAGTAGATACTTGATCGTCCCATCGTCTCCTCGATCATCTTTCTGGTCTCCTCAAGTATGGTATTCAGCTGTGTTCTATCTCCACTTAAAGAGAATATACCGCCATTTCTGGTACTTAATGGACTTGAGTTTTCTGGTAGTCCGTCAAACAGACGAAATACACTTGCCGCTTTTCTGGCAAGAACCCACGACTCATTGAAAGCTTCAAGAATCTCAGCACAGAACACTGCGCTGCCTCTAATACTGCCCAAAATTTCGCCTCCAGAATTCGCTATGATGTACGACAGTAGCGGGCACAAGGCAACCAAACGACAAAGGGTAACCCAATTCAACGGCAAGTGTCGGTGCTGGAACAACACTTTGCTCAACTGGATATATTTCCCAACAGCACTCAGCAGCACATGCAAGTGCTCATCGATATCGCATAATTGAATGAAGAAGGCATGTATAGCAACAACAGCAAATTCTGATAGCGACAATTGAGCCATGGAATCGTGTTGTGAAACGGGATATGGTCTCGTTCGAGAGGATTCACGAGACAGCCTTGGGTATACTAATCCTCAATCTTGGTGCGGAGATCTGCGACGACCGCTCGTTTGTCGGAATGAGTCGTGTGCAGAGGGTTGACGAAGTTTATACGCTCAAGGATGGCGCTTTCAATTTGTCGGAGGTTGATGATGTGGCGGTTGACTTGGAGAGTGGTGGTGAAGTATTCTCGGTCCAGAGACGCGTATTCTTCTAAGCTGATTCCGGGGAGAGGGATGTTGGTGTTGTGGTCTGAGAGACCGAATGGTAAGCCGGTGGAGACTGAGACGATGCGATCCAGGCTATAGATACTCCAGAATAAGCGATGCCGAGTTTCGATTTGGGAGAGAGTAAGGTCGTGAGTGCCAGGAAGCTTACGAGTGAGACCCATAGCCATGATCTGCCGTGTCAGCATTCCAGTGGTTATCCAAGGTGATAGATCAGCAGGGTCAAAGAATGTGTAAAGGGACAGAAGGAGAAGTTCCTCGACGGAATCAATGTCATTCTTGAGCAAGCAGTCTCGAAGTATGACTTGTCCTGGTACTTTGAACTTGGCACAAAGTTCGTCCAAGACATGACCTATCCGTCTGAGAGTCGTGCATCCAATTGCCATGATCAGGTAAAGTTTCCTTGACATGTTCTCGAGCCCTTCTGAGAGACTCAGCGCAGAATCAACCTCCTTCAGAATTACCGTGCGGTCTAGGAACGGGTATGATCGATGAATATGACGAAAATATGCATCTACGAGCTGCCGTCCAGCTGGTGGTGCTGAGACCCTCGGAGTTCCTATATTTTTGATTGGTGGAGTAGTTGGCGAGATGGTTGTTGAGTATGCAGTAGGAGAGGTTGTGTCAGAAGCTGTATTGTCGTTGAGACAGACCGAGAGCCATGTGGCCATGTCCTGAAGTTCCGTCTGTTTCTCTCCAGATTTTGGTATTCGCCCAACTTCCAAGAACGAACACTGAAGTGAAGCCCCACTACACAAACACACCCATCCACGACCCTAACGCATTTCCTCTTCATTTGTCTGCATCTTGAACATGCCGAAGCCTCCGCTCCGCGCTTCTTTCCTCTCGCGGACTGACGTTCCGATTTTCCAAGCCGGAAGCGGTGGAGAGAACTTTCCATTGCATTGGGTTAAACATGCTCCGCAATGTTCCCAGCTTTGAGGTTTTGGAAGTAATGTAGACATCATAAGATGATGCGGAAGAAAGAAGCCAAGAATTCCCAGACGTGGTTAGGAGCTGTTGTTGAAGAATGGGATGTAGGTGGATACATAAGTGATCCGTCCCCCAGTTGCGTGCTCGCCTGACTCGCTTGGTCGTGCTCACAGTATTTCCAACACCACATAATGGAAATGCCGGGATATAAGAAACATGAATATCAATATAGATTTTCTTCTATCTTTTGGGCCTCCAATCAATCTGGAATTCTCAACTCACCCAAAAATGGTTTCTGAAGCAGAAGCCCGCGACATTTACAAATCAGCAATCCACTTCGACGGCCTCAACATCTGCAACTTCTCCCGCACCATCTTCGAAGCTTGGTCCTCAGGCGGTATCACAGGCGTATCATGCACCATCAGCATCTGGGAGAATTTCCGGAACTCAATAGCGCAAGTCGTACAATGGAAAAAGTGGTTTGAAGAACACTCCGACTTAATCGTCCAAGCCCATTCCGTTGCCGACATTCGCCAAGCAAAGAAAGATGGGAGAACTGCTGTGATACTGTCATGGCAGAATACAGCAGGTATCGAAGATCAGCTCGATTATCTGAGAGTGTTTAGAGATTTGGGAGTCAGAAAGATGCAACTTACGTATAACACGCAGAATTATTCTGGAGCAGGATATACTGAGTTGAAAGATTCCGGTCTCACTGGATTCGGGAGGGAAGCGGTGGCTGAGATGGCGAAGTTGGGGATTGTTTGTGATTTGAGCCATGTTGGGCCGCAAACGAGCAGAGATGTGATTGAATTTGCACCGGAAGGGAAACCGCCTTGTTTCTCGCATGTCTTGCCGGCGGGCATGTTGGAGCATCCCAGAAATAAGAGTGATGAGTTGGTCAAATTGATTGGTGAGAAGGGGGGCTTTGTTGGTTTGTCGCAGTTTGGGCCGCATATGGCGAAGGGGAATGATAGTACGATCGATGACTATGTTACTGCATTGGACTACGTTATCGGTTTGATTGGAGAAGATCTGGTTGGAATCGGGTCTGATTCGAGTGAAGAGCATGGACGACCTAGGTAAGTATTTTGAGCTCCGGGATTGTTTGGTTAATTTGACTGACTATGACAGCGAGTTTATGGCTTGGTGCAACAGTGACAAAGGTTATGCAAGGAAGCTCACACCATGGGGAAGCCAGAAAGTTGTGAAGCCTCTTGGACCTTTAGCAGATCGTGCAAAACTTGCAGAAGCAATGGCAAGAGCAGGTTGGTCAGAAGTGAAAATGAGGAAAGTGCTTGGGGAGAATTGGCTAGCTTATCTTGAGAAGATATTTGAACATTAAAACGAGTGATGACCATTGCAGTCTTTTCACACTTTCCAGTCTTATATTATTTCGTTTTGTTGGGATCTAGTTCCGAATGCAGGTATATCGCTTGGTAGATTTGAGCCAGACATTGAAATAAGAATAGATCCTTATTCCCAGGACGTGACATATGAAGGCTATGGTGAAGAGATACACCGGCCAAGCAGTGAAGATAGCTTTGAATGTCTTCCTCGTGACCGGTTTCGCGGGCTTGCGACCCACAGCCTCCATTCGTCTGATTGCCATGGTTTTCTGTTCAGGCTTCAGCTATCTGCTGCGTGATGTCGAAGGGGCGTCTGGAATCGCCCAGAATCCATAAAGTGCGATTGGAATGCCGATGATGCCGTCGAAGACGAAAAGCCATTTCCAAGCTGGGAGACCAACTTTTCCATTCATTCCGCTATACAGAGCGGCTTGGAGGTAACCCGAGAACATTTGAGCTGCACTGGAAGATGCTTGAAAGATGCAAGCTCGTTTTCCTAATTCAGCTGGTTGATACCAATTTCCGAGTAATGTCATGATTCCTGCGTAGGATGAGGCTTCAAAGAGACCAATGAAGAAGCGAAGACTGGAGACTTATCAGAGACCTGTTTGAATCGTCTTGGAAGTACTTACGCATAGACAGTGTTAACGTTCTTTGCACCAGCAACGCAGATTGTCAAAATCGACCAGACGATTTCCATTGCTGGGAGCCAGATCGAGGGTCGAATCTTGGTCATCATCATCTGCGAAGGAAATTGGCCAAGGATGTACCCAACAGTCCAATACGTCGTGAGAAGGTTCAAATCATTTCCTTTCAGATCGAGATCCTCTTTCATGCCAGAAACATATGCATTTGAGACCTTGCATCGTCAGCGTTTGATCTCCCATGGGAATTGGGATATTTACTTACATTGGTTTGATCGAGATACTTGACAAAGTAGGCAATACAAACATAGCTCAAAATAAACCAGTCGAATTTCGCAATGAGAGCTCTCTCTTGAGGAGACTTATCGAGAGAATCCCATATGACGGCAAGAATGCGTTTCCCCAACGTTCTCTTGGCTGGTGGTATCCTGAACTCCAGATCTCGTCTACTGACAGAGGAGTCTGAGGTAGCGACCCCAATGGCGGTCAGCTGTTTGCCGTCTTCTGGAATACCCATGTCTGGTTTTGCTGCAGCAAGTGAAAAGTACATTGAAGTAGATTTATATCAAAGAGATGACATTGTGCCTTCTCTTCTCCGAGATTCCGAGAAGTTGCCTCATCGGCACTAAACAATCATCATTGATTTCTTTATCGGATATGGGGCACCTGTACCCCATTTCTGGGTACAGAACGTGGTTATCGTTGGATTTCGCCGCATCTTGCGGAGTGGGGATGCGGAAATAGATGTGATAAATTTCCTTTTTGGGCTAAGTGGATCAGATCCAAGACTTGCCATTCGGCTCCCGGCTTCCACCAGCAATCTATATTTCTAAAAGTGTCGCGCTTGATGTGTGTTGCAGGGGAAGATATGGTACGTAAAAGTGGGATATGAATAAGTTTCCAGGTCGATGTTGGGAACTTGGAAGTTGTGTTGGAAGCACTGGCGCACTGACCATGTCCCGGCAAAGGGCCCGAACTTCTCGGCTCGGCTCGGCAAGGCACTGCAACTGCACTGCAGTCTCCTTAATCTTGCTGTCAGCTCGTCTCCAATTTAAGGACAACCTCTATTTCCTTGATCTCGAGATTGAGGTTGTGCAATGAGTATCTATCTGCCGTTCTGCAGAGTCACGAGTGTGGCTTGGACTGTTGGCAATAGAGCGTTGTCGTTTCGCGTTCATTGGAGACGAGTGGCACAGTCACTCTTTCAATGCGTTTCTACTCCTATTTTCTTTTGCTGATCTCGGGTATAAATGTCCAACGGCGGGGGTGGTATGTGTTCTTCAAGTGAACGAGAATCACTGCTTTTTTTGTTGTCATTGGGTATGTGTTGGATTGAAAGGCGAGATGAGATGCGTTTGGAATCAGGCTGATTGAAGAGTCGCTTGGTAGATGTGCTGAAACATGTATGCGAGTGAGACGAGGCAACTTTTCTGGTTCTGGGCAAGGGATGAATTGTTGGATGTTTGGCATTGATGTTGATTCAAGGGCGGAGTGCTGTTATGCATGAATTACTGTCGTGTGTTGGCACGTATAAAGTGAAGAGGGTTCTGCTACCTGCTCTCGTGTGCCGGATGAAGATTTGGAAGAACGTTTGTTTCAATTGATTTTATCTTATTCTTAACTTTGCTTCTGTGTCTAGGAGTTACAGATCAAGCATTTGAGACTACAAATAATTGTGGAAAGACACAAGATGTTTTCAAATCCGATAATAATTGGGCTATTGTGCCTGACAGGAGTCAACGCACAAACTGCAACCGAAACAGCAGAGAGTGGCCAATTATTACCAACTCAAGTTCGTCCCCTCTCCTCGCTGTACTCTCAATTTGCTCACTAACAAACGCAAAAGTCATCACTCCTAGTATCCGCCCTCTCAGCCTACGAAACCAGCGCCCTAGCAGCATCACAGTTCTCCGCCATTGCTTCAGAGCTTGCTACCGCCACCGCTGGGCCTGCAGACCTCCTCGTACTAGCTGCTGATGCGATCGCGCAAGATAATGCTGGCGGGACTTCCTTCAGTGCCGAGTTCGTCGTGCCTCTCCTTCTCTTGGTTCAAAGTTGACAATGAAATAGGGTAGCCTCCGTCCTCTCCGAATACCCTCCTGATGTCTCCTCCTGGTTTGTTTCTCTCACAATGGGCGAGCAAAACATCGTTACGAGTGTGCTGGGCACCACGCTGGTTCCTACTGGTGCGGCGGATGATCTTGGTGGAACGAGTTCTGGGACGGGGCCAGTAGTTGTTGCGACTGCTACAGGGAGTGGGACGACGGTCACGGGCACTGGGACAGCGGGGGCAAGTAAGACGACGAGTAGTGCTTCGAAGGTACGTTTATGGGGAGTGGTGAGAGGACGAGGTAGAAGGTTGAGAATATGCTGACATTAAACGCAGAACGCTGGACCGACGTTGGGAGCGATGAGCGGTGCTGCATGTGGTGTGGTAGCTTTTGGAGCTGCTGCTGCTTGCGCTATTGGAATGATGTAGTCGCCAGATGGAGCGTACGAGTTTCTCCCAGTATTGTCGGTCAGGGCAAAATCGTTCCGCCGACTCTGGAAATTTTGCTAGACCGGGCTTTGCTACAGCAGACTCAAGAGGTCACCAAATAAGTCAAGTGCTGTAGTGATTAGTTCAGGAGAAGATATTCACTGTAAAAATACGCCCAGCATTGCACTTTTTTGCTTATCTACTTATTATCGGAGGCACACTTATAAAAAGAACAGAATAGCTCAGGCAAAGCCTGACAGGTAGTCCATTTTTGACTTCTCACGTGATTAACGGCCATCTTCCTTTTTTTTTTGCGCTTTCCGAACTTCCACAACAACTTCAACTCTGTTTTTCCCGCTCTTACAATGGACCTTGCTAGACGACTGTTTCGCTTTATTGGCTGGCAGCATGCTGTAGCCAGACCCGACGCCTTTCAACACTCCCACCTCGGCAAACTCCCGAATGAAATCATCCTCCACATCGCCAGCTATCTTCCTCTCGAATCGGCAGCAAGCTTCAGCATCTGTTGCTGCCGCTTCTACAACTGTATGAAAACAGAGTATCTCCCGTCTCTCAAATTGGCCGATCCATCAATTCAAGAAAACTTCTTGGCGCTTCTGGAACACGACCTCCCAATGCACATTCTGTGTCCCGACTGCAAAGAACTCCATTCTATTGCCAATGCATTCACACACGTTCCCTCCCGACGACATTTTTCATCCACCTCGACCCAAAGACCACGTTTGCAGTGCTGGAAATCAGATACACAACACGATATTCGGAGATCAATCCACACAGGATTTTGCTCGACAATCTTCCGCATGGCGATGAAGACCCACAGACTAGGTCGCAACTCTAGGCAACTTCTTCAATTCTTATCCTACGAACCGAGGACGACGCATCATCGTGGATTCATTGAGCAGAATCAAGCCGCGGCTCGGATCGTAGACGACTCGCTGCTCGTTCGCGAGCAAACAGTCTTCATGGTTCCTTCCTCGCAAAGGATCCCTATTCCTTGGCATGGATTCATCAATATCTGCAATCACATTGGCTTCCCGGGATTTCTGGACTTGCATCGGCGAGGCGCGGTACATATACCGCAAGCAAACGAGCTTGGAACGTTTGTTCAAAGTCGACGAGGACTTATATGTTGTAAGCACTGCTACACTGAATTTCGTGTGGATTTCAAAAGTTATGGCGAATCGGGAAATGCAATGTTTGTCACGAGATGGATGGATATTGGTGAAGGGCGAGATCCAAAGGAGGTCAAGTTCACAAGTCGCCATGTGAACTTGTATCAAGAAACTTGGGCGAAAGTCAATTTTCGGGGAGGGTCTATCTGCGCTGCTTTTGAGGAAATGCCTGCAGCTGAATTTGTGGTTGATTCGTTGCTTTCTGCAAGAGAAGAGCGGGTATTGTGCAAGGGGAGCAATTTGCCATGGCCTGAGGACGTTAGCGTTTCTTGCGATCGAGTTGAGAGGTCTTTTGGGGTGATGAGTGGGAGATTTGTTCCATTTTGAATACAACTTTTTTCCGACTAATCCGTATGGCGCTTTTAATGTCCTAAAGGTGACGGACAATATGATTATCTGAAAAGTGCGTACCAAAGATTCAATCAGATGCCACGCTATGCCCGTTTCAGTATCCTAGAATTTGAGGGGAGATGTAATGTTCTGTAAAGTACCCACCAAAATTTGAATGAGCCGGGGCCTTGCCCGAGCTTGCCGAGGACGGGTAATTCTGAAGACTTGTCTATCAATAGATGAACTCCTTGATAAGTAAGAAGGAAAGTAATCGGGCAACAAGACTGACATCACCATACTCTCTCCACCACCACTCCTAATGATTTAGCTGCTAAGTCTTGTGCTTGACAATAGTCTCGCTCACAATACCCCTTCCATCGCCAGTATCTGCGTCTCCGTAGGAGTTGTTCATCTGGTTGCTTTGAATTCTGGACCACATAACACATCCCTATCATCGACGATATTAGTATGGGTTTTCTACGAAGATTTAGGACCATAGGTGAGGTATTGTATCAGCCTCGCCAAAAGAGCATCGACAGCTGCAAAAGAGATGGACTGCGAGAGACTTACAAGAATAGTGATGAGAATTTCCCCAGTACTTTCATCTCTCAGATGATAAGCTTCCTCTTGTAGTACCGTCAGACGGCAATTCACAACCTCAAAGTCAGTATACCTCTACTACAATTCCCCGACGAACTTGCTGAGCTGTGCAACTCCAACATACAACTCCAGGAAAGGAACACTCACCCCTCCCATTGCCAAATCAGATTCGCAGCTCTTCAATATCCTGTCGGTGGAGAGTAGTGACCTGCACGTGATAGGATGCAAGCATCCTTCTTGCGAAATACGAAGTATGCTCATTAAGCGGTAGAGACTTCTGTCCACAGAATTATTCATTCGAACGATACCTAGGTAGTTTGCAGTTTATCTTCTGCTAATAGACATGCTATGGGTAACGTGACGTAGCGGGGTAATTTTCGCTTACTCTACTAACAATGTACATCCTCTAGTCTATCCTCCTCGTCCACCATTCTTCCTTCTCCTTCATAGCCCATAGACATGGCAGAAGATACCAAACCACGGACGTTCAATCCAGAAGGGGTGCCTCTTCCACCCCCGACCTACAACCATGCCTGCATCACGCCTCTGATCCCAGGCTCCGTTGATCTCATCACTTTGGCTGGATTAACAGGCGTTTCTTCGTGGACCGACTCCAACCCGAAGACCATCGCCGAACAAGCTCCTATTGCGTTTCAGAAAATCAAAACTTGTCTACTCGCTGCGGGAGCTACCCCAAGAGATATCGTGCAGGTGAAGCATTATATCGTGAAGGAAACTGGTGATCCAGAAGTGGATAAATTGGATGTTGTTGAGCGTGGTTGGGGAGAATCGTGGATGGAGTTTATGGATCGTGAGGCTGAGGGTCATAGACCTCCTGATACTGTGATTGGGGTAGCAGCGCTGGCAACAAAGGCTACGCTGTATGAGTGTGAGGTTTGGGCTGTTGTGAGGAAATGAGGAAGGTTCGTCCCGTATGAGCTATCCACTGCGGGTCTGGCATGTTTGAAGCGGAGACTGGTGGGCCGTGGTGCTTTGGGAGATTATTATCAAAGACTTTGTTTTCTGATCTGGAGCATCTTGCGATTGTTCTCTTGCATTTCGTACAGGCATCAATGAATGGGATATTCCTTAGTGGAAATGTCCTCGTCATCTGGCCCTGTTTTCTCTCTAAGACCGGGGTTGACTTCTGCAAGTACTTTAGACCACGCTGTTGCTCCGTGACTTGTAATTAATTCTCTTCAACTTGATCTTGTCAACCGCTGCATCCATTGAAAAATGCGCATTCTTCGCGCAAGTGTCATCAATGCGTATATTGGGTCCACCTGGAAGTATTGGTTGTGGTTCCTGTTCAGAAGACATTCGAGCCCAACCGTGAACAGTTCAGTCCGAGTAAGCACAAGGCTGCCCTCAAAATGATCCACAAGCCGTCTCACAAGTGCCCCGTCTTCCATATATGCACGCTCGGCCATGTTGCGCTTCGCTATTCTGTCCACAGGGCGGTTCGTGGAGTACGGGTCGTTGTGCCTGACTAAGTACACTTCGATGTCCCAAGAGGGAAGTAATTACGGACATTGGATTCCAGAGCCTGGTCTGAGCATAGGATGTTGTGCTACATTCAAATTTACTCCCCAACATCCCAGCTCTTCTGCTATCTACCAGGCTTCGCTGACCTGGACGTTACCCGCGAGTATCTAGCAATATCAATTGTGGGAAGATAGAGAAGACGAGTTGCATCGTAGCCACTGATTATCATAGAAATTCAGCGGAAGAACTGCAAGACGACAAAAGCATTTCAAATGGGTCGAGCCGAGCCGAACCGATTGCCCCAGACTATCCTGTTGTGTAACAAGAAGTGGATTTTACCGATCGATCGATCTCAGACATTTCAGCTGTGCTAGGAAGCTCTTCACCGCTATGTTTCGTCTTGGGCCAGTACTTGCAGTAATTCGTTGAAAATCAGATCATGTTTGAGATATCAGAGAGTTTCGTCTTGCAGATGGCTTGCAGAGCTCAACACTTGTCACACTTTGCTTGGATTCGATCATTGGCTATTTTCTTTCTGGCGGAACTCCACGAGGTCATGGGCCACTTTGAGAAACGAAACCATATGCGAATATGGCCTCATCAACTTTCGAGATGCATCTCGTAGCTGCATCCAAGTCACTTGCCCTGGAGTCGCACAACTTCAAGTTGGACGAGAAAGTGTCCCCACTGAGTTTTCTTACCCACGACGGACTTCCATCTGTCCAAAGAGACGGCTATGAACTCATTCCAATGCATATCAATGTTGCATGTGTCACAGCTATGGGCGAATGGCTGTTGATATATGCGCAAGACCGCCTGTCTGCGGGGTCAAAATGGCGTGTGTCGAAACCTGATCAGGATCTAGAACGTTATTGAGCATGAATACTTAATGAACAGCAGTCATCAAGTCACTGATCCCTCTTCTAATGTTCAATTTCCCAAACTTTGACAGTCTTTCGTTCGAAAGACGAGGTCTTGCTAAATCAAGATGGCCATCCCATATCCTGAAGGAGAGTGCTTCTTCAATCTCGAAGGTTGGAAGGCAAGCGCAGAGTACGACCCAAACAAAGCCGAAGATTTCTACTCCCGCATGTTGGTCGAATACATATACAACGTCGAAGCCGACCACGCCAGCGAAGCGTGCCACAGTCCATCTGGATACTCGCACCCACGATCCATCTATAACATCGTGCGGGGGAGCAATTGGAAGACGGACTATGGATGCTGGTGTCTGCTTCCTATTCAATATGGCATGTCTTACGACAAGCCGACCAGATTCTTGCGACATGAGCTGTGTAGCGAGGGGAATGCGTTCAGAGACCACGAGAAAGGAGGCTCGGCAGAGGTTCGACGACGAGCTTCCTGTGTGTGAACCTTGCTGAACGTTGATAGTCGTGTTTTATGCCATTGCCGATGCCGACAGCCGAGGAAAGATTTGCATATATCGATGTCTGTGTGCCTGGAGTTGTTGCAGCAGTAATATGCTAACACACTGTTAGATGCTCACACAGATCCGAGCCATATACCTTCCTGTTTCTCAAACAACATCGGAGGAGTATCCAGGCATGTCATACTGGGTCGAGATGAACTTTGCCCTCAACCGAACAGTCAACATGTGGCGACCTGATTATGGTAAATTCGATAACCACCAATGCGACGCTACTTACGGGTTGGGGGGTGAGCAGAGACCACGCAATCTCCTTGGATGTTACTGGAGCCCTCGAGCTCCTCTGCTTGCCACGACAGCTTCGAGACAAAGATCTCTACGCCAGCAAGGTGATTGGGATCATCGAGACCAAGGCGGCAACTGCTCCTTTGACAGGCAATTACATTTCACATTCTGCGGATTATGATTGGACGGCGATGGTGAAGCTCAATTATGGGCTTGATGTTCAGTGGGTACCCACCACACAAGGCACCGTAAGTGAGCCCCCTTGTACTCTGTGTGCCATGCTTGTGGTCTCCTGGTTTCAGTTGAGGAGAACTCTTCTTAACTAAATGAACTTTCATTTCAAGACGGGCATGCTGACTCGTGGATCCCATCATAGTGGATCACACATTTCCTCTTCGACATTCTGTATCTGGCCATTGGATTTATCCCCGGCGTCGGACCAATTCTAGCCCTAACCTTCGCCTTAGGATGGACAGCCCTGTTCAACCAAAATGACTTCTTCAATCAACTTTGTATCTTGTGCCCCGGCATAGACCTCACGAACGAGATCAGGAAATCAATCACCGATTCCTCGGAGGAGACGAAGACGTTGATGGTTCCCGGCTGGGAGGACTACATGAACAGTGTAGACCAAACGGGACAAACGGCATCGCTCAGCCTCAGCGCACCAGCACCCTCGGCACATGCAGCAACTCGAGCTGCTCCCAAGAAGAGCAAGATACCGTTCGAGAAGCTGTACCGATCAGCGTCCTTCCAGTACGCCGAATCGGTTTTGCGGGCCAGTGGACGACCTCGCGTTGGACCGCCGCCTAGTAATGATGGCGCAGAGGTCATCACAAGCAATCCTCCCACGAACCCGAATGCAATTTACCAACCCGGAGCATAGGAAAAGTGCTTTTCGTTGTTGAGAATAGTGTTAAGATGGTTTTTTTGCTTTACTGATATGGACGCCAGTTTTTGGAAGACTTTTCCTGGCGTCGTCACCTGAATAGGCATATCAATCTATTGTTCCTGTCTGCAATACGGAAGACTTTCTTTTCTTTGAGTGAAATGTAGAGCAATAAGCTGCCTGCACTAGACAAGTGGCTGCTACCGTTCAGCATACTTGGCTGATAGTGACTCTGCGAGTAAGCTCCAGAGAAATCCTTAATGCATAAATTTATTGACACAAATGAAAAAGTCCTCAAGCCACTGGGTGATTCAGGTGATTCTACCCGGTGTTTGCAACAGAGAGATTGGACCTGAAAGTTCATCCGAAGTTCAAATATTTTCCGAGTAAATGGAGATCAAATATTAAAATCACCATTTAATCCACCAAAATGATCCAACTAATACCGTACAACCCACAAACAGTAACACCCTCCATCTTCTCTTCTTCTTGATCCAGCAAGTATAACTACTACTCCTCAATCCCGCACTAGTTATACCATAATCCATAAACACAACAAAACAAAGCTCAGCACAAAAACGGCAACCTAAATCAAAGTACATAAAACACTTAAAACCCTTAAAAAGGCAAACTCACAAACCCTCGATCTGCCTTGCAGCTCCCCACATGCACTATCCGTTCACTGGGCAGACAGACTTACGCAGGCACCGATTGTCTTTGTATTGCATCGCTTCCGGCGCTCTCTTCTTCATTCCCCAGCCTGCGACTATCTTGTGACTGTCCTCTCATTCGTAGGAGATGGGAACTTGGTCGAAGGAATTAGAGATAGAGAGGGAGCCTAGAATCCAATGAGACCTGGACCTGCAGCGTCCTGAGACTGTCATTTGATGGCGGTGGTGACGAATTGTCGGTAGGTAAGGTATGTGGTGTACGCAGGCACGAGATTGTGGAAAGGGGTCATTGGGCTTCTGGAGGGAAGGGGAGGTCTGCTGACTGATGCTCGCGAGGTTGTGGCTATGCAAGAAATGAGAAACGGGAATCGGGAAGATGTCTGACTGACTCATCTCCGTGGTAAATACTATTGTACAGATAGATGCTGTGTTTGAGGAACCTCTTTCCATCCGAGACGTGCATGTTTAGCTGCATTGTAGATCACATGATAGAGAGATATTTCCGGAATGCATTGCTAGGCATATCACAGGGCCCCGTGTAATAGGACACACACCTCGATAAAAGTGTGGGGAGTCCAAGCTCCAATGCAGTACACCCTCATCTCGATCAGTGCAACACCCTCTTCGGCAGTCACTACAGTACACTCGGTGAGCTCAGTGTAATAAGTAAAAAATTTCCGAGCGTTCCGAGCGCAGGTGCGCGCGGAACGAGAATCGTGTTACCTGAGGTGAGACAGCCTTACGTCTGTATTTGCTGCTGCTTGTAATACGAGTTTTGGCAGAACGAGGGGCGAGGCTGGAAGGTCAGTGAAGAGGCTGATGGATGGAGCGTGTGATACGCTTCGTCGTTGATGCTTTGGGAAGTGATCGTCCGGATTCATGATTGTAGAAGGCGGTGGTGGAGTCATGTTGAGACATATGAGGTCAATGGTAAGTTGCCGACTGGTCAGCAGAACAGATTGAAGGTAGCTGGGCAGCCTTGTATAGAAATAGTGTGGCGTTGTGGAGGGGTACTGTAAATGTCCCAGGATGTGAAGGCCAATGAAGTCTTCCATAATGTAAGTCTCAAATGTCTGGTTGGAAGCCACCATTGTGGCGAGGTTCCCTTCTTTGCTATGGGAATTTGCAGGAATGGAATGTGGCTGAGATACTGATGGCGTGGATCTGAGATGGTTGCAAATTCTCACCTCGATATGGAACTCTCACCCCCCTTGAGACCCCTCGCTTGGCTTACCGAGGGGGCGCTACACCAGAAACGTGGTTCAGCGTGGGGTGCATTCGCTCGTAACCTTAGCCTTTCATGCAGACCATGTTTGACGAGTCAGGACGACGACCTTCACATGAAGACAGCAACCTGGATAGACAAGCTCCGTGAGAGGTTCGTCATCTGATTCATTCTGACTTCATTTCCCGTCCTTGATTCCCAACTCCATCTCAGACATCGTAAGAGTTTAGATGCAGATATCCATCTTACATCTGGATTGGGAACATGGCATTTGTCAGGCAGGCTCGGTTTCGGCCCTTTCCGAGCGTGTCGGTCCTCGTAATGGATGATGGGATGGAGCTTGGCTGGCTGGCTGGCTGGCAGTCCGTGAGGGAGGGAGGGGAAGGATAGGGATCGGGGCGAACGGGAGATGATCGTCGAGACCATCTCAGAACTTGCGAATTCGTAAAGTGTGGCTGGAGGCGAAACTCAAGTAAAACGCAGCGGGGAACAGTGAAGACTTATTGGATCAGAGGCTGGGAGTGGTGATGGAAAGCGTCGTCGATAGCAGCAGCTAGCCATGAAACAGAACACCCTCTGAGATCGTAATGCGCGTTAATAATCCGGATTTACCTTGGGAATGGGGGAAGATGTAGGAAGAGGGAGTGGAATCCGTCGGTCAGGAGCGAGGAATCGCGGTGAGGTGCATGATCAATAAATGTCATGCTGACTCTGAACTTTGGGCTGTGAAGGACTGGAAGGACTGGAAGGGAGTGATAAGAACGACCTGGGCCCAGAAAGATGGAAATAGCCAGAGAGAAATAGACGACGACGACGACTGTGAGGCCATGCGATTGTGAGATCTGAGGAGGTGAAGAAACTCCGGGAGAGCAGCATCACGAGACTGCTTCGAGCCTGCACGGCAACTGCACTCACTTGCAGACAGATGCAGCAGACTGACATACCGAGAGAATCTATCTCATCTATCGCATCTCACCCTCGCACTTTGGTGGTTTCCATCGGTCTATCCCTCTCCGCCGTGGTGTTTTGTTTTTCCCGCCATATCAAAAACTGATTCATTCTGCTCTCATTGTCCCTCGTCGAATCGGCCTAAGGTTATCACATGTGGAGGCAGTCTCGATTTTGATCTTGACGCCGGAAGCGCACATCTCCCATCTGAGATAGGACGACAAGGCGCACCAAGAGGAAAGAGTCCCGGCTGTGTGTTGTGTGTTCACTGTGATCCAGTCGTTGTGGTCCCCTTTTTCGCTCGTGGTTTTATTAGCAAGGATCTTTACTCGCACCAGCAAAAAAATCCCAGCGCCTCAGACCTCTCCAGCCTCTCGACCTCGAAAACTGCACAGCATCAAAAAAAGCAATTCTACTTCTTCCCCAACGCGAAAACACACCCAGGAACAAACAACATTTCGAAAGACACCGGCAATCCAAGGCTTTATCTGTACTTCGATTTCGACATTTAATTCATTAGACTTCACCAGTTTGGACGGGCCACTAGCTGTTCTGTTCTTCGTTCGGATTCACTTGTCGTCGCTAGCGGTCCCGCTGTCCGATTCTGCGGTGAAATATTTCGTCAAAGCTTCGCCCGCGACAAGACAACCCTAATCCTCTTCCTATCTGCAGAATCCCGACTCCCAGGATTGATCTCAAGAACAAGGTTTCCCGTCAGCCTCGACCTCCATTTCTAGTCTGCCTCGACGACTCATCGCTTATACTCACCGAGTCCAGAGCTCTGTGTTCTTCTTACATCCACGCGACATCAAATCCCCCACTTCGAGGCGGGGTTGCGATACCCAGAAGCTGGGACCTCCGCAGATAATCACAACTTCGAATTCGAACCCATCTTCTGTCTCGTAGCATGCTCAGTCAAGGTGGTCCGAGAATGCCTTCTGAATATCGACATATGAGCTCGACTTCGCTCAATATCCCCCCACCGACGGCGCTGAACGGAAACGGTGCTCCACCGCCCGTAGGAGGTGCAGCAGGTATGGGTAGATTCGAGGGTCCAAGAAGTCCTCCGGGACGACAGAGTAAGTGAATCCTCGTATCTGCTCAAAGACGATCGGCAATCTCACATTTACCAGACACTTCACACGTCCCATGCAAGTTCTTCCGGCAAGGCGCATGCCAGGCTGGAGCTGCTTGTCCTTTCAGTCATGACCTCGCCAGTACCACGGATAATGTGTGCAAGTACTTCGCAAAGGTAAGCATCTGCGCAGATTATGAGACGGCGAGCTAATTGTCAAAGGGTAACTGCAAATTCGGCCCCAAATGCGCAAACGTGCATGTCCTGCCTGACGGTCGACGAGTCAACTACAAACACGGAGGCCCGATGGGCGGTGGACATCTGAACATTGGTGGCAGACTCAGTACCGCCGATTTATACCATCCTCCGACCTCTGCCTTGACGAATTCGATTAATCGTGCTAATGTTATCCCACCATCGCCGTACGGCCAGTACTCTCCTTTCCAAAACCAAGAAGATTCCTTCCCACCTCTGGTTGGACGTCAACAAAGTATCGATATTACTGTACCAACAATTGATACAAGTTACGCCTCCCACCCTACATCGAACTATGGTTCACCGCGAGATGAGGATATCAACCGTTTTGGTCTGGGTTTGTCACCAGTAGCTGCGAAGGGTCTGAGTGTCTTGGATGCTCCTCTACCAGCCTCCTTTGATAGTAATGGTGTATCGTGGATCGCAAGAAATGGCCCTATCGCTTCCTCTGTCCCAGCAAAATTCGGCCTCGAATCACCGCCAGGATCTCTAGGAGCAGCAAAGGACGGCAGAACTTCGGAAGCACTGAAGAGCTTGCATAGTTCGGCTTTCGGTGACGATACTCGAGACCGATTCAATGGTATTGCAGCTTCACCACCTGCCCCTCCGGCCGACGAGTATTTTGGAAAGAGAGTTATGCATTCCCAGCGATTTGCGAAGTCAAAGGTTATGTCAGCAAGCTTGCCAAAGGCCGTCGATCAAGATTGGGAGGCCCAATTTACATTCGAGGAAGATTATCTACCAGAGACTCTCAAGGATTTGATGACACCTCAAGAAAAGGCCCGAAGAGGATCTCGAAATGCGGATGAGGAAGGTCGACCAATCCATAGCGGAACAGGTACTCCCAACAACGAATCAAGCAAGTTCGGTTCGCCATCCAATGCCAGTCCTTCGAGATGGAGCCCGTTCTTCCAACGCCATCAAAAGGAAGAGGAAGACCGTGCTCGCGCATCAGCTTTCGGTCATGTTGGTTCTCCACTTCGCAATTCAACTCTCCATCCTGGTGCTAGTCCGAGCTCGCGACCTATCGGTAGATCAAGTGCTTCTGGTGATTCATCACCTTACCTTGCTTCACCTCCTCGCCAAAGCTCTATTGGTCTCCTCTCTCAGAACTTCAAGCGCGCTTCACTTTCCAGCGGAGAAGTTGGTTCGTACCCACGAGCATCAAGCAACCCCATTGGTCCTACTTCGAGACTGGCTGGTGAAAGACAAGTCAGCTCGAGCAGTATTGGCAATGGTAGCGGTCGCTTCACAACACCAATTGACGAAGAGCAAGGCGACTTTGTCTTCAGCATGGAAGGCATGGAAGATGTAGATGAGAAGAAGGGCGAAAAGAGAAATAGCGGCGGCTGGTCCTACCCAACAACCACTCGCAGTCCACATCTCGGCGTGAACGGCAGCACTAGAAATGGTACATCAAACGGCAATGGAGTTGATGGAATGTTTGGACCACGATGAGGCGGCACATAGTCCCTTTCACGACCTCACGACTCTCCTCTATCACTGAATACCCCATTCAAAAATTCAAAATCTTCTTTGCCAAACAAAAATATTCTCCGACCATAACGAAAAGACGCATTTCAGCACGCATACATTATCGGTATACCAAAGTACAGTACAAGCACAAATTCCCCCAAATTTCGCCACCATGCATAAACGCGTTATTTCTAGCAAGCGTTGCATTACACACACCAATTTTTGCACTGCTCATACAATTGGCCATAATCGAATTCAATCACCACCATACTCAGGATGATCCAACAAGACCAGAAATATTTCTTCTTCATCTTCTTTCTTGCTCTTTTTTGGCATTGTTTGTACCATAGAACAGGCTAGGAGTTCCACTTCTTTATTGTGGGAGCCTCTTTGCATACTACAGAAATTTTTCTCACGCTTTCGGATTTCTTGAGTCGGCATGGTTGGTTCGGACGGTTGGGTGGGATATCTGGCGTAAAACTTCTTTGATTTTTGCGTGTGCTTTTTTTTGAAAGGGGATGGATGGGGAGAGGTAGAGAGAGCATACTTACTTAGGTAGGGGGTGGGAAATTTCTACCTACTTATGGAATAAATGACGTCTCCCATCATGAGAGTTTAGTTGCGGATGTGTGAGGTGATTGTGTGATTTTTGTGGAGTGAATTTTTTTTCGTGAGCTTTTGGTGGAAGGACTGATATTATGATTGGGTTGGGTTAGGAAAGTAGGTCCCGACTTTGGAGGACTAAATTGTCTGGTTCAAGGATAGACACTTTGAATGGCCTGAGTTGAGAGAGTGGACCCCAACTTTGGAGAACCAAATTATCTGACTTTTGGACAGACATTCTATTTATACCTTTTTAACTCATATTATCGTAGTTGACAGATTTATCCAGCATGATTTGAGTTACACCCCAACCACCACCTACAAACACCCCCAAGTACTCATCAACCCATCCCCCCCAACCCCTCCATAAACCCCCAAATCCCCTCCAGAACCCCCTCAGGACTCGGCCGCTCCGCACAAACATCAACCTCAAACCCAAACTCCGCTCTCAAAAAGTCCCTCGTCGTCGGTCCAATACTCGCTACAAACGTCTTCCCATCCCTTTCTCCCCCCGCTTTCCCCCTCGCATCACCCAAGCACCCCAGAGCCCGCAACATAGCCTCACACCCCGTCGGAGAGAAAACGACTACCCACCTCCTACCCACGTTTTCCGTCCTCTTCAACACAGCCTTAAAATCCCGCTCAAAAGACGCCATGATCCCAGTGCCGTAGATCGTTATCTCGTCTACCGCTATCCTGTTACTCGCCTCCAAACTTGGAGATGAAAGAGTCTTCGGGATTATATCGCGCCGTTGTTCACCGACTAGGAAGAGTAGCGGGAGGCGGGATTTGAATTTGGATTTGGAATCGGAGGGGTAGTGCGAGAGGATGTATTGCGCTAATGCTTCTCCGTTGCCTGTTTCTTGGCCGAGGATCGTGAGCGGGGAGGAGGGGGTTGAGAGCGCGGAGAGGGCGCGCGAGGTTGCGGGGCCGACGGTGTAGATGGGTGTTGAGGGTGCGAGGTGTGGGTATGAGGGGTCTGTGGTCTTTTCGTTAGTATAGGGTAGAGGAAGATAGGTGGGAAGGTGAGTATTGTGCGGACCATTAAGTCGGCCTTCAGCGACGAGTTGCGCGAAAGCCTCAACAGCGCGCTGAGATGTGAAGATCAATCCGCCATATTTCTTTCCCTGTCCTTCCCCGATCTCTTTCCGTTCGAGGAGGTTCCGGAAGGTGTTCATGCCATCGTCAAGAAGTTGGTGCTCTAGCACGGGAACAAATGTTGGGGAGAACGTTAGTCCGTGTTGGGGAGTCGAGAATTGGTCTTCGTAGCCGTCGGTAGGTGAGGAGCGGGTTTTGAGGAGGAGGATGGGGATTCTGGTTGTCATGGTGGGAAGAAGAACATCGTTGGTGAGATGTGAGAGGGATTGAGATGCCCCGCGATGCATGTGGACAGGGATGACGCGAGCGGGCGCGTTCGGCCGAGATGGCCGCGAGATTTTTGGGGGTGACAAATCGAGCTTCAATTTTTGAGAAGCTCCACAACGAACGAGAGCTTGTTTGAAAAATAGGAAGATGGCGGACGATACGAGGGATAATGAACAAAGTTCTGGAGGTCCGGTAGCGACAGGGACAGTGGCAGATGCTCCGAAGAGCAAATTGCCTCGAGGTGTTGTATTGGGGAAAGATGGGAAACCGTATGTCCTTTCTTTCTAAATCATATGAACAAAGCTGATGAAAATAGCTGTCGTTCCTGCACCTCCTTCGCAGATTTCAAATCCATTAAATCCTCCCTCGTCTCTCACCCTCATACAACCACCCCCACCGTCCCACCACCCGACTGCCCGCCCGACGTCGAAGCCCTAGGCCGCTCCTCCTGGACGCTGCTCCACTCCATCACAGCTTCATACCCCGCCTCTCCCTCTCCCACCGACCAGTCCAACGTCAAGCAGTTCTTGGGCTTGTTTGGGAAACTATATCCGTGCTGGGTGTGCGCGGAGGATTTCCAGGACTGGATGAGGGAGAATAGGGTCCGGGCGGAGAGTAGGGAGGAGTTTGGACGCTGGATGTGTGAGGCGCATAATGGGGTTAATAGGAAGTTGGGGAAGAGGGAGTTTGATTGTAGTAAGTGGGAGGAGAGGTGGAGGACCGGGTGGGGGGATGGGAGGTGTGATTAGGGGGAGGGAATGGGGTGTAGATTTGGAAAGGGGGATGAGGTGATGTGTATACTGATGTATGATATGTACTATGGAAGGAGGAATGTGTCTATAAGATCTGCATAGCGTGGTAAAGGAAGATGGGTTGGCGTTCATGAGGTTGGGAAGATCTCACTCATCTCAGAAATCATATTGAGTTTCTCTGCTCCATCTTAAACGTCTTTAACTAGAGACTTGTTCATGAAAATGTGTCTGCCACCTAAGTAGAAAAGAAATCCTCGATACCAACCTCACTCCCTGTCAAAACAACAAACATCCCCTTTGCCTCCTTCTCACACTCATCTGCAACTTCAAGCTTGCCTAGCTCTTTATACGCCTCACCCATAACTTTCAAAGCTCTCATAGACTCCACATTCATAATCCCCTTCTCATACCCTAACTCCAATGTCCCCTCCCTAACAACATCTTCCCCGAACCCAAAATTCCTCAACACATCCAACCCGTACTTAACAACCATGCCCCACTCCCTCTTCTCCCTCCACCTCTCCAAAAGCCAAATACAAGGATGAATCAGCATCAGTCTCGGCAAACCCGCATAGACCTCACTCTCATGCAACCCCTCCAACCTCCTAACCAGTTTCTCCACCCCCCTAATCCTCGCCACCGAAACCTCCTTCCCCAACCTTCCAACCTCCCTCTTAATCCTCTCCACTAACTCACTCCTCTCTCCATGCTTCACCTCCTTTGACCCGCTCTCCTTCCCACAAAGCGGACACTCACACACAAACCCCCAATTCTGCTCAAAAACCTGTTTCCGCACCAGGTACGCGGCATCAGAAGCTTTATACTGGTGCAAGATCTCTGCACCAGCAGGAATCGTGCACGTAGCGCGGATAATCATGATATCGCCTATGAAGGAACGGATGCTGTTCGGGATGCAGGAGTGGTTTATGTAGGCGGCGTGAGTCCAGAGCCCGGCTGAGAGGGGCGTGGTATGGCTGTTGTAGATGGTTGGGTTGGAGGTTAGCAAGGAGAGAGAGGTTGAGGGGCAGGAGAAGCAGTTTCGGAGGCGGATTGCTTCTGTGAGGAATCTGAAATGGTTTAGTTGATGAAAACCGGGGAAAGATGAAGGCATACGAATCGATTACTGGTACCCCGTCAACGATTTCTGCTTCCTTGCCGGATCTTAAATAGCTCCCACCGTCTAACTCGAAGAACTTCTTACTCGCTTCGGCGTCTCCGTAGATTTTCTTCAAGAGCTGCAGAAAGAGACTAGCTTGAGCAGGTCTCTGGGTCCTGGAATTGGTGTTGAAGTTCCACATCTCTAAACGCTGCCCGTCCCGGATATCTTCGCTTTGATCCGTGGTATATAAATCCGGTAAACAAAAAGCTTTCTCAACCATCACGACTTCCCCCTTCTTAATCTCTCTCCTAGCAAACAACCCTCTTCCCTTTCCCTCGGCCATTTTAACCTCAGTATTGGACACAAAATCCGCATGGTCCAAATGAACTTCTCCTTTCTTCAGACGATCAATCATGGATGCGAAATTATAGACTCCTGTCTCTTGCTCGCTGATACGAGTTTGTGTCTTTCGGAGCTCCTTAAGAGTTTTGGGGTCTCGGGGCTTGAGGTTAAGTGCCGTGGTAAAATACTGTTCAGATTCGGTATAAAGTCCGAGTTCGTAGGCTGCACGGCCTGCACAGAAATAGGCCTTCTCATCACCGGGTTCAGGCGGATCTAGACAGGAAGCTATCGCGTCTTCTTTGGCTGCGGAGAAAGATCTTGCTGTTAGATTGGCGAAGGCACGTTTTCGTAAGGTGGAGAGCTTGAATGCTGTATCTGAGGTAGAGTTGTCTATGGCTTGGGTATAGCTGCAAAATTAGTCGATAACTTCACGGGCAATATTGAGAGTTGACTACTGACCATTCAATAGCAGAAGAAAATTTCTTGTCCAAATAAGCCAGATCTCCAGCTTCTCTCCATTGTGTGGGAGAAATCTCCTTCTTCTCGGTCACAAATTGCAGAATTAATGAAACAGCCGCATCGTCACCTTTTAAGACAGCAATGTCTGAAGGGTGATCTACCCTGATTATCCAATCGTTCTCTCCATTGAATTTACAGTACGGCTCTTTGATCGCCACTGTACTGTTCAATGGAATGCTGGAATCAGAAGATGAGAAGTTTTGAAAGCCTTGAACAAGTCTTGCCACTGCTCCGCTGTCGTCTTCGAGGATAGTGATCAAGTCTGTAGAGTGGTAAGATGAAGTGATTGTACGTGCTGTAACGAAATATCCTCGGTTATGGGTTCCAAGCTTGAGGTCGGACAATGAGATCTAGTATCCTTCTTAGCAGAGATCTAGTGATCTGAGAGTGCTTAATCAACTTTTTGAAGAGTATCAAGAGATGCTGATGAAGGTGCGTAAGCGGCTGGGAGCACGAATGAATTCCTTGATTTCCCAGATTCCTTCTTCAACTCCAAATTTCGGTTATGGATGCGGACTAGGTCATCTTTCCCCAGTGCAGAAGGTGGTTGGCCTTCGAGTGGTATTGCATCTTCATAGATGACTTTGTACTGATCGGGTGACAAGTCGTACGAATCGATGGTACTTGTTGCAATTGGCGACATCTCGACCAGATTCCAAATGTCACACTTGGACAAGTTAAATTCACAGGAGAAACCAGAGACTGCCGTTCACGAGCTTCTGCATCTCGAATTAAACAGATTAGAAATAGTCCAAGACCCGATCAAGGTGATATATCTAAAACTGGGGAAGCTCGGAACTAAGCGCCGGTAAAGGGGGTAGTTGCGCTGCAATTGGTCGTCGGATAAAGTACCAATTGATCTGATGTGCACTAGCATGGGATTTTCAGACCAATATTGTGAACAGATCGCAGATGAGGGATCTCTAGAAGAAAACATGCGGGGAAGACACTTGTGGGGATGATATGCGTTGAGTTTGAGATGTGCGGGCTGTCACAGCTTGCAAGCAAATGCAAGGTCCAGAGCTTTTGAATCCAGTGACCTTCCTCGTTCCAAAGGTAATTCGATTAATCGTAGCCCAATAGCAGACAAAGTCCGCACATGATTTGTTAACAGGTACTGTTTCTAGTTCGAGTGCTGTAGCTTGGATCGATCCATAAATTTATGGCTCTCATATGATCACTAGCTGTAGGCGTTACGTTTGGTAACGACAAGTCCTGTGAGGAATCGAGCATACCTTGTACGCATACTACGTCCTTCAATTCTCTTCTCGATACTCTCGATGCTGGTAGATGTAGTCAAACGCGCCACACTCTCACCTCGGAACTCGACTTGTGCTTGCAGTCGCTGGTTCCGGCCTCTCAGATTGCTGTTAGAGGTTTCATTGCTGCGACAAATACAACGACTTGTAGAAGAGAAAGGACCAAATTGTCTCTGACTACTGGACACAATTGGTCTGGGAAGGGGTGTATGGGACATTGACTTGGATTCAGTTCAGGCACCGTCTGCGTGAAGTGCACTTGATCCGGTTCGTGAAGGAGAGAAGTTCTACCGGAGTGTTGATTGTTCGTCGAGTCTTAGGACAAGGCTCTGGTGGTGGAAGGTGCGGCGTAGCATGGTCATGTAATATGTTGGTTGGGAGATGTCGAGTATGTGAGACTTCGAATTACTGGTAAGGAAAGTTGCAGACTCGTAGAGCTAGTGCAAGGGGATCCTGCTCTGTGACGAATGAGGCAGGCGCTCAACTCAGCCCCTAAGATGTGAGGCGTTTGAAAGGACTAGCTGTCAACGCATGCTAGCTTTGACTTGATATGCATTCTTGAGTAGATTCTGGAGTAATCAAGCTGCAATCTGAGTCAGATCAAAGATCATACAACAGATGAAGTACAGATAGAAGCTCCAAGAGATCTAAGGTTCGTTAGCTAGCGGCGGATGGCACGTCCAAATTTAGAAAGTGGAGACCACGTGCTACCGGTCTCTTTCATTCTTTCTAACATCGCCTTGCGCTCCACCTCCTCGTAACACAATTTCATTCTTGTTCGCCGTCTTTTTGGTGTCCTATCGACCACTTCAGCCTGCATCGACACTGTCGTAATTGCTCGGCCTGACTTACCTGCACAAATGCCGGGTCTTCCCAGTTCTCCAAATTTCCGGGGCTCCGTGAGAAGTTCAAGAGAGCAGGCAGTCCTTTAATTTCATCACAGACAAAGAGTGCGGTGGAGGCAATGGTAAATGCTGCTCATGGGATAAACAAAATCAAAATCCAATGGTTTTGCAATAGACCTTCTGTTTTGCCTGGGGACATCTCTGCAATGATTGCAATTTGAGCTCAATCTCATTGTTCGGCGCCTTTTTAAAACTTTTGCCCTGTCAATTCTATCCCATACTACATGTCTGCGCCACTCGTATTTTGACAGCCTGTTTTGTTTTGCAGTGTTCTCCTCTGGCCTGCGGCGGTGGAACTAGAATCTGACACCCATGTTGAAAGGATCTCGGTTCCTACATCAGCTTCTCAGAGGCGCGACGTTGCAACGATCTTCATCTGTATCTGCAACTTCCTTTTTTTGATTCGGGCTTGATTCCCATTTGTCTTTCTGTATGTGGCTTACTCGGTAGGCTTGCAGGTCAAATCCGCAGTGAAGGATCGGCCCTTCTGTAGCACAAATCGAGATCTCTTGCGATGCTTGTCTTTCGTAAGGCTGTGCCGCGTTATAACAGAGCTGACCATAGCAAGGTACCATGTACCTTGGACCTGAATTTTCCTCCGCAAGTAATTGGCTTTTGAAGCTTGCTAGCTGTAGATCACCGGAAGAAAATAGGTTTTGGCCCCAGGCTGTCGGCACAAGGTGGTACCTAGGTATGCAACGCATCATCAAATCGTTCCTTGCATCCAACAGCCTTCAGCTGCAACGCCGTGCCTGCGAGCTGCAGCACCAAAACTTTGTATATTTCGCTATTTCCACAGTTTTAAAAGGCATGTTATTCTTCTCATAAGTTCTCATCTTCTCAACAGTAACGAGCTTCAAGGTTCAAAGATGCAGGTGCTACGTTTTCTGTCTTTGTTTCTCGGCATATCTAGTGTTGCAGCAAGAATCTCGAAGAGAAATGCCACTACTCCAAATTTAAACGTCCAGAAGCTATGGGACCTTCAAACCAACCTGCTCGACAATTTTCTCTACCCCAATTCCACCGTACAAGCCAAGGAGATCAACTCCACCTTACTTGCTTCAGATATCCAAGGTCGTGTCGATATTACTAGGACTTTCGATGGAGCGGAATTAAATACCGAATATCTCTTCGGCCTTTTCTCCAATCTAGCTGCGAACGCCAACTCTTTTTCGTTGCTCGGGCTGCCCCTTTCTTACGAAATCATTCATTTTACAGCGAACGAATACATTACCGCTGCCAATACACGATTCATGTTCAATTTCACGAGCCTTGGGATTATGCTGCCAGTTGAGATTGATGGTTGGTTTACTTGGAACGAAGCGGGACAAGTAACGCAATACGATGTTACGTTCAAGTACTGGGAATGGTTGCTTGATACCGTGGTAACTGCAGCGTGAGTCTTCCCGTTTGATATGTGCAACTGACACTATGTTACCGTGAAGGCGTATTTAAGATGCTGACTTGTTACACAGTGCACAGCTCTTAAATACGACGACGGCTGCAGCCACACAAACGGCCCTCACTGAAGGCCTCGCTCAAAGCATTTGCGCCACCTCTACACAATATTGCAACGGCACAAACCTTCAGTACGCCAACAGCACTCAATGTTATGAATACTTAACGGAAGAAGTTCGATTTGGCGAGGCGTATGAATTGGGGAGGAACACACTGCTCTGCAGAATGGTACATCAAAACATGGTTCCTTTCCGACCCGAGGTGCACTGCCCGCACATAGGACCAACAGGAGGTGGATACTGCACAGATGATACGACCTATGTTGGAACGGTCGAAAACAACTACTTCAACCTTCCTTTCATGCCATCTGATTTGATATCATAGGGAATATACCGTGGATTGTAACATAGATAGACAGACATTGGACTAGCGCCAGTATCAATGATATAAAAATAATCTTCCAACATTCAACGCTACATGCCTAGGTATCATATAGCCAGGCTTTCCAAAGGTTTGTCCTTCACTCGTCACGTGAAAATGCTTGGCTTTTATGTTACTCAAGCTTCATTCTCTATCCATGTTACAAATCATAAACAGCATCTCCAATTCTTATCTCGATACTTTGGCGGGGTTGTCACTCCAGCATCAGCTCATGGCATCTTCGTCGGTTTGACACGGCGGATGAAGCCGCACTCGAGCCTCTCACAGCACAAAATGTGGCTGAATCATTGGCTCTGGTGTTTCTTTCTCCAGACTTGTGAAAATAACCATGCTCTCCAGCCCTGCAGTTTCGGGCGTTCGGGCCCATTCTGCGTGCTTTAACATAGCCGGGAAGCTGCCAACGGAGCCATTTCTGGAGCTTCTTCAGCGAGCTGTCAGTCTTTTTTTTTGGCAGCAAGCAACCCAATTCAACGGAGCAATCGGGCAGCGTTGGGCTTGCGGATGGAGGTAAAAGTCCGTGATAGAGTATTTCTCTACTTGTACAGTACACTTCGATTCTTCTCTTGAGGGAATTATCGCTTTGTCCCTCGCGCTTATTCCGGAGCTTTAGATGTGACAAGACAGAGCTGCTGCGCTGCAGAAGATTGATCGCCTTGATCCCTGTCCGCGAAAAAGAAGCATCTGGGCAATTACGTCGCCGGGCTTGGAATTGTCTGACAACCACACAACAATCAAGGCACAGGAAGGAAGCTCCAATAAAAAATATAAAACCACAGCCAGCTTTCTGTGCAACCCCCCAGCTTCGGAAAAGTAAGGAACCTGACACGACCACGTCTGTAAAGCGGACAAACGCGGACCTTTTGCTCCTCCTTGCACTCTTTAATATCACCTCCAACCCTGCATTCACCGCAACCTGACCATCGAAAGTCCATGTAACCGCTATTAAAGCTTTCCAGCTTCGACTCTCGGAAGCTGCAGCTGTTCCTACTCCAACACCTAGATTTCCGACCTTTTCTTGTCCCACCTTGCCCCACCGACAATAACCGTGGTCAACAAACCCCTCCAAAATACCATCAGCTGTCGAACGCGCAACAGCAGAGCTCTGCACAGCTCCCTACATATACTGCCATCCCCTAGAATCTCCCTCCCTACGCCATCCCACACGAAATCAAAATGCCGTCTCTTGAATCCAACCCCAAACCACAGGGCAGACTTCTGCTCGTCTCAAATCGACTTCCTATCACAATCAAACCTTCCGGAGATGGCGCATACAGCTTCTCCATGTCCTCCGGTGGTCTCGTCACAGGTCTCAGCGGATTAGCAAAGACGACAACATTCCAGTGGTACGGATGGCCTGGTTTGGAGGTCCCTGAGACGGAGAGAGGACCATTGGTCAAGCAGTTGTCGGACGAACATGGAGCTGTACCCGTCTTTGTCGACGATGAGCTCGCAGACAGGCATTATAATGGATTCTCAAGTACTTCACTCGAGAGCAAAAGTTGGCAGATGGGATACTAATGGTTGGCAGATTCTATCCTTTGGCCCCTCTTTCATTACCATCCCGGAGAGATCACATTCGACGAGTCGGCCTGGGCAGCATACAAAGAGGTCAATCGTCTCTTCGCGAAAACCATGGCGAAGGATGTACAAGATGGCGATTTAGTCTGGGTCCACGATTACCATCTTATGCTTCTGCCAGAGATGTTGCGAGAGGAGATTGGAACTTCGAAGAAGAATGTCAAGATTGGCTTCTTCCTGCATACTCCGTTCCCTAGTAGTGAGATTTATAGGATTCTGCCAGTCAGAGAGGCGTTGTTGTTGGGTGTTTTGCATTGCGATTTGATTGGGTTCCATACCTATGACTATGCCAGACATTTCTTGAGCAGCTGTTCGAGAATATTGTGAGTCTATTCTTTGGGCTGGAGGATTGAAATTAATGAATTTTAGGGAAACACCTACGACACCAAACGGCGTCGAATTTCGTGGCAAGTTTGTCACTGTGGCAGCATTTCCGATCGGAATTGATCCCGAGAAGTTTGTCGATGGTCTGAAAAAGAAATCAGTCCAGGATCGTATCGCTGTTTTGGAACGCAAATTCGAAGGCGTCAAGCTTATTGTTGGAGTCGATCGATTGGATTACATAAAAGGTGTCCCGCAAAAGCTCCATGCTTTGGAGGTATTCCTGACAGAACACCCTGAATGGATCGGCAAAGTCGTCCTTGTCCAAGTCGCAGTTCCCAGTCGACAGGATGTCGAAGAGTACCAAAATCTCCGAGCTGTTGTGAACGAGCTTGTTGGGCGCATCAATGGCAGATTTGGTACCATCGAGTTCATGCCTATTCATTTCCTCCATCAATCTGTCGATTTCGAGGAGCTCACTGCTCTGTACGCTGTTTCGGATGCATGCTTGGTTTCTTCCACACGTGATGGCATGAACCTCGTCTCTTACGAATACATCGCTACTCAGCGAAAACGTCATGGTGTCATGATACTCTCCGAATTCACGGGTGCTGCTCAATCTCTCAACGGAGCATTAATCGTCAATCCATGGAACACAGAGGAACTTGCAGGCGCCATTCACGATGCCGTCACGATGAGCCCCGAGCAAAGAGAAATCAACTTCAAGAAATTGGAGAGATATGTGTTCAAGTACACTAGTGCTTGGTGGGGAGAGAGTTTTGTGGGTGAATTGGTCAAGATCAGTGACCATGCGGATAAGAAGGCGAAGAGACTTAGCGTGGCACCCACTGCTGGGACGGTGAGTGAGTTGGCTGAAGATGTGGCTGATTTGAAGGTTAACGGTGAGGATGAGGACTAGAGGGAGGAAATGAGCCATGATACATGAGTGATGGGCGAAGGAAATGCATGATACGATACCAGTTTGTTTTGTAATAGACATATGACCTTGATAGGTTTGGCGCTGGATCGGGAGTACACGCTGGGCTCTCATAGATACTTCGGGAACTCGACCCAAAAAATTGCATCGATACTAGAAACCTTCTCCAAAGACCTCGCTTCTTTCCCCCTTTCCACCTCACGTGCCTCTCCCTCACTCATTCATTCAAATCTACCTAGAACGTCCTCCCCATCTTAACCAACTCCAACACCCTCCCATCCTCCATCACCTTATCACACCTTCCCTTGCCCCCTACTCCCTCCTCTTCCAACCTCCCATACCCCGCCCGCTCATAAAACCCAACTCCCGCATACGTAGCCCCAAACTCCAACCTCCTAAACCCCCTCCCCCTAACCTCCCCCTCACACCTCCTCAACATCACCCCCGCTAGCCCCAACCCCGTAAAGCTTGGATGCACAAACATAGCCCTCAACCTCGCCGCATCTTTGCCTGGATCTAACTCCGTCGGATCCCGCGCCGAGAATTGATCCCCGCCGTACAGGGTGCTGCGGAAGGAGTAGCTGCCTGCTGCTACGATTTCCTCTTCGTTCTGGTTTGGGGATTGGAGCGGGGTAGCGGAGATCAGAAAATACGTCCCGTCAGAAATCAACAGGGAATCGACGCCATACACGTATTTCATCGCTGAATCGATTACCGCAGCGGAGTAAAATGGGGTGTGCAGCGTGCGGACCGAGAGCGAGATCATGGTGTTGAGGGCAGGGGTGTCGGGGGGTGCGGCGGGGCGGAGGTAGAAGGTGTGGGTTGGAGTTTGGAGGATGGGGGTCATTGTGTTGGAGGGTGCGTGAGTGAGTGATAGACGAGGTGTTTGGAAAGGAAGGGGTGTACTTTTAGGGGGAGAGACTTAAAGCTGACTCATGGCCGATGGGAACACCGATGAAATAAATTAAGAGATATCTCGCATGGGGTGAATGGTGTTGACCGAGTTGAACAATTTGCAAATATCAATCAAACTGTACTTTTTCGTCATGATATTATAGAGGTTGAATGAAGCCTGATGCCGGCCATGCCGAATTCCGACTCGACACGGCTCGGCTCAAGGAAGGTTTACAGTACCGAAACCAACTGATTCCACAAGGACTCAATCTGGTTTATCCAGAAGGTAAATGTAGGACTATGGTGTTTAAAATTTACTTTTACAAAGACTGATGAATGTTGAGCTTACAAGGCACTTACGATATGTAAAGAACCACCAGTAGCTGAATTTTCTATTCGAGACCAGATTCGATCCACGTTCGAGAGACCAGTACTTTTGTCTCAATGATTTACCGTTGACTCGCCAAAATACAACACAAAGACATACTTCACACTCGAGGACAGGCAACAATTGATGCCAGTAATAATCTCAATTGTTTTCGATCATGAGCCAGACTCCCCAATCTATCATGTGGAAGCAAACACGTAACAGGATTAAAAGCAACAAACCGTGTACCTATTTGAGGTACTATCCAGACGCCGATACCACTTAATAACAATGCTAAAACAAAAAAAGAATACCCTTCTATGACGACTACCACCCCTTTGTACCCACCATTCCGACTCCTATTCAATACACTACTCTCAAAGCAATACCATAACACCAATCAAGCAAATCGCGAGAGCACCAGTGCCTAAAACTCCCTTGCTCGGAGCCGAGTTCTTTTTGCTTGTGGGACTTGCGATCGCAGAAGCCTTCGTGTTGACCACCTGTTTGTTCGCCTTAGAAGCTGAGCTGTTGGCAAAGTTTGCAGAAATAATTGACTCAATACTAGCTTGGTCGCCGATTATGCTGCTGAGATAGTCCTGGTCTTCTGGCAACATTGTTGCAATCATGCTACTCAACTCAATACTAATTTGGTCGCCGATTATGCTGCTGAGATACTCCTGGTCTTCTGGCAACATTGTTGCAATCATGCTACTCAACTCAATACTAACTTGGTCGCCGATTATGCTGCTGAGATAATCAACATTATCATTGGCTTCGTCGTGTATTTGAGCAACCATAGAAGAATATGATGACTCTTCGGTATACGGATAATCAGGATCGGTATCCTGTCTCTTGGTCTTCGTCCTCATGGTCGTTCGTGAGCCCATGTTCTTAATTTTGGATGTGAGAGAAATTTCAGCTGCGAGAACTTTACTCAAATATTCAGAAGCGATTGACGGCATGTGACCTAAGGGTCTGCTGAGGTCTTGGACATTGGTGATTGTCGTAGCATGGAGTAGACTTGTTAGCTCGTTGTATCCGGATCCTGTCTTTACTGCACTTAGTGTAGCCATGTCTCTCCAATCTGCACGTGCCATGAAGGAATCCACAATGGAATACAATGCTGACATGTAACCGTTGGCAAAAGCCGAGGTCTATACCAAAACAATCAGTCGCTATCCACGCTCGAGGCTGGACTTTAAGCTTCTTAGCTTACCTGCTCTGGCGTCCATCCCAAATCTGTGGTGTTTGCGGCATCAGATGGCAAAACAGCCCGCGATGTGATGGCATGCTCCTTTGAATCAGTCGTGGTCGTCGCCGGCGAATTCAATAGATTGGATGAGTTGCTGATGTCGAGGTGCATAGCAGCAATCAAGAAGTCCAGATTGATAACATGAGGTTCCAAAGCTGCCGTAACGGAATTACCTTCACTTGCTGTCTCTGCACCCCGGTTGCCAAGGATGGACATGATTTTCGGATGGGAACCGCTAGAAACAGCCTGAAGAATCCTTGCCTCTAGCCGCCCGACCTTTTCAATTTGTCAGTACGTGACCGTCAGAGTTGACGGGGATTCATGGACTATAGCTACTTGCACATACCTGTTCTGGTGTCAAGGAAGTGACTGTATATGTATTCGCAATGTTCTTCGCAGTTTTTCGTGGTAGCACAGCGCGAGAAGTAATAGTACTGTGTTTTTTCGTCTTGAGAGTCGTTGAAGATCCCGAGGATGTGGGGACAATCAAGGTTCCACTGGTCATGAATGCTGTTGTATCCGATGTCACAGACACTGTGGCTGTCCCTGGTGCATTCACAGCTTCGGATCCTATGCTCACTACAGCATAGGCCATACTACTCAACATCGATCGCGCATAGGTTGGATACAAAGCTAAAAAGCTGCCCAACTTGGTGCTGAAAGCCGAAGATCCAGGCACAGTCTGCGTAAAAAGGTCGTTGATAGCCGTGGCGTCAAGTTGTTCGGTCGCCAGGTTATCGAAGACAGACGCGTACTCTGGAGACGATCCAAGTGAGTCAAGGTAGCTCATAAAAGCATCGCTTGCTACATCAATCTGCCATAATCAGAGACTAAACGCCGAGTATTGGTTGGGTACTTACCTGCTCTGGGGTCAAAGATGTGACTGTGAAGTAATCAACGGCAGCACTAGTGTTGGTGGGAATCTCTGATGAAGCAGTGGTGACAATAGCAGGAGCAGCGGTCGTAGTGGCATCGAGGATGGTGGTAGTTCCAACTATTTTCGAAGATGTAGTGCTAGACTTCCTTTTCTTGCAGAGGACAGGTATTCCTGCAACCGCAAGCAAAGTGACGAGCTTCGAGACCTTCATCGTGTGTTTGAGTCGGCACGGTCAAGTTCTTGAGAATAGATCGGACAATAGCAAGTCAGAAAGGATGTGTAATGTAATGAAACACCAATATCGATTATGCTATTGTGGATGTTATTGTAATCGTGAGCGAGGAGCAAGAATGCAGAAAAGTTGTGATGATGTTGTGTGATAGAGAAGGGCGACTCGAGGGCGAGAGATGAAGTACACTTGTAAAAGTTGCCATGAGGGAAGGAGCGACACTGATCGTGTTTGCAGCGCTTGCGAGGCAGGTACGCCCAACATCAGTGCCAAGCCCACCAGAGTCCCGCAAAATATCGAACAATAGTCAAGACAACGTACAATACCGCATCATACTTGGCTCCTCAATCATTTTAATCATGCATCATTGACCTCCAAGAAAGGAGAAGCGAAAATAAGCGACAAGTTCCCTTTAGCTGATTTCAAAACAAAAGCATAAAAAGTATTCACAGGTCAGAGAGACAAAAACTCCGGGCAGCCCTGGCGCCGCCCCGCAAGCTGTTAGGTATTGCGGGATAGAACAAGGGATGCCCTTGAAAACCCATTCCGGGGGGATGGGTTTTTTGCATTGCATTGCTGCAAGCAGATCGTGCGGAGATTACACCCCGCGTTAGCGACAGGAACGTATGCGGGATTAGCGACGGGAAATTTTTGCTTATTTATATTTATATAGTAATACGTATAGGTTTGTAGCGCTAAGAAGCGAGGTTCGCTATTGGTCGTTTGATTGTGCTGTTTTGAGGATTGAAGTTGAGTGTGAACTGGTTGGAGCTAGGCTTCTACCCGCGGGTATATCTAGAGAACATCTTCTATTGTATTGGCATAGGATTGTGATCTAAAGAGTAGCAATTAGAACATATCCTGTAGCCCAATCCATCACTCTTCGTCACTTTCATTCTCGAAGCTATCCTCCGATCCCAACTGTGTCGCGCAGGATGTCATGCCAAGTTTGTACATCGTCCCTATACTCACAAATATTTCTCGTAGAATTCTTCTTCTTCAGTTAGCCTAAGACCACCTTCAGAATATCCGCTTCAGGAAACCATGATCATGGCTCAATAAGCTTCCTGTCTTGCTTTCCTGGTGTTGTGTCGTATGAGGACTCTTTGACACACTCCCTCAAATAAGCTTCCCTGTCTCCATTTAGAAATACTAAGATTGACTCACCATATCTCTTGGTGTGGCATTCTTTCAGTTATCATCTCGTGTTTCACCCACTCTCCTTTCTCGTTTTCTTCGAACCTCTGCTATATCCCTGCTGAGTCTTCCGGTCTCATATCAAATAGCTTTTTGGCCTGCAAATCCTTTATCTTTTCTTCAGCCAGAGGTACGAGATCACCCTTCCCCTTCAGACTCGTGTTCAAGGGCTCTGACAAGAATACATCCAGGTCCCGGAGATTCTCCAACAACGATTGCGGATATGGGGGGAGGTTTGCGACTTTGCAGTCTTCGTAGGATCAAACTCCATTATTGAGAATGCCATATTTAATTAGCGAACAGTTTTGGAACTTTTGAGGAGAAGTCAGTTAGTGTTTAGAATTTTAGATATTTTCGTTCAATTTAAAACAGGATGTGCGAATTAGTTTGCTTCGATAAAAGCGCAAAAGCAGTAAACAAAGCCGGAGAGAAAATGCAGCACAAGCGACATTCAAGACAGCCGTTTCCTAGATCCGAGTTCAGCTTAAACTCTAATCTCGTACCGTACTAACAATACTTCTCTCTTAATTCAAGGGCGCAACGAGCACCTCAACATCGGCCAGATGCACGTGACCTCGCTGCAACATCGTGATTAGGCAGCGGATGAGGCGGAGGCGCAGCGCCTTGTCTCCAACTGTCAATCTCATCTCTCGATATCAAGCAATGCATTCCGTTCACGATGAGGCTTCTCAACGTAGGAACGAAACAGCTGAAAGACTTCATGGGCGATGACAACATCCCTGAATATGCAATCCTATCTCACACGTGGGGAGAAGACGAAGTTACGTTCGATGGCCTCCTTGACCTTTTCGTGAAAAGCAAATTAGGATATACCAAAATTGACTATTGTTGCCAACAGGCTCTGGAGGATGGGCTCGAGTGGGTTTGGATTGATACGTAAGGAGGCAATGCCGATTGATGTAGATCATTCGCTAACACTCGATAGTTGCTGTATAGACAAATCAAGCAGTGCCGAGCTTTCGGAAGCCATCAATTCTATGTTTCGATGGTATCAGAATGCGGTTTGTTGCTATGTATACTTGTCTGATTATTTCCAATCTACTGGATCCGATGAGGTTGGAAACGCTTCGGGATTCGCGAATTGTCGCTGGTTCACTCGAGGATGGACTCTACAGGAGCTTCTTGCTCCTAAGACTGTGCTGTTCTACTCACGAACTTGGATTTATCTGGGATCTAAAGACACGCTCTGTAAGACGCTTTCGGAAATCACTGGCATAGAACGAGAAACGCTGGAGGGCGAGGCCTTGAATAGGACAAGTATCGCAAGGAGGATGTATTGGGCTGCAGGAAGAGTAACCACAAGGACCGAGGATCTCGCCTACTGCCTACTTGGTATATTCGACGTGAACATGCCTTTGTTATACGGAGAAGGCGAAAAAGCATTCTTCCGCTTGCAAGAAGAAATTATAAAATCATCCTCGGACCAGTCATTGTTTGCTTGGGGAGGCTCGACCCTCCTGACTATGGAAACTTACTTGCATCAGAAAGACTTTCTCAACTCAGACTTGCGAGGGCTATTGGCCGAATCTCCTGATGATTTTGAGAATAGTGGATTTATCGATTCTCTTAATCACTGGGAGCTCGAACGAGGAGGTTGGGACCCAAAACCCACGACAATTCATAACAAAACTATACATGTTCATTTACCAGTGGTCAAGAGCACGCATCCTAACATCGAATGTACTTTCGCTGTTCTTGGTTGCCGTAAGCGTGAAAGATACGCCATTGACAACTCCAACTACATTGCCATCCCGCTCCTTCTCCTGGACACCGGCATGTTCGTTCGGTATAATAAACTCATTCTTATTCCTAAAGCTGGTCATCTTTACAATTCCGAAGCAATCAAATCTAAAACACAGCATCTCAGCCTTGCAATCTCATCAAAAATGCGATGGGACTTCGACCTCCTGGAACAGCACTCTGCTCGTTATTTCCTGCGTCCTAAAATACCTTCATCGGGAACTACAGTCTACTTATCTCATGTACATTGCAATGCGACGACCAATTATGACAGACAGACCGGAATGGTATGGAGTGACCAAAGTTTCGGGTCCATAGCTGCATACTTCCTGTTTAAATGTCATACACAGGAGTCTTCTTTTGCGGTAGTCATTTCTGGGACTTCTGTCTGGGCTCTAAGACCGACTGGGGATAAAGGGCCGGACTTGATTGATCGGATCTACGTTCATGCAAAGATCCACCATCATGCTTATGATCCGTGCGGCGACTTATCACCCAGCTCTTTTGAAGGCATAGTAAGGGATAATTCTGGATGGAAAAGAATGATGGGGCCTGATGCCAGCGTTGCTCCACAATCCGACCGCAAGCCCACCGGACGGTACATGGAGCTTGCTTTGAGTGACTATACTAAAGCTGTCATCACAACCCAATGGATAACTTGGCAGGATAGATGGCACGAAGATCTTACGATTGATATAGTCAAGAACTTCAGTTTGCAGAATAAAGTTGCTAAAACGACAGAAGGGGAAAATAGCCTCAAGAGAAAAGCTGCGGATCTTGCACCGAAGGGAGGACTCCTAGAAAGATTGACCTTGAAGAAGAGGAGTTGAAGCAATGATGGTTGGATCTGGTGCTTTCTACCTGGTTCCATCTTCTAGTGTTGGTAGCCATTAAATGGCTCAGCAGAACCAACATTCTAGGCGACGCCAATCCCCAATCCTCTCCAAGACCACAACCCAAACCCATCAGAAGCATCAACATTCAACTAAACGACAATCATAAATACTCAAAAGACACTCAAAATGAAAACTCCCCCAATCTATCTCGCACTACCCCCTCTCATCTGGGCCAGAAGCAGCCGAGCAACTTCCAACGCCACCATCACAAAAGACCTGATCACCATCCCAACATCCTGCATCTACGGCCACAATACCACCTGGCTCCACAACATGGCGCTCTCGCACCAAGGCGAGTGCTTTGCCCCCAGAAGTTACTATTGCATGAGTCTGCAACAAAATATTTTCGGCACTCTCAAAACGATTGGTGCCGGCGATTATCACCGTGCACCGATAGTTGCAGATGGAAACGACAAGGTGATATCGAAGTCAACAATAGAGAGGAGCGAGGACTGTGCTCCACCTTGGCGCGTAGTTTACAATGACTCTACTGGTCATTCAGAGAAAAGGAATTGCAGCTGTGCGGGGAGATTGAAGGGAGAGCAGAATGATAAGAATGCTGCACCGCCTCGAGAACATTTCGTCTCTTTGCGAGAACATGAATTTCCGATACCAACGCCCGCATCATTCGAGGTCGACTCCGAGAACTCGGACGGATACTACGATATTCTCGTCTATCAAATTAAGTAAGCCGTGAATCGACACTGTGCAGGCAGAGAAAGTAGGAGAGTGATAACAGAAGTGAGCCACTTGGCGGAAAGGACAGAAAGGAGATAATTCTTTGGTATGGGTATTATTCATTAGGTATCTCTCTCTATACACGCAATCCTGCTGCGCATGGGTATAAATCTATCATTCAGTCTTCGCCCATCCATCCTTTCATCCGCGTTACTCCGTCCCAGACACCAACAATGCAACGCCTCCTGTTTCGCTAACATTATAAGGCATACTCATCCTCTTCGTAAATTTTGACCCTATCCGCATACGTCCTTATCTCACTCACAACATTCTCTCCAATCCCATCTCCTTTGCCTCCTACAACTCTGAGGATCAAGTCATTCAAGCTTTGTCGTCCGAGGATATCAACATGGTCACCTGTGTTCGGACCACCTCGGGGACTGAATCTATCAGGCTCGTGTGGCATCTCGTAGACCTTGATCTTGACACCAGCTGGATTGTATCGATGCATGTTCCAACCTTTGTTACACATGTAACCGACAGAGAGCAAGTTGACAGTGCCGTCGCCTTCGCCGAGAATCACACCGTGGTCGATGTTGTCTTTAGTCAGACCTGTATCGATTGTGATGTTGAGTGACGTGAGAGGATTCTCGGGATTACGGTAATAATAAGATCGTTCTGTCGGTTTCCCGATTCCTGCTTTATGTCAGACATTGTCCTAGAGTGGCACATTGAGAGGCTTACCATAGAAGCAATATATTTTCAGATTCGGCGCAAGAGGTAGTCTCGTTTCTAGCGGATTAACCCATTTCCTCGGATCCTTCTCGTTTGCCTCCACTTCCGCAGTTGTATGCGCAACTCCATGGGAATAACTGCCATGGACTTGATCTTGATACCACTGCTCCGTAGTATCCATCAGATACGAAAGACTGTCCTCGACAGTCAGGTTCCTGTACTCTTTCGTCCCATTCATTTGCTTGAAATTCAAAAAGTTCCCATAAGTGACGTTCTGACCCGGAAGATCATCTGGCGCCCAAGTCGAGTTTCCCCAGACTGCATTACCACCAATGGGAAGCATAGAGCTAATGCCTGGCATGGCTCGGAAAAGCTCCGCTCTTTCTTCTCTGCTCAAGAACTTTTCCAGTCCGTAGACGGCAAAAGCATTTAGCTGTGCTGTGTCTTTCATTTCACCTGACAGGACAGCTGGGAGACCTTTCAGAGCTCCCAGCATGCATCCACTGATATTGATCCAAGAATCAATATGGTCATCGACCCAGCTATCACCTCCTTGGCCTCCACTTTCAGCGGCGACCCAGTGAAAGAAGTAGAATAGCACCTGGCTTCCCATGGAATGGCTGACCATCACCACTTTCTTATTCGACGTCTTGACACCCATCTCGATATACATCTTCAACCTCGTAAAGTACTGATCCCTCACTTCGAGATTCGCATATGAGAGTCTCCAATCATATGCCGCCGTGTACGAATTCGTGGGATCATAACCAATCGTTGCCAGATTCTCGAGGATTTTGTTCCAAATCCAGTATCCAGTAATGAAAAAGTCCGCCGCATCGAAGCCCTGAGCAGCACGCAACTTGATCCCACCCGGCGGATCCAAACCCGTATATTTATCGAGCATAATATGCCTCTTCCACCCCTCCTTATCCAACACCAACGCCCTCATCATACTCCAACTCCCCCATAACCGTTTCCTGAAATACTGCCTCGAGCTATTCGTTGTTCCCCAAGACTCCAACCCCGTCGAAATAACGCCCGGGACCATAATAACAGGATGATTGGCCCTCACGCCTTGCGACAATAGGTTCAACCCCACCGAGAAAGAATCGTAATTCACAGCATCCCTCTCTCCTTGCTACCCAAAATCAGCACTCTCTCTCCCCCGTCCGCAATCAGAAACTTACCGCTAAATCCCTAGCATCCCTCACAAAGCCCGCAGGCAAGACATCAATCAACGAATCCATACTTAAATCCCCTAGTTCAGGAAAGTCAATCAAATCACTCTGCCTCGCAAAAAACCCCGCCACCACAATCCCAAAGAGACCTCCGAGCCCGAAGATAAATCCATTTCTCCTTTTTCGCCTGCTGTGTTTATGCTTGTGTTCATGGCCTGAACCTATGATTTTTGAGATGGGCGCGAGACGTACTTCCTCGGCTTTGTCGGGAGCTGATTCTTCTGGAGTAGGAGAGGAGGATGAAGACGGCGTTGTACCTAGGATGCGTTTGCGGAGGAAAGATGCCATGGCTGACGAGCAAGAAGGGGTATGTACAATAGCGAACAAGAGAAGTTATAAAAGAGAAGTGAACATTATTCTACTATTGCACATGTCGCGCACGCGGACCAAGAATGAAATTCCCTACGCGGCACGACGTCAGAGCTTCTAAAATCAGTGCCGAAGTCCAGCCGGGTGCCTGACTATTTTTCCTCAGCCTTACTCACATGTGAAAGAAAGCTTGTCCCGCAACTCACCTCAGCAGATCTCCAACAACAAGATGGCAGAAGACGCCGTCGCAGACAGCAAAGCGAGCGATAGCAAAGCAACAGGACTCCCTGCCGAGCTACGATACATCCAATACTCGCATGAATTGGAAAAACAATACCTGCCCGCAATCCGAGCTCTGATATCCAAGGATCTCAGTGAGCCGTATAGCATCTATGTCTACCGATACTTCCTGTACCAATGGGGCGATCTCTGTTTTCTCGTATGTACCATTCTATCTTGGAAACTCAGAAGAAAAAGAAAAGGAAGTCTAATACCTCCCAGGCAATTCACCCCACAACCTCCCTCCTAATCGGCATCGTGATCTCCAAACTCGAGACCCACCAATCGCACTCCCCTCCCACGCTCCGCGGCTACATCGCCATGCTCGCCACCTCGTCCGCCTATCGTAACCAAGGGATCGCTACGACGTTAGTCCGGAAAGCTATCGATGCCATGATCGAGCGCGGAGCAGACGAGGTTGTGCTCGAGACGGAAGAGAGCAATACACCTGCCGTGAAGCTGTATGAGCGATTGGGGTTCATTAGGAGTAAGAAGTTGCATCGATACTATTTGAATGGCAGTAGTGCGTATAGGTTGGTGTTGCATTTGAAGCGGACCATGGACATGAGTGGTGAAGTTGGTATTTAGAGGCTGGGGGTTGGACACAATGAGTTACGAATTGATGATTGGGAATGACTTCATGAATGGAATGGTTGGAGGAAGCAAAAATTTGATTAGAGCTTGCTAGTTCATTAGAGCTAGAAATGCGCTGAAGTTCTGGACAGCAAACGAATATCGTGAGCAAATGGGTATCTTGAAACAATTATTCCCACTCCAATGGACGCCAGTCTCCTTCATCTTTCTTTTTCTTCTTGTAGAAAAAACTGTCTAGTTGCTTTTCGGTTTTCGCTTGCAATATATCTTTCGAGCTGTAAAGTGATGCTTTGATATTGTATGGGTTGGCCGAGGTCAATTCGAGATAAGTGTACGCATCTTCCAAACAGATTAGCCATGACCCAATCAGGCCAAACTTGAGGATTCAGAGCTAATGAAAGTAGGACCAAACTCACCACACTTGTAATAGATGGGCTTCTCCCGATTGTTGACAAGTCCTAGATCCTTCATCTTGTGGAGCACTCTCGAAACATCCTTCATATCCGTGAAATCTTTTGTGTAAATGCACATCAACCGAGGTTTTCTATTTTGACCATCGTCAGGCGCGACTTTTGCTGCAATACCCAGGTCATTATCTGCAGTTGCTCGAGCCACGACAGACCAGACAGCATTGACTTCTGCCTCATCGCAGAAAAGCATCCACTACCATCAGTGTTAGCTCTATGATCCTTTTCAATACGAGAACGATATAAACGCTAAGGACTTTGAAATGTGACAGCTTGACCTACTTTGCCAGTAGTACAGTGCAGATTTTTAGCTGTGTCCAGTATCTCCTTAACAATTCGGTCTTTGTCCGCATTGACTTCTCTCGTGATAGCTGCTTTAGTCTTACCGGGCTTCTTTTTCTCAAGTGTGTGTCGTATTTGAGTCAATTCCTGAAGAAGCCTATTGCCAGTGACGGTGAATGCACCCCATTCACTTCTCTCATCAGGTGGTCCTTCTCCCGTACGACTATAGTCATCATGGTCTTTGCGTTGAGGTGCTTTGCGGTAAGGATTGGCGATAAATATCCTTAAATGACTTAGTACTTTGGTATGAACGGAAACTAAAACGTTCCGCACGGCAGAAACTGACGGAAGTAGAGAGGATTGCGTATGCTCACCAGGGTATAGTACTAGAGAATGGAGTAGTGGCTGGTGGAAGTCTTGCAAGAAAATCGTCTACAGTTTCGGAGAGTTGTCGAGCCTCGCCTCGACCTTCATATGGATTGTAAAGCTTGACAGACTCCTTGACAATATCTGTCTTCATATTCTTTTCGGCAATCTCCATGAGAGTCGGGATCTTGCACTTCCACCACTCTGCAACATCGAATGTGCTTGCTTTCTCCTCGAGTTCATGCTTGGCCACCTCGTCACCTGACTGGGTCAATTTAGTGCAGCAGGAATTAGAAATTCAAGGTACCATAGAAATCCGATTCGTCAGATAGATATCCATTCTCTTCAACTGATCTCATTGCTCCAATTTTGACCGCCATCTTGGAATCACATGGAGAATGTGGCAGAAATAGATCCGAAAGTGCCGTGTTCAACGCGTGAATCGAGCATCAAAGAAGGCAAACTCGTAAGAAGTAACTCGCTCGCGAAACATCAATTGAAGACAAACAAAGACGGAAAACACGTGTAACAATTACCAATTGAAATGTGATCGCATTTTCAGAGACTTATCTCGCGTTCCTGACGTGAGAGAAGGAAGGTTTGAAGGAGTCAGAAAGTTGGCTGTGAACGACGAGGGAGGAAGAAGGCACGCTACGCTCGGGCCTCTTCATGATCTGCAACTGCCCTTCAGCTTTCCCTCTCATCACCAACCAAACTATGGAAACTTCAAGCATCGCGACCTCGGATGCAGGTTACTTCTCCGGAGGGCGGGACGTGTCAGATGACGAGGTTAGGCTCAAATATTCTCCAGCCGTCGAGCCAATTGTCTCGAAAACTCTTCAGCTCCAACCCGATTGCTTGGAATTCGCGCCAGCAAACATCTCAAGCACCGTCTACTCTCCTTTCCTAAGCAAGTTTGCTGCGGAGTATTTCGTTATCGGAACCTATCTTCTCGTAGAGAGCAGTACAGTTGACGAGGACGGAGAGCCAACGAACAGCAGACCTCAAGAAAAACGAGGCGGGCTGTCCCTTTTCAGGCTGCAAGGCAATACACTGTAAGTGTTTCATTGTGTTCGTTGCTTGGTCGATTCTCTTTCCTGCAAAAGCTTGAATTCTGATGCCTTTCAAGCTCAGGAGAGGAAGATACATCTCGGGACTATGGCGTTTACGACTTGAAATTCCTGCCATACCATCCCATTTTCGCTGCTGCAACAACCCTGGGGAAAATACTCATTTGCCAGCTCGAAGAAATTGGGGAGCCAGAGCAGAAGGATCTGCAGATTAAGGAAGTCTCCAGCCACCAAGTCATTCCGGAAAATATCACCATCTGTTCTGTTGCGTGGTTTCCTCTCCAGCACGCTTCTGATGGGACCCGCATCTTAGCTTTTACAGTTGAGGATGGTAGAGTTTTCCTGGTCCGCTTCAGAGATGACTTTAAGTCCTTCGATTTCTTGAATGGCCAGCTTCCAGTACATCAACACTTCGACAAGACACCTGTTTCCAACAATGCGGAAAGGGCATGGTGCTGTGCATTTTCGCGCCCTCGTCCGGATAGCGTGATGTCTGGCGGTGACGATTCCGTCTTGCGCAGGTCGACTTTGAATTTCCCTCAGGACCTTACAACTCTTCAGGAAGACAGCAGCCTTTGGTCAGTGGTCACTGACTTGGCACTCTACAGAGAGAAGAGATTCCCACAAGGTGTCACCGCCATCCTCCCATTTCCATTCTGCACCCCTGAGTGTAGTTCGACAATATTTCTTGTTGGCTGCTATGATTCTAGTGTTGGTCTTTGGTCCGTGTACGGAAAAGATGTCCCCGAGGCCGAAGTGAATCTAGGTGGAGGCGTTTATCGTTTGAAATTCCTCCAGTACGAGCCCGGTCCACCAGAGCAAGTGGCTTGCACATTTCAAGTCTTAGCATCTTGCATGGATGCAGGAACCAAGATCCTGGAAGTGAAGCGAAGCATCAGTGGACATTGGTTTATCGATGTTGTGGCAGAGGTCAAGGACCACCAGGACTTGTGCTACGCAGCTGATGTCCAACCTCTGCCTGCTCCAGGTGATGGCGAAGCTCCAATTACATGTCTTGAGGAGAGGATATGCGTCAGTTCCAGCTTCAAAGATTGTAAGCTCAGTGTTTGGAAGTTCAACCCACTCCACGTTGTAAGAGGAGGAATCATTTTACCATTACACTCACCCATGGCAGAGTGATGATGGGGGTACGGGATTGCAATTATCTGAGGTCATGACGACGAAGCGAGGTCTGTTGCCGTTGCTCCAGAAGTTATACATCGACGAACGGACAAGCATCGATATCAAGGTACGGTTCACAATTTCAAATGGCTGTGTGGATACTGACCAACAACCAGGATCATTGATTCCTTGCTAAGCATTAAACGCTTGTCCCAACCAAGCAGCGTTACGACTCAGTCACGAAAAAGTCACGTACATAGTATGATATCAAAAGTACAAATGAATCATGAATTCTCAAAATAGTTCCGTTTTACCTACTCGTGGATCATGAAAACCCGTGTTCAAAAAACTCCGCGAAAAGCCCATGCCCGAGAAAATCCTTCCTGCCAATATGACTTTCAATGCCTAAACCGAAATGCTACTCAAAAAAACGTTCGTCACCGGGTATCATGCTTTCAGGTTGCCTATACTTCCATGCTCGTAGCTTGACCATAAATTTTTTGCCCAATTGAAAAATCCCTGAAAATGCGAGCTCCAGGCTCTTTTTCTCCTCCTGCCATTACCACTTCCTTGCTCGCGATCTTGCTAGACCAAACAAAAAGAATCTAGGAGTTCCCAATACTCCAAAGCTCCACGCCTAGAATGTCGAATTTCTCGCCTTCCTCGCTCAAAGGTTCGTTTCCGAACGTCAGACAATGACTGCTGATTCCCCGCTCGAAACTATCGTCGAGCCATAATCCATAGTGGCCATCTCCCCCGCCTAGACTCAAGAAGCCCGTTTCGCATAACATGAGGTAATCGTTGACACCAGAGTACGGGAAAGCTTTGAAGCGGATGCGGTCTGGTGTCGAGACGCCGGATTGGAAGGAGGGGGAATTGGGCGAGCGGGGAGCGAGAGAGGCTGTAGATGTGTTGGGGGAGATGGAGTGGTGGTTTGAGAGGGAGGATGTGGTTGGGGAGAGGAGACGGGAGGATTGAGCGGTGGTGGTGGTGGCAGAAGTCGAGATCGTGGTGATGCGGGCCATGTTCGTGGTATCTGCCGAAGGGGGAGGAGGCAGGTTCGTGGGGAAGGAAGATGAGAGGATACTGGCGCGCCAGAGGAAGCATTCGCCGGTGCCGAAATAGTGGGGAGACGGGTGAGGGGCGTCGGTGAGGTAGGCGCCGAATAGCTGTATTGAATTAGTCGGTGTGTGAGTTATAAAAGAGGGGAGACGTACACTTCCTTCGCCGTCTTTGACGATTAGGACGAATCCGTTTCGTAGGCCGCGCAGCTCGTCACATTTCTTGTATAAGGTGCCCAAGCTCACGCCGTCGTTTTCGAGACTGTAGACCAGGTTCCATTCCTCGCAGAGTTGGAGTCTCGGTGGGACAAGGAGTCGGATTTCTTCTGCCAGACCTCGATTCAAGAGTTTCGCAGACGCAGGTGTACTTGAGCTATGTCCCTTCAGTATGACGGGATACAGAGGCGGTGGTTGGAAAGGCGAAGCGGTTCGGCCAGGAGGGGTGTATACACCGTCGAACCCATTGCTCCAGTCGTCGTAAGGCGGCGTATTAACTGGCGTATGCTTCTTGCCCTTCACCGGATCTTCCGTCGAGAATCTTCGCAAGAGCCCAGTCACAGCAGCCGGCATGCTCCAGCTGTTCGAGAGGGACTGTGGAGGTGTGTTCGTACCTCCTGATGACGTCGAGTGGTGGTAGTTCCTGGACATGGTTCCTGCCTGTGTAAGAAGTCGTGTGATTGTTACATTCAAATTTGGAGGCAGGTGTTGAGATTTGACTGTATGCAGAGACGGGGTTTAGGAGTTGTTGCGTCGGGAAATTATATGGATTGTGTTTGCGACCGTGGTGTGGTGTGAGTGTGAACTGACAGAATTTCCAAGTTTGTTCCTTCGCCTCGCGCTTGCTCAGCAAGGGCAAGAAATTTGATTGGTGAATTTCCGTGGTGGCGTGAACTTGGCGAACAAGGCTGAAAGTCTTGAAATCACTTGGCACAATTGAATTTTTTGAAACTCGGTCGTGAAGTTTAGGCTTTGGGTGAGGCTCTTGTTTTTATGGATGTCGGATGACAATTCATGTGCTTTGGTTGCTTTTGGACGTGGCATGTCAGATTGACTTTCCCCGCATATTAGCCTGAACGAGATCAGCTTCAGGACAGACTTGGCGACGCATGCTGCAGTGGAGATCGTCGCTTGTTCCCTAGAGCAGTGATAGCTTTGCAGACAAACCTTCGGAGTGCGGCTGGACCGTTGCAATTGGGTGGTTTGAATCAATTATTAGCTAGCTGCATATGCTGAATGTTGCAGGGAATTCCACAGCTCTGGGTTGCGACTTTTACGCTCTCATATAAGATGGTTGATGCAGCATTGGTTTTACAAGATCTCGTTCAGGCCGGGGGCGATAAGCTCGGAGCTCAATGATGGTGAGGTTTCGAAGAACTTTTTGATTGCAATGAGGTATCAAGACCTGTCAAACGTTGTGGCTGTCCAAGGTCTTGTGTACTGTCATAAGCGACGAAAAGGGGGCCCATGTATAAGCGAAGCGATGAGAGACACACCACCACACATAAGCAGCTTCTTACCTTACCGCGATTTTTACTCCATTACCATGAATGCTCTAGGAACTAACTTGAGAACTGCCTTAAACCCATAATGACGTCGATATCAAACTCAATGCTACCACGCTTAACCCTTTTAGCTCCCATCTCCTAATTACCAACACTCACCTCTAAGCAAGTCTGTATAGATCTAAATAAGCATTTCCTTGCCACAACAAAAACACATACAAACCCTCGGTGGTCTAGATGGTTTATGGCGTCCGGCTGTAATAGAACAGTCTTACCGGAATGTCGCGCGTAAGTGCCCCAAGTTTGAATCCCCTCAGTTAGTAGTAAATACTAACGAACATGGGGACAAAAGTCCGTGCGTTCAGGCTGTAGAACCTCGAAATTAAAACTCTTCACATTAGGACTAAACTATCAACAACTCCACCATTATGGATCCTTTTACCACTCCACCTATGTCTCCACGTCTCCCAGGTGCAGAGATCAGAACCAAGCACAAAGAGGGCATACGCCGGCTCTTCAAATTCGCTAAAATAGGCCTGCAACAGCTCCAGGGCTACTACCACCTAGGAGACAGCACAGTTAGGAAGATCCTACTATACGATGTGCCTGAAAGAGCGCGCCCTACACGCACAGGGAGACCCAGAGAATCCCTCAATGAACAGGAGGTTAGAGATATTATTGAGTATACTTGCACCGACCATGCAACTAGAGTGCTGAATTGGATCCAAATACACGATGAATTGCAACTCTCTTGCTCTGTCAAGACCCTCAAACGCCGCTGCAAAGAAGCTGGATACTACTCTTGTATCTGCTGCCAAAAGCCCTACCTCACTAAGACCCAAGCCAATGCGCGGTGGCTGTGGGGGATAGCACACATGTTTTGGACTATTTGGGAATGGAGTCAGATACTGTACTCAGATGAGGTCACATTTCAAGTTGGAGGGAAGAAATGCAAGCAGAGGTGTATTAGGAATAAGAAGGAACGCTGTCATCCTGACTGCATTCAATTCCAAATGCATAGAGGTGGCACTATTCCTGTACACTTCTTTGGTGCTGTAGGCTACGGATACAAAAGTCCATTGATCAACATTCATGGAACTGGGAAGAGTGGGGCATTTACACAAACTGATTACCTTGCTCAAGTACTCAAGCCTTATATTCAGGATTTTTTAGCTGCTTTTGCGGCTGTTTTGGGGCCTGGGAAGACCCCTCAGTTCATGGAAGACGGCAACTCTGCTCACGGCCACAAGACTACTAGCAATATTTGTGCTACTTGGCGTACTTCTATGGGTATTACTCTATTCCCCCATCCTGCAGTTAGCCCTGATATGAATCCTATTGAGAAGTGCTGGAGGAGAATAAAACAAGCTCTCCATAGGCGCCTAAGGCAGCCAACAACTGAGGTTCAAATGGTTGTAGCAGTATTAGAAGAATGGGACAAAATTCCTCAGGAATGGATCAATGGGCTTATTGAGCAGCAGGACTTCTGGGTACACGACTTAATTAAGCGATGTGGCTGGTCTACAGCTAATTAATTAATAAAATTCATGATTCTGATGCCCTGAACGCACGGACTTTTGTCCCCATGTTCGTAACACTGTTGACTAGGTTCGACTCGCGCCTGAGGGACAAAAGTTTTTTTTGATATTTTTTTAATACTTTTGGGTTGAGCTCGCTTAGAAGAGCTTCGGTTGGGAAGTTGAAGGCTTTGAAGATGAGTGAGTGAGTGAGTCATGGTGACGGGTGAGAGTTATTATTTGAGGTTCACTTTTGGGCTTTGAGGGAGTTCAAAATCCCTTCGGTATTTGATTTTGGTTAAGATCTGAGATTAAGCTCATAGAGAGTGCGTTTAACTACTTTCAAGTTCTGTGATTCTGTTAGAGGCTAATAACCTAAACACTTATGTTCATGAGATGTGAGCTTGATGCTATCAGAACCTCATCACTCCTTTGGTTTTCTATGAAAGATTGGCTGTTTTCTGAGCCTAAGCTAAATTAAAATATGGAAAAAGTTTGTCATATAAACATATCGAACTTGCAACTCATAAAGCAAGCGCAGTCTGACCGACCAGATTTGGAAATCAGTTGCCCATATATTCACGTGCGAGACGATCTGTTGAGCCTGAAGAGTTAATCCATTTTTTTGAGCTCATGTATCGTCTCAATCCACGTTCATGGCCTCCATCATACCAAGGACACTCGTCCATTCTGCTTGAATCCAAGTTCCATAACCCTAATAGAATCAAGAGGGTGGAGCAATACGCCCTTCGTGGCTTCAACTTCCTTCTCAATCTCTTCCACCTTCAACTCAGCTGCCTTGATGAGCCTTGAGACCCATTGTGGGTCTCCTGCAGCCTCCGTCATGATAAATGAGCGAGACTTCCATTTGGTCAAGTCGACAGTGTATCCTGCTGCTCGTCTTGTCTCTTCATTACTACTTTCATCCATCAATAGTCTCAAAATAGACTTTTCCCTTGTATCGTACCACGAGTATGCTCTGATATAATCAGCCAATTCTTCAAGAACAAGCTGTCCGGATCCTTCAATTTGAAATTGCACCAGCTCCAGAGTCCGTGTGAGCCACTCCGGGTAGACCACCTGCCATCCATTGGCCACTCTTTGAAGAGTAGCGTTGATGCCCTTCGTGGTGTTGATAAGGTCTTTCCACATATTCATGGCTTCGCCGTCCATCAACCCATGTGTGTAACAATCGCCGATTACCTCGAAACGAGGTGCTGAAATATGTTTGCGGAGAATGAAGGGAGTCTGGCCGCCAAGAAGGGCACACAAACGGTCACCAGCACGCATTCTTGCAGGCCCAAGTCCAATATAGCCACGCTCGGTGATGAAAAAGGTTCGTCGAGCTGTCGCTAATCGGATTGTATTATCGATGCTTGAAGATACTGGTTTTCCAGCCTCAGCATTGTTTTGGTCTCCGAGATCTCCGAACAATATCTTCCAAGCCAGCTCGCCGGCCAGGTAATGGTTGGGACCTCCTTGCAGCAACCAAGTAGTGACTGATTCATGGTCGTCATTTATCAAGGGCTCGATGGTGAAGCGTCTAGTACCAGAATCCGTAGTGACCGTATCAGCGCAAATTGTCCTTCTGAAGGCATCACCTAATCCATAAGAAGTACGGATATACTCTTTGGCTTTATTGTGTGGCCCGAAATGGTCAACTAATAAGCGTGCCCATGACCGTACAACCGACACTAAGAGCCCGTCCGAAAATGCGGTCTCTCCGATCACTGCGACTCTGTCAATGGCTACTCCTGACAGCTCAAGAACGTGCTTCCAATTCTTCAAGGACACTGCTTTTCCACGAGCATGTTCAAATTTCTGGACGGCTTTCAAACATAGCTCCTCCTTTGGACTATCTCGATCAGTAACAGATGGTAACCAATCCGTCCAATCGGAGGTTCCTAAAATATTGTTGAATCGTTCGACGATTTGATCGGTGCTCCCGGTACCGGTCACTTCTTTCAGTGATGTTCTGCCTGATAGTGACGCTAGCACATCCAAGTATCCGAGGATACCAGTCTTTTCATCGTAGACAACGCATCCATTAGTTGCATTATACTTAAACGTATTATCGGCTCGACGACGATCAAGATCATCATACGTAGCACTCCAGTCTGGAACCCACGAGGAAAGATCTTGCCGGTCTTTCCTGCCAAGGTCTCCAGCGAGTACATCTAGCGATCTGGTTGTCCTTATGAGATCCAAGACTGTTTCCTTGAAGACCTCAGGCACGTTGAGGGAGTAATTGGGGACGATTGAAGTCTGCCCACGAGCCAGACCGAGGAGTGCAAAGACTTTGTCACGATCATCGCTTGCTTTTCGACCACTAGATCGCCGCATAAGTGATAGAAGATCACACTCCTTCTCATGTCGCCACACCGTACGCATGCAGTCAATGTCTAGAACAATTTGACTAAAATATGTGAGGACGGATGAGTACTCATGGGGCAATGGCAATGGATATACAGAGGATCGATTATACGAGTTCCATTGAGCAGCAGTGACGAACATTTCCCAAGGCGCTGAAGCAGACCCGTAGACCATAGTCACACGCTGAGGAACAACTATCTCCTGGATAACCCTGTTATTAAGATCTCGAAGTCAGTATACATATATCATTTGAGACGATATCAATCTCTTGAGAATACATTCGGAGCACTAAAGCTGCGGGCTCCTGCTCTAGATATACCAAGGAAGAAGAAGCTTGGGCCAAACTCACCAGATCCTGTTCCACCATCGGCATAGCATCATCTGTCTCAGTCCCTCGAAGAGTTTGCGTTGATAGTCGTCATCAGTAGATCGTTGAGAGTCAGTACTGAATGCCGGAAAACGACTCAACCCTCGAGTTGCAGAGAGAAGTCGAAGAAAGCAAAAGACCTCAAAAGCGTTGTCCAATCTGCTTTTGCCGGCAAGAGGCGCGTGAGCAGTACATCGAGCACGAAAATCCACCATCTTATCTTCATCGCTGGCATCGCATTTGAAATGCGTAGTAGAAGACACTAGAGATTTCATCAACGCTGTAGGGCTTAGATGTGGGACTTCGCCGAGATAGACAATGACTTCTTCTGAAGATGAGTCCTCTCCAAATTATTCGATTGATTGATACAGAGTGCGTCCACCCAAAGACAAAGATCATCGTCATTGCGTCGAAGCCGTCGAAGAGCAGATTCGAGGTTGACAGTGACTTGGAACTGGTGCCCATCTACAACAATAGGTCGAGTGGCCTTTGGAGAGCTCCACGCATACGACGGAGCTTTGTAAACGGGGTTGCGGGATAAAAAGGCTTGGTATAGCTGGCACTGTATTCTGTCTGTCCATTTGCCGCGGAGGACCTTGACCAATCGGGTTTCCCTGTCGCGCAGGTTGTGGTATACTTTGCTTTGCACGCCCTCCAGAAAAGAAATGGTCTCCATGATGGTATCTGCCGGCAGATTCATACTGATGACTTTGATGCTGATGAGGATTGTAAAGATGAGGATTCTAATTAAAAAAGAAGTGAAGCCTGGAGATGCAACCCGATTGTCGGCCATGCAATTGCCTCGTTGGTTCGCCTTGCAGAGCGCAAAAGCGCCACTGATAAATGTGTTTCGGACATCTTGCAGCTATCGCTGACTAGACGAGGTACGATGAGATCGGCGAGTCAATTGTTGATATATTAATGATGAAGCACGGCTTAGACAAGTTGAGGAAAGATAAAAAGTGAAGAGGAGAGGTTAGGAAGGAATTGAGTGAGGGAAGCGCAATAAAGCGGCTCCCGTGTGTTACATGCTAGAACTAAAGCGGCATAGACTGAAGCTAGACATATCTAGAGCTTCACTTCGTCTCTACATTGAATTTGCGGCGCTGTCTATAAATTCTGTTGTGTTCAAAGCATCTTATATGTCGCAACTGTACGTTGTATACTGCGAGCCTCAGCAGCATGCCGATCACGGGATTCGTGATCCACCAGCCTATCTAGAGCTTCAGCTACGGTGCTCCGAGAACCTCTGGGGTTGACTCTTTTCTTGCCATCATCGACTCAAGTGGGAATCCTAGAGACTATTTTCTCTGCGTATTGTCTTACACTTCTGGATATCACTGAGTACTGGGGCTGCAGTGATGCCCCAAGACCGCGACGCCAATCGACGAGCGCTCATGGCGAGACTGTTCTTTTCATTCTTCCAGCCAAAGGCCACTTGAGGAAGTTCTCGAGTGAGGTCAACAGAGACACACAATTTCACAATCGCTTTCTGCGCTACTGCCTCCTATCTGAGCATTTATACTCTTACGTGGAATTCACAACCTGATCAATACGGCTTCGCCCGCTCCCACCAGCACTTTCCCCGAAACCACATGGTCGTATGTCTTCTTACCAACGATTTGGGCGTTCTCGTTAACGTACTGGCCTGCAAACGCGATATTCTCAGCAATATCAACGCCAGGGCTCGTCAGCCTGGAGATTGTGGCCTTCTCCCAGTGCTTGGGGAGAACCAAAGCCGTGTACGGCCGTCGAATAAGGTCAAATGTCCAGTTCCACATGTTGAGGTTGACGGCCACAATAGATTCGAGAATTCTTGAGTTATAGACAGCATAGGCACCGAAATTTGTCTCGTTAAGAAGGACTTCTATTTGCTTGTTACCACCAGCAAATACCGCTGCGTTGAACAAGTTCCCGTAATATATCGGCTTGACGTGCGGTTCCGTATCGTTGTAATATATTGGCTGCCATGGCGAATAGCGATAACGGGTTCCCATATGAAAGTGGACTCGCGATACCCGGAGTGAGGACAAATACATGGTATAGTCGACTGCCCAGACAGCGGATGCCATCACGTCTGAGATGTTGAAAGCTCCTTGACACGAAATGGAGTTCGTCTCGCCAATCACATACTCGATTCCCGATTGGGCCGTTATGTTACCGAGATAATCGTGGTACCAAACGCGGGATAACATGTTCGTACGGTTGAACAGAGTCGTTTCAATGGTAGGGCCTACGCCAGTGTAGTCACAGTTGGCGCCCATATACTGTGCCAGTTTGGTCAGCTGCTGGTCCAAGATGAAGTCAACATCGGACTCGCCTCGTGGTCCGAAACCGTCTTGGCCATGTTCGAACGCATTCCATCTAACTCGGCATTCTGCACGTTCCAAAACGTTCTGTTTCCAATATGCCGAGGAGCCTCAAAAGCACAGCCCTGGAACAAGCGCATGGCACCCTCGCCCGTCAAGTTATAGCTGATAGCCGTAGCGTACTGATTCCACTGAGTTACGTAGCTCTGGATTGTCCAATTGCTTGGTCGACGCGAGCCTCCGGGCCAGCCTGGAAGTGTTTCAGTTTGTCGAACATATATGTACTAGGTGCGACGACTCACCGTCAACCTCATTCCCGATTTCAAATGCGTACAGAGAATCACCTAGTGCTGTATGGGCAGCATAGGCTTCAAGCACACACTGGTCAAGACCATTGCCGACATTGAACAATGTCTCATTCACCGGATTGAAAAAGTTCAGCCCTAGGTAAGACAATCCAGTTAATAAGATAAAGTTAAGACGTTACGTCCAGTCCTACCGTATATATACTGCGTTCCTTCAGGGAATTGCTGGAATGACTCAAACCATGCCGGACCAAGCATGGACTTCGACGGCTGGTCTGAAGCCACAGAGGAAAACGGGTCGATGATAGCTACAGACTGATTCGGGTAATACACAGCAGAATTCTGGGTACTGCCCCCGATGCGGAAGATTGGATACGCTCCAGAAATATCATGCAGATTCTGGACAACTTGCTTGGAGAACAGGTTTGGGTTTCTGAGAAGCTGGTAAGCAAGGAGCGAAACAGCGGATTGCTGTTGCCACCGCACGAGTTGTTCCCACCATAGTCAGCCATGTACGAAAACTCAATTGAGAATGATTGGTATGCTGCATCAACAATTTGTCGTCCTGGGGCAGGAGAAGAGGGCGGCGAGAGGGTTATGGTGCGAGTGATGTTTGGGTTAGAGAATTCTTTCGATGCTACAAAGGGCATCAGCCAGATGAAGATTACGAGACTCGCAGCAGAAGCCATTGTGAACCGTTTGTGCTACTAATTTCAACGACCTGCGACCTCAATCGTTCTCTCTTGTATTTAGGTACATTGCATTCGAGTATCATCCTTATTGATCGATACTGTATCGCAGACAGATGTCCCGAAAGGCGGAGATGGAAAAATTACGGTTCTATATTCTTTGGATAAATAAGCATAACCCCTCTGTTAGTCGCTTATTGTCCCAAAATCCTTATGCACCCTCCAGGAATATTTATTACAGATCCAGAGACTGCAGTAGCGTGAGCATGAACAAGGTCATCGATCAAAATCCCCGCATCGAACGGGTACAATTAACGTTACTACAAATCGCTTCTCCATTCATATTAGAGTTTCAACACTTAGCCCCACCATCCCCGCTCTAGCTCCTGCACCCCAGCTTCTGCATCATTTCGGTTTCCGCCGAAGGCAATCCGGCTCCAGATTCTTTGATGGCTAGTGTTGATCTCGTATACTAACCTTTTTTTTTCTACCTCGCTAGTGATGTCCTCTTCATTCTCGAGGTAGTGTTTCGTGCTGTGATGACAAAGATGCTAGTTGAGTCCTGCGTAGGATCAAGGAAACGCTTCGAAGACTACTTGTATGGAGTTATAAATCAATCATTGTGAAATAAATACCCATCTCTTTCCGGACCTCTTCGTGTACCTCATGCTGAAAGCTTTCCCGCTCGATACTTAGTGAGTGCTCGCTGAAAGACTCAAAAGGTTGGAGCTAACTTCGCCTGGACTATTTCTGTAAGCACATCTGACGAGAACATAGAGTTCTGACAGGCTGAGCGTTGGAAGTGGTCTATATTGTGTGTTCTCTTCTCTGTGTTGGAGTGGGTAGATTCGTTCTGGTGAACAGACTGCTGTTTGCAAGTCGAAACTCCAAACTAAATACTGCACATAACTCTAACAACAACAAATCTTAACCCTTCCTCACAAGCTTATATCGAACTCTAGTCGACCTAACTCTCACTCCGAAACCCAACTCCCCCCAAAAAGCGTTCCTAGCAAAAAAACCCTTGCTCCTTCCTTCCAAACCCGCCTCTCGCTTAACCTCCCTTTCCTCCCAAAAGAGCAAGAACCGCAAACACGCGCCTTCAGCAAGGACTCCATAAATCCAAATACGCAAGTCGAGACCGTGAAGCAAGCCGAGTTGGTCCAGTGGTTAAGACGTCTCTCCCACAAAGAGTAATCCTTAAGTGCAGAGAAGGTCGCGCGTTCGAACCGCGCACTCGGTATGCATACTTTTTTTGCCCGTTTCTTGTCTCTAATCTTGTCCTCCGAAATATACCGTCGAGTTACATACTCTCACGTTTTAACATAAAATTTTCTTTTGAGAACGAGTTCAGAAGTCTTCGCTTGATTCATTATGCATGACCATAGGTACAAACGCCAGCATCCCATTCATGCATGCCTTTCCGTTTGCTTCCACCAACTCCACATCCCACATTACATGCATATACATCGTAACAAACCGTCTTGCCATTTTACATCGAGAATTACGCATTTGCTTGCACGACCCTGAAACCACCAGATACCAGCTTCGTAATCTCCTCGTTCTTATGCTGCAATAAACTAAGTGCATACGCAACATCGTTCCACTGTCTCTCAGTCTCACATCTCGCCAATCTGGCCGCGAGTTTTTCTGCGAGCTGTTTAGCGTGTTTGTCCTGTTCTTCAGGTTAGCGAAGTGCATCATATACATGTCAAGGGGTTTCCATACCTTTTCAATAAAGCCCGCCAAGAACTTGATGATCCTCCTCAGCGAGTCTTCTTCCAAGTCCTTCTCCGCACTCAACAGACTGAACATATCAACGAAGTGATTGTACACCGCATTGTCCTTCGTGCTCAACTCTGTGAAGAACATGCGACTGAGATCAGCGATTCTCTTGTCTTCGTCTTCGAGACACTTGGCCATCTCTCCAAGTTGGCCCTTGACCTTGACTTGGCCAGCCAGGATCAAGAATGTTAGGGTCATCAAGCAAGTTCTCTTGACACTAGCATCCTTGTCGTTAAGACGTCGGTAAAGGAAGTCCGTGTTCTCATCGATGAGATGGTTGAAGCAGACCGCCATATCACCAAGCGCGATGACCACATTAGACCGAGTGATGGGGTCCTTCGATCGCTCAAGGATAGTGATTAGCAGAGGTAGGTTGGTTTCGCAGTATTCTGAACTGACACACATGAGCTTGGCTAAGCACAGTGTTGCGGCTGCTTGAAGATTCCTATCTCTGTAGGTAGTGTTGTTTGAGCAAATCTCAGACACCAGAGGACCAAAATTGGTCAGCAGTGAGTTCTCGCCGTACAAGAGCTCACGTTCTCGAATATGCGCCATAGCCTCGGTGAAATCATCCTCAGTCGTGCCACCAATCATGTCAAGATCGTCTGCTGCTTCTTTTGCAGCCTTGTCTGCTACAGTTTCGGCAGGTTTGTTCTTCTCGGCTTCGACTTTCCTCCTCTTGAAGTCTAGCTCACAAAGCTCGAGGTGAACAATTTGTTTGATCGCAACATGTCCAACAATGAACAGAAGCTGTGAGAGACCAATTGATCCTTTAACCTTGGATTCTGGTTCTACTGGTTCGGGTGGTGGTGATACCATCTGTGAAGTCTCCGGCTCCTCTGGCTCAGGTGTCTTGGCTATCCGTTGCTGGAACACACGCTTCGTCTTCCGTCGCAAAATTTCGGAGCAGAGGGTATCGGGGTGCTTCGACAAAGTGTAGATGGCACTAATTGCTTGTTCAGCAACGCCATACCATTCCTTGTTGTCAGACTCAATCTCCGTGATCGCTGCTAGCTTTACAAGGACAGCATGATCATTAGGAAGCTTCGACGTTGGCACACTTGTCTCCTTGGCTTGTCTTCCGGTGGGGTTGATTCGTCGAAGTGCTATACATGTATATTTTGCCAATTGGAGATCTGATCGACCAAGGCTTCCAAGACCAACCCGCAGCATCGTCTCCATTTCACCAACAACAATCTCTGGCTTAGCAGTAGCCAGCATGCCCAGAACGATGATGGAACCACGACGTTGGCTCTTCGAGATCTCTCTCTTCTGGACACCGTAGACTTGCCATAGCTTTTCGATAACAAGGTCGCTGATATGACCGGCCTTCATCATCGTACTAAGTAGCAGTTCCAAAGATGTCAACTCAGCAGGTGTTGCTCCGAATGTCAAGCTGATCATGTTTCGGGCGATGTAGTTCGAGGCATCATTGGCAGTGAAGGTCGGTGGAGCTTCGAAGAAGAGACTCTTGTAGACATCGATGAGATGATTCTGGACGCCCTTTCCCTCATCGCTGTTTCCTTTGGTCCAGATAAGCCGCAGCATTCTTCGTATACCCAGTTTGTTTTGCTCAATGTCGTAAGCATCACCTGTGTGGAAGTAGTCCATAGCCTCAATGACTTCGCTCTTGTTCTTCGAACCGAGAAGTTGACAAATTGTGGTGGTTGCACCATGCAAAACCTCAATGAACTTCAAAGCTTCCACATAGTATCGTCTCGTAAGAGTCAACTTGTTGATAGCCTCCGAAGTAGCAGCTTCCTCCTGTGCTTTCTTGATTGCAGCAATTTTCTGCTCGTCAGTCATTGGCTTTTGTGGTGAGTCGGATTCGATGACTGTGGCATCGTCCAGAAGTTGCGTATCCACAGTCTTATCATTGCCGTCGAGGCCTCCAGGAGTGCCGGCTGGAGGCTTCAATGCGTTCAATTCTGCGTCCACAGCGTCCAATCGAGCATTCCATTCCTTCTGGGAAAGCATTCCACCATGCATAACGTTGAAAGGGTGAGTTTTGATGAGCGTTCCGAGTAGTTTAATAGCATTTCGTCGAACGTTGCTGCTCTTATCCTCCAAACTTCTTGCAGCAAGCTCAGCGGCCTTCTGTCTGCGCTTGGGAAACTTTTGCTCAAGTCCACAAAGTTTGACGTATACCTGGATAGTCCGGCAACGACAATACGGATTGAGATCCAAGAATCGCTCCTCCAAGACATCAAAAAAAGCGTTGAGCTGTGACTTGTGGTTGTCGCCTCGTTCTTCCTGCTTGCTCAAGTCTGCTACCAAATTTCCGCAAACCTCAATCAAAGCACATCTCAAGGCATAAGACTCGCTGTCGAGTTGCTTTGCAAGCATAGTCATTTGCTTGATGACTAGTCTAGGGGCGAGCTCTGATAGCTTGACAATGAAAGATGACACGGACTTCGGTCCTTTGGTATCATTGCTGTTAAATTCTTTGTTGCTCAATTCAGTCATAATCTCGCCTGCGAGTTGGGCGTAGTCGTATTGTTCAGAGAGGATATGGAGAAACTCTGCCATCGGCTCTGCAAGATGCTCGAAGTATGTCAGATTCTGGACAATCGAGATTTGAGCAGCTACTCTTGTCAGCCTCGTCCAATAGTATCAGGATTTACCCATACCGTAACCATGTCCGTGATGCTTCACAGCTATACACAGAACCTTGAATGCACGCATCTTGATTTCATTATTCTTAACCCTCTGTTCGCTCTCAAGAACCATATAAACAGGTCTGGTCAGCAGACCAATGAAGGTATCTCGTTCAGAAGTCGTCAAGAAAATTTTTGATAGCTTCAACTTGAGGACTTTGCACATAACATCAAGAGCAGTCTGGAGTTGTGCCGACGAATCCCAATTTCCGTCCTTATCTTTCGATGCCGTCTTCGATTTGGCAGCTTTTCCTCTGCCTCGTGCAGCAGGTGCCGTCGTCGACTTCTCCGCCGCTTTTGTCTCGACAGCTGCTATGGTCCATTGCAGCAGAAAGCCGAAGACTTCTAACAGCTGTTTGTGATGCGAGACCAGCTCTTGTTCGTCCGATTCGAGATCGTTGTGGATAACGTCGGCTTCCGTTGAAAGACCCGAGACAACGAGATCAAAGATCTTGCTCAAGGCATGTGTAGGCAGGACGGAGGAGGACCTAGAAAGTTTGAAGAGCTCAGAATCTGGTTCTGTGGGATATATAGCATCTAAGGAAATGGGGGCACACTTTAACAGAAATTGCAAGGAATCAAATGAAGAGCTTCTTGTGATCGCATCGGGATTCTCTGCCACTGCATCAACTATTGGATTCAGTACGGTATTTATCAGTGAGTTGGTGAGTGAGTCTGGGTCGTTTTCGCAATCGACGAGGTTTGAATCTGCTTCAGGCGTAGCGATCGTGGCAGGATCGCTCATGTAGTGCTTAAGAGCATCGTTGATATCGAATTGAATTGTGTCCATCGTGGCTATATGGGCGCAGTGTTCTGCACGACGAGAACAGCATCAACAAAATGTGTATTGCTGCTGGAGGAGTGAGGTTATCGTCGCAAGTCGCCAATGTTGACATCGGCCACCCGTGGAGACGCGTTTGTTTATTAGCGGCCAGATCGGGCGTAGCACAGATATTGGCTGTTGACACCCCACCGACGTTATTCTGCAGGCTGTACCTGAAACTAAACAACCAATTGCAAGGCCCTCCCACCTCTCACTTCTTGTATCTTTTAGGACTTATTGCTCTGCGACTATAGTCGAAGCTCGCAAGCTTCAATATGGCAGCAATTCGTCTCAGGAACGCGAAGGTACCGTTTGAAATCCACCACGACGAGATGGACCCCGACGAGTCTTTCGAGGAGCAAGAAGACTTGGGCGAATCAAGACCCGAGGGCGACGAAGAGGATGAACAGGACTCGGACTTCTCTGACGATAGTGATGGCGTAGTTGACCCGTCTGTACTGGAGGACATGGAGAAACTTGAGGAGACTTTCAAGGGCATAAAAGACCGTTTTCGTCTCATCAATCGGATCGGAGAGGGTAATTCACATGTCACCAAGGCGTTTTGTATTCATTAACGCGTTGTAGGTACTTTCTCGACAGTGTACAAGGCCGAGGATCTGTTATACGAGCATTATGATAATGATTGGGACATTGAGGAAAAGGAAAATAAATGGACGTCACCACCGTTAAAGAAACAACGACGGATCGGAATGGATGCTCTTGCGGATATGGATGAATATGCTCAGCAAAGACGAAGACCGAAATATGTTGCTATCAAGAAGATTTATGTCACCAGCAGCCCTTCACGAATTCTCAACGAATTGGATCTTCTTAATGACCTTCGAGGTTTCGACTCCGTATGCCCACTGATCACGGCGTTTAGACATACGGATCAGGTGGTTGCAGTGCTTCCTTACTTCAGACACACTGACTTCAGAGAGTACTTCAGGAAGATGACAGTCGACGATATGCAAATCTACTTTCGGTCACTATTTACTGCCCTGGCTGCAGTTCACTCAAAAGGCATCATACACCGGGATATCAAACCAACCAACTTCCTCTACGAACCCGACAAGAGACGCGGTGTCCTGGTAGATTTTGGACTTGCTGAACGAGAAGATGGCCCAGACATGAAACCATGTTTATGCGGAGAAGGAGTAACAGAAAGAAGGCGGCGTGTCACGAATAGTGTGGCAGCACAAACAGGACCAATAGGAGGATATCCCAAGAATGACTCTCGGCCATCACGAAGAGCGAATCGTGCTGGAACTAGAGGATTCCGTGCTCCAGAAGTGCTTTTCAAGTGTACAGATCAATCCAGCAAGATTGATATATGGTCAGCTGGTGTCATTCTGTTGACTATCCTGTCCAGAAGATTCCCTTTTTTCAACTCAGCAGACGATGTTGAGGCTATGATTGAGATTGCCACCATCTTCGGTGTTAAGAGGATGAAGCAATGTGCACTGCTGCACGGCACCGTTTTTGAGACAAACATTCCCACAATAGGAGACCGAGGATTCCTGCTTGAGAAGATCATTCTGTGGTCAACATGTAGGAATGATGGAGGGAAAGGAGGTTCCGAGATTCCACTAGATGCCAAAGAGAAGCTCGCTGTACGATTTCTGGAGAGATGTTTCGAGCTGGATCCAAACAAGCGAATCAGTGCCGAGGAAGCTCTAGAGCATGAATTCTTGAAGAAGAAAGAGGAGGTGTATGGTGATGATGACGAAATGCACATGTTGTAAGATATACCATGAGGATGGCGTTGCTGAGTGATTGGAGTTGCTAGGCGGGGAAAGCATAGAAAGGCGTTCATTGTATATAGTTAGCATTGCTTTGCTGTATGATCGCATTGTTGGGTCTCTGCTTGCAAATTAAGATACCACGAAAAACAAGATATTAAAACACCACCAACGACAATCTCACTGGTCCCAATTGTGGTTTGAAGTTTGTGCTTTTCATTTCATATGAAGAAGTCCCATGGCCGTAATGAAAGCCACCAAGTTCTGCGATGCCATGCATTTCCCGCTCGAAAAGCCCAAGCCCAACCCTTCGTTCAGTTCGATTTACCACGCTGAGTAAAAGCAATCAATCAGGCAACCAGCTCAACGACACCACCAGCCTCTGTGATCTTTCGCTCCGCCTCCTTGCTGAACCATCTTGCGCGTACAACCAGTGGGACCTCTGGGATTCTGCCCTTGCCGAGAACTTTTGAGTAGCCGAGGGGAAGGAGATCGAGGACGGGGACGGTGTCTTTCTTGCTGCCGGAGAGGTATTCATCGCGCTTCTCGGCGGGGACAAGGGACCAGAGCTTTGAAAATAGTGTTAGCATCGACTCATGTACCAATTGTACCAGAGTCATTCTGCAGCAAATCCTCCTTCAATCCTCGTCGCTATATCGTGATCGTGATTCTCCTCGAGATCCAGTAGCATCCCAATCATCCCTCATCATCCACCCACCCCTCCATCCAAAGAATAATGTAACAAACGCACCTTATCAAGATTGATAACTGGCTTCCAGAAGTGGTTTCCTTGCTTGTGGAAGTATCTCATTCCGACCTTTCCAAAGTAACCCGGATGGTACTTGTCCATGTTCGTCCTGTGGTGATGTTGTCCACCAGCGAGACCTCGACCACCGGGATGCTTGCGGTGCTTTCCTACACGACCGTGACCGGCGGAGACGTGTCCGCGACTATATTCATTATCTCATCAGCTCGATTCTTCATCTTCGTGCCCTCCTCGATGTTGACAAGCCTGCGCGCGATCGACAATCGTGGGTTCGCGGCTGGCAGATAATTGAGGATAGATATGAGGGAGGCTACATACTGCTTGCGGGTCTTGCTCAAGTGAGTAGGCATCTTGTCGTGGTTTTCGAGGATGCAGTTGTTGTCGTGAACTTTTCACGATCTCGAAAAAATGGTAGAATGTCTTCGTGGGTGAGCTAGTCGTAAGCGAGCTTCCTACGTGGTCTGGAAATTTAGGCCATAAGTGTTTCACGTGACTGTGGGATATCAAAAAAGAATCGCACATTTAGCCGCAGAATTTATTGTGTTGGAACTGTTGGTTTGTTTCGTGTGAAGACTTGATAATTAAATGGGATAGTTTTTTCCAATTGTATATTCTTCCTATGAGTTATCGTACCTTATCGTGCTATTATTCGGACTTCTCTTGCGTAGAACGTTCATTGTCAAGCATAGCTCAAATTTCATGGCAGAGCACTCCTCGAGACACGTCTAAGATCATTGACAAGTCGAACATGAATCTATTGAAAGTGTTCTTGAAGATTATCAGAAGCCACTGCATTCTCATTGTCATCTCTCACTACGAATAGCGAATCTTGCGAGTCTTACTATAGTCTTTCAAACCGGCTTGCCTTTGGATTCTTAAGGGCTTCCAATTCCGCTCTCATCGAAAGTCAAACAATCACTAACTCAACGCTCAATAGAAGCCCTCAACGGTCTTCACCAGCAAATTTCACGATACCTCATCCTTACCGTTCTCACCTTTCAACCCCACTATATCTGATATCTGCCACCAGCGTTGAAATGCTGGCCACCATAGCTGTTGGTGCACTCATTGTTCTGCTTGTATGGATTGCTTCCGAGCTCGTGGCAGTGATCTCTCCGCTCAGTGCGATACCGAATGCTCATTTCACAGCGCCTTTCTCTCGGATGTGGCTGCTGTGGATCAGAGGAACAGGGAGAGAATTTACCGCACGCCTCGCCGCACATCGCCGGCTTGGGCCAGTGATTAGAATTGGTCCTCAGGAAATCAGTATTAACTGCATCAAAGATGGCGTGCGCACAGTATATGGTGGCAACTGGGATAAGTCAAGCATGTACGATGGTTTCACGCAATTTGGGTAGGCCGTCAATATGCCAGTATTTGATGCACGCTCACATGGTAGGTTCTCGCCACTGTTTGCCATACGTCAAGCAGGCCTTCATTCGGAAAGGAAACGTGTCTTCGCTCATGTCTATTCGAAATCTACAATTGTCAATTCGGTTCAATTTGCTGAACTCCTTACCACCATTGGTGTGGATAGGCTGCTGCCAAGATTACAAGAAGTTATCAAGAACCGTGACGCTGTGGAGGTGTTCTCTTTGACCAGAGAGTACAGCATAGACGTCGTCACTGCTTATATTTACGGCGTAGGGAACGGAACCAACTTTGTCGAACATCCTGGCGAAGGATCACATTATCTATCAGCATTTCTTCACGCGGTTGAGCCCTGGGCATTCTTCGCTTCCACGGAAATCAAGCGACTGGTATATATACTCGACTGTTTCGGCTTAGACCTGGTCCCTCCTTCTGTCAGTTCTGCTTTCGATACCATTCACTCTTTTGTGCTAGATCTCACCACACGCAAGATCAGTAGTCTGGAGACAGATTTCCCTAGTGAAAAAGGCTCCATGGGCGCTTTCGAACACATGTGGCAGAGACTAGACTATATTCCAGAGGTTCAGAAGGCTAGTTTGATTGCATCAGACATGGTGGACCAAATCCATGCCAGCCATAAAGCCACCAGGACTATCCTTACTTATCTCATGTGGGAATTGTCTAAAAACTCCGAGATTCAGGATATGCTACGAAGTGATCTGAGGTCTTCGAGCGACCCTCCCAGCTCCGAACTTTTAGATGCTGTCCTCATGGAAACCATCCGTCTCTACCCTGCGGGATTTGGTCCTTTCCCTCGCGTGGCGCCGGCAAATGCAACAGTCTCCGGCTTTCTCATCCCAAAAGGAACCATCGCCAGTGCATCTCCTTACATGCTTGGTCGCAACTCTGATCTCTTTCCTTCTCCTGACTCATGGCTTCCTAGGAGATGGATCCAAGCTAGTCCCGATGAGAAAAAAGAAATGAGGCAATGGGTCTGGATGTTCATGAGTGGGCCACGCATTTGTATTGGAGAACATCTGGCTGTAATTTGTAAGTGATTACTGATATAATAGTTGCAGCATAATTGCTGAAATTCGCAGCCATGAAAGCATTCGTTGTAGATGTTTATAAAGCTTACAAGACCACTATCATTGGAAATCCAGATATGAGGCAACTCGAGTCCTTCTTCTCGACACCAACAGGCGCATCGTTACTTCTACAACTACAAGTTATCTAAAAGAGGGCAGTTAAGATCATGAAGTTCATTCTCTAGATGCTGTTATTTTTTTATATCCTTTTTGATCGAAGGTAGTCCCGACCGCTCCCTTGGCCCTTAGGGTTCTCAAGGCGGCGGGCACGGGTGAAGGAATGTTTCTAATGAGTCAATATTGAAGCCTTGACATTTGACACAGGGTTGGTGGTCGCACTTGCCCACTCCTCTTGCACTCGTGTACCCACTTTCATAACGTCTCATTTATCGTTGTCTCCCTGGAGATGTGACATTCTTTCCTCGGACTCACTGACTTGTCCAGTCTCTCACATACAAATTCCTTTACCTTATTCATCATTGAACACTCCATCCTTCACCTCTCGCTTCTGGAACACATCAACTAAGTTTACCGAGATCCACAAGTTATGCTTTGCCAATACGCCACGCACTTCTCATGCCAATGGCTCCTATGAACATCATAACCACGTTCATCCCGAAGTTTGTCCAGAAGGCGGCTCTATATCCACTGAGTAGCAGTGTTGACGTGACTTTGATTTCCTCCGACGATTGCCAGAATTGCGATCTCTACAGAGGTCCCCAGTCCCCCCAAGCGCGTTGAACATTCCGCCTGCCAGACCGTGCTGAGACTCTGGCATCGTCTCGGTGATAATGATGTTAGCGACAGTATATAACACTAAGTCAGTGTCAGCAGACTAATTATATACACCAACACATCCCAGGAATTGGGATCTACCATCTTGAGCCGTTGGGGCAAGTAATTATGAGAGCCCAAAATGCTGATTTCCGATACGACGAACCTAGGGGAGCTCAAAGCCATTATCAAGGGTGCCGCCGCAGCGATTAGGCATGCCGATGTAACAAGAATGTTAGTCGGAAGCCGATGCACGAAATAACCTATGAATATACCAGTAATAGGTCCAATCAAAACATTTGGTATGAACCAGATCGCGGTCCGAAGCCCAGAGTTGCCCTGGACCTCTTGGAAACTGTACATTTGGTCAGACAGCTACCGAGGCCTCGATACTGAATGAGAAGGGGAAGGATGTTCCAGATGTTGGACTCGAGGTGCAAACAGGTGCTTTCTTTTGATTTATCGGTTGGATCAGAGAAAGTGCCGGGTGTAGACGTAAAGCTGAGACAGAGATTGTGTCACAGGAATGTGGAGAAATGGGTTGAGTGTGGAGACTTTTTGGGAGTGAGAGCTTAGTGGATGCAGTGGATGAGCACTTAGTAACGCATCGAGGGAAGAATCGAATGATGTGGTGTAGCTAGATGATGTTATGTTTCGTTTCTCTTCTGCTATATAAGATGGTAGCTCAGCGCAACAGCCCTAATGTAAGCTCCGCAGATATTCTTAAATCCCAGACACTCCAGACACCAAATATCCCATGTAGCCACGACCAGCAAATATCAACTCATCCAAGCAAACCCTCAAGCACATCACATAACATCCTCCTCCAACCCCGCCCTCTCCCAGAGATCCTCCCTCTTCAACTCCCCCTCCAGCATCACGGCCTCCAAATTCAAAAACCCCTTCTTCCTGTCCCCCCTCTTCTTACCCCAATACTTCCACTCCCTCTCCACCTTCTCGCTCTCCTCCCGCGTAACAACCTTCCTGCCCTCCCCTTTATACCCCTCCACCCTCTCCCGCTTCTCCCCCAACTCCCTCTGCAGCCTCGCAACCATCTCGCCCAATTCCTCCATCGTTGGCGCATTTTGGAGTGTCGTCAATTTACTCGTAACTTCCTTCGCCCTGCTCTTCAGTCCCGGGATCGCTTCTCTGAGGGCTGAGATCTGGGAATCCATTTCCTTCAATTGATCAGGGGATGCTGTGTCTGCCGGATCCTATTCCACCACATCCTCATTAGCCTACACAAACAAATATGAAAGGAAAGAAAGAAGGAAAGACAAACCTGAATAGCCCAAAACACCCACTGTCCACCACCATCCTTCTTAGTAGCCTTCCCCATAATCTGCCCCGCCTGCTCCATCTCCTTGAGCAGTTTATCGGTCGTTGTTTTCGTGACCTTGCTCCCTTAGCCCAACAAACCTTTTCCAAAAAAAAAAGAGAAAGGAAAACATAGGTACCTTGCCGTGCAGATTCGCACTCACGTCCGTAGCGCTATACGGTCTATTCTGCGCCGTGAGATACGATAGGATCAACTGCACCGCCTCCTCGCCCGTTACGGGCTTTACTTTCTCCCCCTTTTCCTTCTCCTTGGTTCCACCACCACCACCAGTCTTCGCAGCAGCAGCGTCCTCAACAGCAGCAGCATCTTTCTTCACAACCTTCGATTTAACGGCTTTCTTCTCTTCAGCTTCTCCTTCAGCGGCAGCAGCGGCGATCTTCTTGACAGCTTTCGCCTTGACGGCTTTGGGTTTCTCCGTCTTGGGTTTCTCGATCTTGGATTTGGTGGTGTTGGGTTTCAGGACGGGGTGTTCGGTCGAGGTTGTCGAGGCGGTGTCGTCGTCGGCTGGTTTGGGTTTGCGGGGGGCCATGGTGGGAGGTTGGTGGTGAAGACGCGTTGGTGATCAGGAGAGGAGCGGAGAAGGCTGAGGTGAGGTTTGAAGAGTGAGGAAAGGTAAGATAAAATTGGTAAAAGATTGTTCTGACCTTAGACAATCTGATGCTTTGGAGTTGTGAAGTCGACACAAACAATATGATGATGTAAAGTGGATGCATCGAACAGAAAATCGAGTCGCCGATTTGAGCAGGAACGCGTTATCACGTGACATCAACCAGAGAAGTGAGAAACACAGCAGATGGAAAGAATCGGAGAAACCAACACATTATGGGTATCATTTCTACTCAGAAGTGTATGTGAGTTTTGTAATCTTCATGCCAAATGTATCTCATCCAACGCCAAACAATGCTCGCTGCTTGGTTCATTATCATCACGTGCATGTTATCCACCCCGTTTTCATTCCATTCCACATTTATAGTTGGACGCCTCCATTTACATCATAACCTGATTAGAATGTTAGAAGATGAGTGTGAGTAGGTGTGGAGATGACTTACACAATCGCTCTCGTTCTTCCCGGCTGGGATACCCATCTCCTCAAAAGTTGCAGGACCTGCTTTCTTAGGAGGTCCAGATCCTGTGGAAGTAACAGACGGAGCAACAGATGATGGTCTTGAGTCAGGACCTTGAGACGGCATTGGACCTTGGGATGACATTGTGTGCTGCGGTGGACGATTGCTTTGTCGACTTTGGCTTTGAGGCATCGAATCTTGTCTTCCCTGCTGATGTGCAGGAATAGAAGGCGGCCTTCGAGCATCCATCTGAGGAGGTGGGCTCATGACCGGAGGAGTCATCATCGGCGGTTGCATAGAGCTGCCTCGCTCTGGTCTGACGAATTGATTCGAAGCAGGATCACGTCTCTGTACTGCAGGGTCGGCGATGGATGATGAAGTTCTACCATAAGGCTCTGTCGGATATCCAGGACCGCCTTGTGGTTGAGGAGGTTGCTGCTTCATCATATTTGGAGGAGGCTTCTGGAGTTTGCTTGGTGCACTGGGATCAAAGTTCGTTGGTCGACCAAAGTCAACTGGTGGCAGTGAAGGTGCTCCACTGGGGGATTGTCGGTAATTGCTAGGTTGTTGTGGTTCCCAACCAGCTGACACAATACGATCTCGACCGGCTGGATTGTGGCCACGTCCAGCTGGAGGAACTTGCATATTTCCCATGCTGGTGGAAGGCCGCATTTCCTGCTGTCTAAGTCCACCTTGGTTGAACTGATCAGTGTTCGCATGCGCCATAGGTCTGATACCAAAAGCCGAGGATGGTCTATCTGCTTGAGGTCCTGAGCTGGATCCAGGTCGCGAGTTTGGTCCTGATCCAGGCTTCAGACCTTGATTACCATAATTGTACGCTCCAGGAACCCGATCATCTTCAGGATACGGTGCTGTGGAAACTGGTCGTTGAGGAAGAGGGGCATTCTTGTTGGGACGCAAAGGTGCAACTGCAGGGTACGAATTTCGTGGATCTGGCATGTCTACCGTTTCCTCTGCCATGGCACCCATCGGAGCTGGCTTTTGCTTGAACCTGTCTGGTCTTGCTCCACGTTGCGAGCCATACTGTGACTTGATTCTTGAGATTGCAACTTGCTCGTGATCCTTCTTCGACAAAGTGTTGTTCTTCTTGATGCTATCGATTCTTCCCAGAGCATCTTTGTTGCCATGTTCTGCTGCCTTCCGGTACCACGCCTCTGATTCTGCAAGATCCACTGGTACGTACATGCCAATTTCGTAGAAGTATCCCATGGCAAACTCAGCAGTGGGAAGCCTGGCAGCAGCAGCTCTCTTGGCGTAGGTGAAAGCTAACTCCTCATTCTTCTCAAAGACTGACTCATAACCACACAAGAACCATTTGCTGATAGCCATCTCAGCCTCTGCTTCTCCTTGACGAGCCGCAAGGGCATTATAATGCAAAGAAAGAGCAGGCTCAAATTCACAACCAAGTTGACACAATTCGTATGCTTGACCCATCTTCAACTGTGCCTTAGCAAATCCGAGATATGCTGCCTTTTCAATGAACATCTTGGCATCGTTGAGGTCAAAAGCCAGGTATTGTTCCGGCACACTAATGTTGGGAAGTTCTCGAGCAAGAAGCATTCCATAAACATAGGCACCTTGAGGGGCATTCTCATCTGCGGTCTCAGCAGCAAATCGAATGAGATCAACACCTCGCTGGTAGTCCTGCGGCATTCCGTGTTGTCCAAGCAATGTCATCATGCCCAATCTGTAGTTTGAGGCAGAATCCCGTATTGCAACACCCTTTCTATAATGCTCGACGGCTTTGGCAGAGTTGTTCGAGTTCTCATATTGCATGCCTATTCGGTATTCAGCTCGAGCATAGCCCTTTTCTGCTGCTCTCTTGTATCCCAAGAAAGCCTCCTTCTTGTCCACACGGTATCCGAATTTCCCGAACTCCAGCCATTGTCCCTTCATGAACTCTGCCTTTGGGTGATGTTGGTCTGCCAAGAATCTGACAATGTTAAGGGCATCCTCTCTCAGCTGATGCTCGACTTTCGGTGTAATGGATCTTCCTGGTTGTCCTTCAGGTTGCATGCGAACAGCAGCTTGGCTCGCAATTTCTACCCAAGATAAAGAATCCTGTGCCCATGCCAACTGCATCTCTGGATCCGTAGATTTCAATACCAAAGGTCTGGCTCTGTCTAGTACCTCCTCCTTCTCTTCGTCTGAGGGCGGGACATTTGGGCCGGGATCTCGCAGCTTCGGGAATGGGCTGAATTTGGGCGACTCTATGGGAGCCCCTCCATACTTCTGTTCCCTCCCCATATCTTGATATGCAGAAGCATTTGTGTGCTGATAACCGCCTCCATGAGCTTGCCCTCCCGGTCGCGGCGCACCTTGCGTCGAGCTTCGTTGATCGAGGTAGGGCGATTGCATCGAGGAAACGGTCGATGAGTTGCTCATCCTATGACCCTGAGGGTTTCGTGCTTCCAGTTCGAGATGGGCGAGCCCCTCTTGCATATTTGAAGGCACTTCTGGCATTATTCTGCAGCATTCTGTCAGCCTGCATCCCAAAACACCTTTCTTTGTCTCCTGCAGGTTTGAGGCGACACCCGGGCCACGCAGCGCTGGTTGTTTACTGACCTCTGTGGAGTTGGTGACACGACTTCGGGCATGTAAAAATCATCATGACCCGAAGGCACGAATGTGGCCCCTAGCTGAGGGTTCAGGTACTTGTAGCTTTGATTCTGGTCGGCCATGTTGACCGGATTGCGAGGGTACTGTCCAGCCGGATGATCTGCGACGTTGAATGTAATTAGCCAAGGGTTGCAACTTTTTCGTCGACGAGTCTTTTTGCAGAAAGTCCAAGGACGGAGGTGTGCGAGAGCGATCCCCTAACTCCAGCGCATGAATAATAAGGTAAGCCGTAAGCCGACCTGAAGGCAGCAGCTGCTGGACTGGAACTGGTAATAGGAGGAAGAGCTGCTGCTGACCGTTGAACCTTGGGGATTCTCTGCTGAGAAAACGGGAAGGTTGTCGTTTTATTCACGCGCATGCGAGGTTGTCGAAGGTTGTGTGCTAAATCAAGGATGGGATAGGATTGGAGACAGATTTTGACATACATTGAGCCCCTCGATCGTACTGCGTCTGCGACTGCGGTTTGGCGTATTGACCTTGACCTAGGCCCTGCGAATCTCCCCTCATCATGTTTCGGCCGTTGTCGTGCTGCTGCTGCTGCTGGTATTGGTAGGGGTACGACATCTTGGACATGTTTATTTTCCAGAGACAATCTGCAACGGTCACAACATCTTGGTCGTCGGAATTTTGAAGACGAGGAAACCAACATTAGGGTGAACGAAAGTGAATGGTACAGTAACACAATGAATGAGTAATGGGTTAGCTACGTAAATAGGTATATATCACGCTGGCATATCCGGCCACCCACCACTGCCGTAACCATAACAAGAGCGTCGTTACCAGATCTCTAGTATGAGCATGAGCATGAGCATGCGGTCATGGCTTCCAAGACAGACAAAGAGGCTGAGTTCCACCATAACCATTTCCAAGTTTCCAAAAAAGGCAATTGTGGACATATGTGGATTCAATATAATTTCCAAAGCGAAATCACTCAACACGCGGCGACGATGAGATGCCCCCTTTTGAGTAAATGACTTTCTTGGTGCATTTGCTCAGAGTTGCAGAGTCGCCATCATCACAAACGGCATGTGCAAGTTGAGGGGTCATGTAGCCCATACGAACTTATACTGTAAATAGCATTTTATGTTGCCATCGGATAGTTCGGATTCAAGTAGTGCACATACTGTAATGTTTGACTTGGTCTCGTGTCAGTGTTTCACATCCCATGCCAGCCAGGGGAAATGTTGTTTTCGCCGTTCGGATGCGAGACCCCTATTCGAGCAATGCTAAGCTTTTTGGATTATCCACACGCACGGGAACAGACTCTGCATCAAGGATCTCTACAACAGGAAATCTCCAATATCAAAGCACCCTCCCTTGTGCCTGTTCATCTCGACTCGCAGAAGGAGTGGATGGGTTTAATTTCTGCATGTACGAGCGCGGCGGCAGATTTCACTGTGCATCTTCGGGAGGATCTCTCTCGGGTGCAGATGCAGCAGCCTGGACCTGTTCTTTGTCGTGAGGCTGAGGAAGGATTTGATTGTTTACAGTAGCAGGCATTTCATTCCGCTTGTTTTGCTACACTGCCACAGCGCCATGAGCCCAACGACAACGTGTCTGACTGAGCACAAAGAAACGAACGCGATTCGGGGGTTTTTACTCGAGTGACGGTACAGTAACGATAAGGTTGCATGCTACAGTACTGCATTGCGAGTGTCAACGGGAATCATGGCACGGTCTGAGAAGGACCACGAGGAGCGCGATGCTGGTACCAGTCATGTGATGAGAGACTTTCACCACCCGTACACGCCGTACGAGATCCAGGAGACGTTTATGGGGACGGTCTATGATGTTTTGGAGGCAGGTAAACTTGGCATATTGGAAAGTCCCAGTAAGCTTGAGTCCATTTACGCTCATTGTTCTTGACTGACATTTGATAGCTGGTACTGTGAGTCACGTGGAGCTACATTCTTGTCCTTTTCATTTCGGGAGCTGGCAAGAACGTGTCCAGAGAGGTACAGTCTTCTAGACTGAAATCTGGCTAAATCGTCTCTCCTCTAGGGAAAATCGCTAAGTCTAATCTGTGGATCTCTGACTTGGCTACGCGACTTCAAAGGAAGACAATTTGAGGAAGGATTGAATTGGAGTCAAGATGGTAATGTCTTCTTCCCCAGAAGAAGATCACTGGTGCCTAACAAAACTTAGATTCAGATGAACCAGCATGGGTCATCGAACAAGCCAAAGCCAGGAAACGGCGAGAAATGCTTCGCCGCAGAGAAGAGATGGAAGCCAGACTAGCAAGAATCCGTGCTAAAGAGAAAGCTCAACGAGACAAGTACTTGAAAGGCGATCAAGGAATTAAGAGAAGAAGAGTTAATGCTGAGAAGAATGACGACGGGGACGAAGAACAGTTTGTTCTCGATGATTATGATAGTGATCAAGAGCACAATGGCTCTAAAAGTGCTAAGTCAGGTGGTGCTTTCTCAGCAGCTACTTTAGAACTCATGGCAAAGATTGGAATGGGCCCTGTAGCTTCTAAAGAAGAAGAGGATGAAACAGAGGATGAGATTAAGGTGGGTGACTTTAGTTTTACCGTCTGTGCCTAGTCTGACACACTACAGATCTTCTACTGTTCGAGAACACATTCTCAACTCACCCAATTCATCAACGAGCTCCGAAGGGTCAATTTCCCACCCTCGATCAAGGACGCAGACACGAAAGATACAGATATCGAAGATCTCAAGCACCTCACTCTCGGATCTCGCAAGAATCTTTGCATCAATCCCTCAGTCAACAAGCTCAACTCCCTCACAGCAATCAACGAACGTTGTTCAGAACTCCAGCAATCCAGCACAGCTAAGGAGCATAAATGTGTTTTCCTTCCCAACAAGGAGAATCAAGCTCTCGTCAATACATTCCGAGATCATTCCTTGGCCACTATTCGAGATATTGAAGACATGGGCTCGCTTGGCAAGGAGATTGGGATTTGCCCTTATTATGCTTCGAGATCTGCTATCAAACCAAGTGAGATTGTCACTTTACCTTATCCTTTACTGCTCCAGAAGAGCGCTAGAGAGGCATTGGGTATCAGTTTGAAGGGTCATGTGGTCATTATTGATGAGGCTCACAATTTGATGGATGCCATATCTGGGATTCATGGAGTGGAGGTGAACTTGATGCAACTCAAGCGTGCAAGAGGACAGCTTGGAGTCTACTTGCAAAAGTTCAAGAACAGATTGAAGGGAAAAAATAGAGTTTATATTGCTCAAGTGGTGAGAGTTATCGACTCGCTTGTCGGCTACCTTGAGGGTAGATCGACACAGCTAGTAAGTAGTTCTTCAAGCTTACAATTAGTACTTGCTGATAATTGTTCTAGAAAGCAGATGGTATAGTCTCCGAAAAAGAGCTACTCTCTGGAAAAGGCGTCGATCAAATCAACCTCTTCAAACTCATCCGCTACCTGACGGAAAGCAAATTAGCCCGCAAAGTCGAAGGCTACGCCCTCCACACCTCAACTCAAGCACCCAATACCCCATCCACTCAATCGGAACAAACATCCACAACTCCCGTCCTCCACCACATCACCTCCCTCCTCTCAGCTCTCACCCACCCCTCCAAAGAAGGCCGCCTGTTCTTCACCAAATCCCCCTCCGACCCCTCCCTCACAACCCTCAAATACCTCCTCCTGGACCCCTCCACCTCCTTTCGCGAAATAGTCTCACAAGCACGCTCCGTTCTCCTCGTCGGCGGAACCATGTCCCCCATGACCGACTACACCTCGCACTTATTCCCCTACCTCCCTTCCTCCTCCCTCACCACCCTATCCTGCGGGCACGTCATTCACAAAGAAAACCTCGTAGCCTGGAACCTCAGCAAGGGCCCCTCTGGCATCGACTTCGAATTCACATACAACAAACGCAACGACCCCTCCATGATCGCCGAACTCGGCCTCGCCCTCCTAAACATCTGCACCATCGTCCCCGACGGCATCGTCGTCTTCTTCCCCTCCTACACCTACCTGTCCACCGTCCTGACCAGCTGGTCCATGTCCCCCTCTCTATCTTCGCCTTCCATCCTCTCGCGCCTCGAGAAGAAAAAGGCCGTATTCCAAGAAAGCAAAGAAACGTCCTCAGATACAACCCTCCAAGCCTACGCCTCAGCCATCGACGCCGGCAAGGCCGCCCTCCTCCTCAGCGTCGTGGGCGGCAAGATGAGCGAAGGCATCAATTTCTCCGATAAACTTGGCCGCTGCGTCCTAATCATCGGACTCCCGTTCCCCAACGCCGCGTCGGCGGAATGGAGGGCTAAATTAGAATACATCGAGTCGTCCGCCATTGCGTCTCTCTCCTCCTCCGATCAACCTAATCTAGGGAAACAAGACATTCAAGCAAAAGCAAAAGAGGCTTCAAGAGCGTTTTACGAAAATGCATGCATGAGAGCAGTCAACCAGTCGATCGGAAGGGCGATTAGACATCAGAACGATTACGCGGCGATCGTGATGGTGGATAGACGGTTTGCGGGGGAGAGGATTAGGGGGAAGTTGCCGGGGTGGATTCGCGGGGGTCTGGTGGAGGGGGCGGGGGAGTTGGGGTTTGGGAGGTTGATGGGGAGGTTGGGGGTTTTCTTTGGGGGGAGGAGATGAGGGGAGGGGAGAAGGAGGAGAGGGAGGAGGAATGGGAGGTATGTTTGTGTAGTCGTTAGAGAGGGTGTGTAAGGAGTTATGGCCCGGATTAGTGGCCGGAGTGATTCTCAGCAGGGGGATATACGGTTAAGAGCGCGAGTTTAGGAGAATGGCAACACTAACCCTAGGCTTCTGGAATGTCTCGCAAGGACCCCTATCTCCAATAAAGGAATTCAATATCTCAATACTCCCTATGACTTCCAATTTCAGTCTTTTCTCTAGCTAAACGTCCCATCTTTCTCCAAAACCAATCCTCCCCCCTCCCTCCGTCTCAGTCTCATCGACCTCCCCGCACTTCACCCCTTAACACCCAGCTCCTTCCTCAATAACGGCACCAAAGGATACACTACTGAGAATGAACACCAAATCCCCCCTCAATCCCAAGAGCTGAAGGAGATGAAACATTGAGCGACAGCAAGCGAGCACAAATAACAAAGGAAACCACTCTTCACCCGCTCCTCCTCTGCAATCCAAATCTTCTCAACTCAAGTCCCCCAGTCCAACACCACTCAACAACCTTCACCATCCCAGAACAACCCTTATCCAGACCCCTATCACAACACTCCATCCCTCCCCCCCCTCTCCTCCAACTCATCCTTGAACCTCGAATAGAGTGCCGAGTAAGGGCATCGATCCACATACCCCTAAGCCCACCAGCTTTCTCCACTAGTCAAGAAAAGGCCAGATTCCTGGCGTTGTATCCCCAACGATGATGCGTCGAGGAGGAAGGATTCCAGTAGACTCCTACACTACTACGAGAAAAGCTTCAATTGTTCGCCGTTTAGATCATGCGTCGTGGGCTTTTTGGGGAATGCTGGTTAGCAGTGAAACAATGGTAGTAAATCCAACTTTTGCACTCTTTTCATGTTTGATTGTCATCGTTGGTTTAGATCGCAAGATTTGAAAACTACTTCTGTTCATTCAGCGAGGTTTGGATACATGGTTGCTGGAGAATGTATCACAGTCTTCAGTTTAGAGACAAGTTAGGTAGATTATGGCTTACCACGCTCGAAAAGAAATTACTTGTAATTTGTAACTATCCTGGACTAACATGCTGGTCAGCGCAGAAAAAGGGATAAGTCGAGATAGGACTTGCTTTCGACAGCTTATACTTGGCAGCAAGTATCTGCTTGGAACCTAAGCTTTTGAACTTGCTTCATGACTGGAGAGAGTGTAAGCGGCCACGGATAGAAGAGTCTGGAGTGAAGGTACGGTGGCGCGCTGATGAGTCCAGAGGAAATCCAACAATGAAACAAAGTGACATCGTTTTCTGTTTCAACAGTGAGGAGAACGCATAGAAACAATTGCGGAGTAACAGAGAAACCATATTGAAAATTTGAAATGGGTTGGCAGTAGAAGGTTAAGAATTTGGATACGCTCATTCTGAAGGGAAGGACTTCATCTTCCTTCACAGCCATATAGATCTGATAGTACACTCACATGGCATGTGGCTTTATTCATGCTTGTAGCAGTTGGAGCTGCACAGTTCCCTAGGGCACTCCTCATCCCCCTCAGTACTTTCATAGTGACACTTGTCACTTCTCAGGCTATTCCACAGCTCCTGGCATGATATTGAAATGCTTGTGATGCAGAGCGATGAGAGACATCGTGTCGACCGAGAAGTACGCTGCCACAAACAATACAGAAAATAGACAATCGGAAAGTTCTTTGAGGATTTTCACTGGAAACAAAAATGGTGGAAAGAATAGCAAGTGCTTATTATTCGTCATTGGTTCAGAGACCTTCCCTTGAGATATGTTATAGAGCAGCGAATGGTAATTATTTAAAACGTAGCCAGCAGACGATAAACATATCATAATCATATCTGTTTAAGCTCCGTTGTAAAGGAAACACCGAAGAGGCGTCGTCCTCGACGGACATTCAAACTTCACGTGACCATCAAAACTGCGCTAGAACGACTTCGCGTCTCCAGCTTGCCTGCTCTACAATCCACCATCGAAACCACCACAACCACATCCACGCCAACCAAACACCCTCACAACCCTCACAATGTCCGAACGCGACCTCCAAGACATCCTCCGCAAGCTGAAGTCCTCTCGAGACTACGCAGACTGTTCCTCCCTCCTCTCCAAAGCCAAAATCACCCTCCTCAAGCTCAAAGCCCTCACCCCCCAACCAAACACCCCATCCTCGACCCTCCAACTCGCCCGCGAAGTCTTCGAAACCGGCGCTCTCCTCTCAATCCGAGCGAAGGATCCTGCTGCCTTTACCCGCTATGTACACCAACTCACACCATTCTACGAGCTGCCGCCCGAGCGCTTGAGTCCTGCGCATTCTGAGAAGAATAAGATTACGGGCCTGTATCTGCTGTTGCTGTTGACGCAGAGTGATTATGCGGGCTTTCATACGGAGTTGGAGGGATTGGAGTTGAGACAGGGGAGAGAGGGGATGTTGGAGAAGGATAAATATCTAGGGTACCCGATTAAGTTGGAGAGGTGGTTGATGGAGGGAAGCTATGATCTGGTCTGGAAGGCTATGGCGAGCAGAGAGGTACCGAGTGAGGAGTATGGTGTTTTCAGCGAGGTATGTTTTGTTACTCTTTATGTCGAGGAAATGCTAATTCGGTGCATAGATCTTGATCAACCAAATCCGCCACGAGATCGCAACGTGCAGTCAAACTGCCTATCCATCTCTACCCATCTCATCAACAAAGAATCTGCTTTTCCTAGATAGCGAGGGTGCTGTTATTGAGTTTGCACACACGAGAGGGTGGTTAATTAAGGATGGCCGGATATATTTCCCCCAACAAAGTATGAAGGCAACTGTGGACGAGGAAGGTAACACGAAGGAGCTCAGCCAGATGGCTATCGAGAACACGCTGGGCTACGCACGAGAACTTGAGACAATTGTATGAGCGGCATCACGTCACATCTCTAGCATGAATCATGGCATCAGAATCGGAGGAAATCCAGCGTCAGCATCAAGCTTGTATTCTAGACGGCGCGCAGGCGTAATTCAGAAATGACTCAAGAATGGACTGCTTATGATTTGATTCCACGACATCTACGTGCTATCATCATTCAATACTCCTTACATGCGGCTGAGTGCAAGTAGCCAAATATGACCACGATCTACGTTTTCCGAAACTCCATTCTCGTGCCCTTCCTATATTTTGAGAACTCACGCTGTCAACCTCAATCCACTTCCAGTCTTTCCGACTTCACAGACACCACAGACAGTGCATACTGTGCCCTTGTATTTGGAGTGATACTTGCTACCGTCAAAGGCGCAGGTTTCGAAGGATGTACCTGAGTAGATAGGCGTTTGTGAAGCAGCACAGATATCGAACTCCGCGAATTGATCAAATTCAATCTCGTGGGCATCGTTGGGGTTACGTTCACATTGTGCCTTGATCTTTCGTGCCTGTTATGTGTCAGTAAAGTTCGAATTCGAAGCTTCCTTTCAAAGTTACTCACGTTGTCCAGCATCTTGGTGGCCCCGCCATTGGCTATCATTCTATTGGCAAAGCTCAGAGCAGAGTTAAGGTTCTTGTTCTGGTAGGCCAATTTCATCGCACTCGTCAGAGCTATTTGCCTATGTGGCACCTCCAACTTAGGAATGGTGAAGTAGGCAGCGAGCTCTAAGCTTCGCTTGAGCTGAGCTGGAGATTTGGCGACTTCTGCATCGGAACCAAGCTTTCTCCTGGACAACTCAATGGCCATGGCAATGGTGTACTCGCATGCAGTAGTGATGAGCTTCTTGGCTTCCTCGACCTCAGCAGGGGCAGAGACAGCATTGACGAGGAGCGCATGAAGAATTCCTTTGAAGATAGTGGCGCCGTCCTCAAGTTTGTTGGTTCGCATGGCGGTATACCCCTTCTGCAAATCCTCGCTGGCAAGTGACTCGATGTCTCTGGGAATAATGGGTAGGACCTTGCGGGGATCAGTCTGGTCAACTGTTCTTCGAACGTAGTTGATTAGTGGTGGAAGCCCGGTAGAGGCAGGGAGGTAGGTTTTCGTAGCCTGGTAAACTTCAAGGAAACGGGGCTTCAGAGGCGCAAAGTTCACTGCTCCAAGTTGTCGGTTCAAAAGCTGCATAGCAGTTTCGAAAGAACCGGCAGCCACGTGATCTGCAGCAATGGGCGAGTTTCTAGCCCAGAGCTCTGCTTCACTGCTGCCTGCACCTGCTTCTGCGCTGTCGACGTTGACGAAGTCACTTTCAACTTCTGGAATGTCTTCGCCCATGTCCCAGCCGGCAGCATCGTCATCCTCTTCTTCATCGATGAGGTTGCCTTCTCGCTTTGCAGCATCATCCTCACCAGCTTCGTCAAAGCCGAAGCCATTTGAGGCTGCGGCAGGTTCATCCTCCAAGGACAATCCTTCAACTTGACCAAGCAGAGCCTTCTCGAAGAATGACTGTGAGGTAGCCTTGGTTGGCCAGTTCGCCTTGAAAGTCGACACAGCAGGTTTCGGTGGTGAGAGCGGTGAGCCAATAGCAGGAAGCGAAATCTGCTCTTCTGTGAGTCCAGTAGCCTCCAGAATCGATTCGCACTCCTCCTCCAATCCATGCGACTTGGCAGTCATATAAGCAAGAGGATCTAGAATAGATTAGCAATTGAAGTTTCAAGCGCGTTACTATTAACTCACAGAGGTCTATCTCCTTGAACATTGCAATCCGGTCAGTGACATCACCCAGGTATAAAGCATTCTGAAAGCGAGCAGTGAAGTCGCCACGATGCTCAGCAATCTTTGCCATTCTATTGAGTTTGGCTTCATCGCCAGTGGCGAGGTAAAGGAACGACAATTTGTCGAACTGTCTTAACTTCTGGTATGCCATCTCAACAATTTGGTGGTTTCCATGGGCGAGAGCTTCTGTTGTAAGCCGCGACCAGAGCTTTGGCCTGTCCAATTGCTTGGCCATCTCAACAGCAACCTCAAGATTGCCACACTCAATTGCGAGTTCAAACCGAGTTTGGGGGTCTTGGACGAATTGAAGAGCGATCTCAGGGTATCCCTTCTTTTGCAGGTATGAAATGATGCTTTGACCCACAAGACTGGAATTCTTGATGATTGATAACATCTCCGCATAATTTCGCTTCACAAGTGCGAGCTTGAACCTATACTCTGTGGGATCAATGTTCAAGATCTTGGGCTTTGCACTTCTATCCAAGCAGTACACAGTGCGCGCCTTGACATGCACAAGGTAGACAGTCTGATCAAGAGTTCGTACGATCCCGTTATCGCCATTAAGGAGCGTGTACTTGATGTGGTTCAACGTCGAGTATAGTAGAACACCAGCATCATCCCAGGTTGCGCTCTTGATCCGGATAGTCTCGTGAAGAGTGCTGACTTGCTCGAGAGTCTTTGTCGCAACAGTGACATTGTGCTTGCTCAAAAGAGCAACATATGAATTATCATTCTTCCAAACAACATACTTCACTCCACTGACAGCAAGTTCTGCTACGGACTTCTTCTGCTGGATGTCGTACAAGTGAACAGCGGTGGGCGTAATTAGGAGAAGGTTGCCGGGTCCACCAAAATAGATGTCAGTTGTACCAGTAGGTGGTTTGATGGTCTTTGTCGTCGAGTTTGCAAGGTCCTTAATGTCAATCTGCTGATTAGAGGCATTGAAGACAGCAAAGCGATTTCGCTGAACGAAGACGGCAGAATTTCCTTGTCCACGCTTCGTGTCGGTAGGATCCATGGACCCAGAACCATCTCGAGGCAGGTTGATCAGTTCGTAGGAGCCACCATCAGCTGGCGAAGTTACAAGGATAGCTCTCTCAGCAGGGTTGTAAGATAGAGACCGGGGTGGAACCCAAGGACTTCCCAGCTTCTTAAGCGTCAACAGCGTAGGGCTCTCGATATTCTTCTGGAAATCATAAGAGCGAACATGCTTCTCCTTGGTAATAAAGAAGAGGTTATTCTGGTGGAAAGCTGACGCAGGACGTTCTCGCTCAAGCTTGAACACCATTACGCCGTTGTCATGGCCGGCAGCAAACAGATTGATCTCCGGATGAGCTGCAATGACCCAAAATCGATCGTTCTCTCGCTTGAACGATTGGACCGATGTACGCTTGTTGAGATCCCAAACTCGGATAGTCTTGTCCTCGCCTACGGAGAGGATCAGATCCTGATGGGGATGGAACAAACAGCCTGAAGCATTTTGGAAATGCCCTCGGCAAGTATCAACTTCCCACGCCTTTGTCTCGCTCATTCTCCATAACTTAACGAGTCTGTCATCGCCAGCGGACACAATAAGAGGTAATGTAGGATGAAAAGCCACCCAATTTACACCTCGGTCGTGCCCCTCCAAAACGAATTTGACCACAGCATCAGTATTTCCGAACATGTCTGCTTGGTTTTGATTTCCCCGCGACATCTGATCCTCGAAGGTCATTGATGTAGGCGCCGAATGCTTCTTTCGTAAACCAGAAATATCCCACACACGGACAGATTGATCCAATGAGGCAGAAACAACTAAATCGTCCTTCGGATGGAATTGAGCGCACATGGTATAGTGATTATGGCCTGTCATGGTGCATACTAAGAGACTCGTTAGCTCATGTAACATCTCAATCGTTCTTCTACTAACTCAGAGATCTGTTTTGCCAATTCCATATTCTAATTGTTTGGTCATCCGAGCTGGAAATGATCCAAGGGAGCTCGTGGTGAAAGAAGACAGTGCGGACATAATCAAGATGGCCGTTCAAGGTGAATAGACATCTGCGAGTTTGATACGACCAGACCTTGATCTTGTAATCATCTCCACCAGAAACAAAGAGGGGTTGTGTCTTATGGAAGTCGATGCCCCGAACTGGTCCGTCGTGTTCCTCGAATCGATCAATCAGAGTTCCCATTCGATAATCCCATAATTGAATGGTGGAGGAGTGTAGCGAAACTAAGATCCACGGTCTGGAGGTTGTCAGCTACAAATTCGTATGCGCCAGCAGTTGCGGGGTGTACCTCTTGGGGTGGAAAGCAATGCCCTTTGCCCTCGAAGATTTTGACTCAAACTGCAAAGGGATTAGAAGTGTCATACAGTGTTTCCAGACCGATTCGCAGGAATTATACCTTTGTGAGCATGTTGGGAGAGGAGGAGGACGCCATCTTGACCGACGTTGCGAGAAATGTGGCCTGCTATGCCTCGCGCATGAAGGATGGTGGATGGTCGTGACAGCGGGATTATCCTTTTGGTACAGCTTTAGGAATGCTGCCGAATGACGATCAGAGTGTTTTGTGGAAGTTGCTTGTGAAGCTCAGAAGCAGCTGTGGAATTGTCGAAATCGTGTCTCTTGGGAAACTGCGATTGTGGCCGGATGGGCGCCTGAAAGACAAGGCGCCTGACAAGGCTCGAGAGCTTATTGTGCAAGCTGTCAACAACGTCACATTGGAGAGAATATATTCAGCCTTGTCTAGATCGTTTTCGCAGATTCTTGTAAAATAGAATATCATGCCTGCAATCACTTCCAATTCATAGAAGTGCATCGACTTCTTTCCGCTGGCGGATAACAGGGTTCACTGCAATCAACAGCGATTGTTCCTTTTTCGTCTGAACATTAGAGATTACCCCTGAGCATACTGTTGTTTGCCAATTGAGCAACCATATCGAAAATGGGACCTTTCAACTTGCCTTGGGGTCTGACTGGGGCCTTGTTGGCAACAACATATCTCCATTCGATATGTGTTTCTGCAGCTCCGTCCATAAATGTGGGATTAAAGACATCCTTCTCTTCGGCTCCATACCTCGTTGAATTATTGTAAGCTATGGAGAAGCCCAAACTATGGTCCAACTCTAACACTCAGTAGAGAAACTGCTGTAGATGAGAATGCTACATCTTACTTCCCACTTCTCGATCGAATCGCAGACGGTCATTTCTCCAAAGCGTCCACCGAAAAGGAGCTCTACGACCAATTTGTACAGCTTCTCAGAGATGATGGACACATGCAAGCAGAGAGCTTGTCCTCATACAAGTTTGCACTATCTATGCGGTCTTTAGCACCTCGCATCGAAGCACACTACCAATATTACCACACCGCAGCAGAACCATCACTAAAAGCTGAGCAAGACACTTTTTGTCCTGTTTGGGTATTGTTCAATGGCAAACAATACTGCTCTCCTTCCTTGAAAGATGCCCATGGAGATGTGAATTCAGAAACGTAATGTCTCTTGTCGAATTGGGAAACAAAGCTCATTTTATTCTTAGGCAGACACAAGAACTCCAGTTCGACCGAATTGTTGGAAACTCATCGGCACCTGCTTCTATCCTTTATGCTGATATAACCTCTCCGATTTTTGGCAAATTCCACAAGACACTCATCAAGACAGCTCGAGAGGGGAAGACCTCATATCGTGTCCGACATCGAAAGCCATTGAATAGTGAGCCGAAGCAACTTATCATACCAGGATATGGTGTCGAGCTTGCCCTCAAACGAACAGACTACATTGTCATTGATGATCGAGAAGAAAGCGATTCCAAACCAAGTGCAGTCCCCGAAAAGGAAGTCAAATTTGAGGATGAAGAACTGGCTGATCTGAAACCACTGTCCACGTCCGAAGTATTTTCTCTCGCCGTGAAAGCATCGAGCTTTATAATGCAAAGCGAGACGCCCTTCGAGACTCTTGTAAAACTATCGCAGGACTTTCCCAAGTATTCAAGTGCAATCGCTTCTCACAACGCCACTAAAGAATTCCTTGCGGAACATGAATACAATCGCGGGCAGCTCGTTCCAGCAGGATACAACATCCTGTGGATGAACGGCCTTCAATTGATTGAACGACAAATCGAAGCGCTTGATCTCCTTGACCTAGTGCGGAAGGAACGCAGATTGATCAACGGCGTCAAAGACCTTGGCTTGACTGGTCCAGAGGCAATCCAATTAATAGCTCACAATGAGATTGCATCTGTGAAAGGAGAAAGCGATGCCCAGAGATTCGACTGGAGAGACGAAATCGAGGGCGGGAACGTTATCATCTGGATGAACGACATTGAAAAAGACAAGCGATATGCAGACTGGCCTACGAACCTCGCAGCAGTAAGTCGATTGCCTTGATTGCTTATTCTTGCTGACATTCTCTTAGTTCCTGCAACGAACATATCCAGGACAACTTCCAACTGTTCGCCGAGACTCTTTCAACCTGATCCTACCAGTAGACTTCACCGATGCACAAGATGTGTTGATGATAGTCGACACCCTTCTCAGTTTTGTGAAACGTAAACTCACTCTTCGTATCGGTCTCGTCCCCATCACTACGACGCCTCACCAGGTAGAGCAAGCCAGAGTCCTATATTACTTGCTAGACACGTATGGATTACAAGCTGTGATCGCGTACTTACAATCTTCGTATTCTGCGAAGAAGCTTTCCGTGCCAAGCAAGTCAAGCTTCAATTCTGCGGTTGAAGACCGTAAATTGCGAGCTGAGAAGATTGCTCGCCCTATGGAAGACCTGCTCAAGACAGAAGACTATCAGGAACAAGTCAAGGCTTCCCAGAAATGGATTCGAAGACTTTCTGCAGATAGCAAGATTCCTCCAATGTTTGTGGATGGTGTTGCACTTCCTCGGGACGAGAACTGGCTTCAGTCAATGAGTCAGCGAGTCAACACAGATCTCCAAACTATCCAACAAGCCATATTTATGGAGACTTTCACCGAGGAATCGTGGCTTCCACTACACTTTTTGTCACAAGCATCCGTTCGAAGGAACTCTCTTGTTGTACCAGAGGATGAGAAGACACTCAAGCTATTTGACATCAACAAACTCTTGGGAGAAGATCAAGAGTCAGTTAACCAATTACCATCTATGAAGGCTGACCTATCTTTACCAAAGAGCGACTGGGCTCACATGATTGTGATTGGGGACTTGGACTCCGAAGCTGGCGTCAATCTCCTTGCTACAGCCGCCGCTTCCCAGGAAGCTAATCCTTCTATTGAAGTCGTTTTCTTGCATAATCCAGCTCCTGGGGCCTCCAAGTCTGGTTTGAGCACCGATATCTTTGCCTATATGCGAGATAATTCTTTCAAGCCTCTGCCGGATGTGGCCCAACTTATGACAATTCTGACCAAAGATGAGCAATCTTCATCTGATGCTTTCCATGACGCCAAGGATTACTGGCATGCGTACGACAACATTGTCAAGTCGCTGGCGCTGCGACCAGGGGAGAATGCTATTGTGTTGAATGGTCGTTTGGTCGGACCTATTCCAGCGGTTCCCGATTTTGACACAGATGATTTCGACCAATTGCTCTCATATGAGCGCTCGAAACGCATCACCCCAACCTTCACAGCTATCGAAGCACTGGGATTATCAGAAAAGGTTGTCGACCCCTTGTCAGCTGCGAAAATCTCCTCCATAGTATCGATCTCTACCATGTCGGATACTCCTGATGGCATCTTTGAACAAGCCTCAACGATTAGGATGGGACAATTTAACATGTGGAACTCTTCCCATACGGTGATTGAGACAGGAGATGCCTCAATAGCTACTATACAAATTACTGCACTTCTGGATCCTGCCAGTGAACAAGGACAGCAATGGATACCACTTCTGAAAGTTCTATCAGAGCTCGATGGCGTTTACACCAAAATCTTCCTGAATCCAAAGGAACGCTTGCAAGAACTCCCAGTGAAGCGTTTCTACAGATATGTTTTGGACTCGAAACCTACCTTTGATGAGAGCGGGGCACTCCAGCCACTTGGTGCCTCCTTCAGCGGCGTCCCCCAAGAGGCCTTACTTACAGTTGGTCTTGACATCCCACCTGCATGGCTTGTTGCTCCGAAAGTCTCAGTCCATGATCTTGACAATATCAAGTTGAGTTCTATTAAGACCAACGTCGATGCTCTATACGAGCTGGAGAACATTCTCATTGAGGGCCATTCAAGAGAGATCCCAGGCGGTCAAGCTCCTCGTGGCGCTCAGCTTGTTCTTGGGACTGAGAGAGACCCTCATACAGCAGACACGATCATAATGGCCAACTTAGGATATTTTCAGTTCAAGGCGAATCCTGGCTTTTACAAAATCGATTTGCAGGAGGGACGAAGCTCAGAGATCTTCAATATCGACAGCATTGGCTCCTTGGGCTGGAGTCCAGTACCAGGCGATGAAACTACAGAAGTCGTCTTAATGAGCTTCAAGGGTACCACCTTATATCCACGCCTCTCCCGGAAGACCGGCATGGAGACCGAGGATGTCCTCGAAGCAAAACTTGAAGGCAAGATGGACTTTATGTCTCGAGGTCTCGACTTTGCTCAGGGCTTCTTTGGTGGCAAGCAAAAAGCACTTGCTGAGAAGGAAGTCCAGGCTGATATTAACATCTTTTCTGTCGCCAGTGGCCACCTTTACGAACGCATGCTAAACATTATGATGGTCAGTGTGATGAAGCATACAAAACATACTGTCAAATTTTGGTTCATTGAGCAGTTCCTCTCACCATCATTCAAGGACTTCATTCCATATCTCGCTGCAGAATATGGATTCAAATATGAAATGGTCACTTACAAATGGCCGCACTGGCTACGCGCACAGACAGAAAAGCAGCGTGAGATTTGGGGCTACAAGATTCTGTTCCTTGACGTCCTCTTCCCACTGTCTCTCGATAAAGTCATCTTCGTCGACGCCGACCAGATTGTTCGTACAGATATGATCGAGCTTGTCAACCACGATCTCAAGGGCTCGCCGTATGGCTTCACACCAATGTGCGACAGCAGAACCGAAATGGAAGGGTTCCGATTCTGGAAACAAGGATACTGGGAGAAGTTCTTGAGAGGCTTACCATATCATATTTCTGCTCTCTATGTTGTCGATCTGGTCCGTTTCAGACAATTGGCAGCAGGAGACAGACTGAGGCAGCAATACCATCAACTTTCTGCTGACCCCAACAGTCTTTCGAATCTGGACCAGGATCTGCCAAATCATATGCAGTCCGTTCTGCCCATCCATAGTCTGCCTCAAGAGTGGTTGTGGTGTGAGACCTGGTGTAGTGACGAAGCACTCAAGGATGCGAAGACTATTGATCTTTGCAATAACCCGTTGACGAAGGAACCAAAGTTGGATAGAGCTAGGAGACAAGTTCCTGAGTGGACAGTGTACGATGATGAGATTGCGGCGGTAGATAAGAAGCGCAAGGGCTTGAATGGGGCAGAGAAAAACACAAAGAGTAGGACGCTGGAGGAACCAATGGTGACTGAGAGCACGGCGTCCAAGAAGGATGAACTATAGATTTGTGCTTTTCAAACAGTAGCAAAGAGAGCGAGCGAATGTGTACAATACTTGCATAATCATGTTCTTACCTGGAGGCCCTCGGATAGTGTGTCCTTGACGAACTGTGGGAATCGTCCTTGTCTTTTCTTCCCTAATCGTCTCTTCTTTCATCTCAAGTTAGAATTTCGGAGAAAAGCTTGCCCAAATCTCACTGCTGAGTTTTCTGCTTATTTGTAATCTTGATTACAACAAATTATAGTGCTTAAGTCCAGAGATCAAGTTCTTGTTATTGCTCTCGAGTATAGTAAATTTCAAGTTGGAAGGATTGAGAGATAGCCAAAATGATCGCACCGAAAAGCTTCTAACTAGCGTTTAGTCAACAGTTCAAGAGAAGGTACGATACTACAATATTACTAAGTACAAACATATTGGTTCTCATGTTGCCATGTGTGGCATTGTGTGTGTTTCTGAATCTAACTAGTATAGACTCGCCGCTTTACAGAAACCCCTTAATGACTCGCTTAGCCCCAGACATTATCGTGATAATCTACAATTAAAATGACTTTGGATGAAAGAGTACACTCCAGTTTCCGAGATTGTAGAGCATTTGTGGAGTGGATTTGAGGATCTTCACACATCGGAGTTGGTTCCCTCTCCCTCGATTGTCTCGTCCACAACATGTTTTTAGGGCGGCTATTTGCATTGCGGTGTCCAGTGCCGCTTCCAAAAAGCCATGTGATGGCCAAGAAACAGCTTGCGATGTCCAAAATTGCTAGGCTATCAAGAAACAAGACAAAGTTCATAGATGTTTTGTGGTCGAGCGATCGAATATGTAAATCCCTAGATGCTACTCTAGGGTTTCGCTACCGTGGCTAAGACTTTGAGAGTTGGTGAGAGTATTTGAGACTAAGAGATCTTGGGGCGAAAGCCAAAACTTGCTTTAAATGTCTGAACGAAGTTGATAGATTCACTTGTATACGCTACGCCTATTCTTGCCTAAACTGTTTGTTTGTGATCACCTTTAGCGCGACTCGATATTCTGCGAATGAGACTCCTTAAAACGTTCCACCTCCCTCTTCCGCCCAAAATTCCATATCATCTTCTCAGCTCAACCCAATCCTCCTCGATTTCTCAAAACCTTGAAAGTTCAGCGATCAGAGGCGTATTGTACAAGTCTGATCGCGTCCAATCACTCCTGGACCCCAATTCCATAACACTTTTTCCGCTTCGCACACGAAGGAGCCGCTTCACCATACCGAACATCAACGAGGACATCATATTGTAAGTCCCCTACATTTACAACAGACAAGTCAAGGTGCTTGCGCATTGTAATTTTCCACTTTTCTTCGAACATCACGTTTGTATACCAACATCGCGGATGTGAGGACGCAAGCCAGTGGAAAACTACCGCGTTCTACTGGAGGCTCTTTCCAGATAGTCGGAGTTTATACTCATCACTATCTATGAACCTACGAACGCGATCACGCGATATTTGCGCTCCGACAACGCGAAATATTTTTCTTAATTCTCCTCGAACCTCGATCGCAAAAATACTAATTATTATCATCAACAGAGATACAGATAACGTCTAAAGATTCCTTCTCCGAACTGCAACGAGAAAGAGATATGCAGTCTTCTAAACGGACTTCATTTGAGCCGGTAAACAGTAAGTACCGACCTCCACTGCGGCCCTAAGTGTTACTGACTCTAGCAGCGGACCCTACGCCACATGACACGAAGCGAAAGAGATCCGATTCGTTCACCCCTCCCGACGAGAATACCATAGTCCTTGGCAAAGTTCTCGAATGTCCCTCAGTCGAAAAGCATAAAGAAGGATACTTCTGCATTACTTGCCGGGGTATAGCTGGAGAATGGGGCTCCATATTGCCCGTCATGAAGAGCGAGAGGGATGGCAAAGTGATCACAATTGGGCCCACTGGAGCAATAGTTGAGGGAGTGCAGCTTCACAACGAAGAGGCTATTGCAGTCTTGTCAACTGTTGTCTTCTTGCTGGTTAAAGGCTACCTTTACAGTCATATCCCTGGTTTCATTAGTATTATGGATAGACATCCGAAGTCCGTGGCCGCTGGTGAACTCATCGCTGAGATCTACCAAGTAATTCAGAAATCAGCTCGCAACGAAGCCGAAGACGCTGTGCCAAATTTTGGTCGTACCGTCGAGTTAGCTTTGATCGATCCAGAACTGAAGCCTCATGATCTCATCTCGAAAGTTCTCTCCGGATTTGTGGCATACAAGGACCCGGAGGAAGATAAGGATAAGATACCAGAGTTTTTGTCCGAGTCCGGACTCGACTCTCAGTCAGAGGCAATGCAAAAGCCCAAGGCAAAGAAGTACGGCCCAGAAGGAGAATGGGATACGAGGAGATTCCGTACCTTGAACGAGTCTCACAAGCCACCAAACGGGAACTGGAAGCTTGCCGATGGTACCGACATGACTCCTGCTGTTCTTGGACAACCAGATCCTGGCAAGTTCTTTATCCTTCGTCAAGATCAGGACGATGTTAGACGTTTTGACATCCGAGAATACCCACACATCTGGAAGTTCGATTGGAACGACAAGATCCACATTGATAGCCTGAACAAGAATAGGCAGCAAATATTCAAGCGTACTGATCCTTCAGTCATAGACAGCAAGCCTACCTGGACCAAGAAGGAGAAGGAAACATTGGAGGAGCTCATTCGGGCTGATCTGCTCTTAGGCAAGAACAAGACGACTCTCGACTGGGATGACATTCGTGACCGACTTTCCAAGAAATTCGAAAACGTCTTGCAAGAGAAAGGCGTCCCACTTGCCCAAACCAATAAGAATATTAAGGGCGAATGGATTCTGCCAAAGAAGACCGATCCGAAGCTTGCCCACGATCGTCTTGGACCTGCCACCCGTTCGGCATCTGCTATCAGATCACAAGCCTCGAATTTCCGTGACATCCTAGAACTCATAAATAGCTATCCTGGCAAGATCATAGCTGATGAGGAAAGTCAGGCTGGTGCTGCAGATGGCTGCATTACTGTCACTGGTTGGAAGGACTATGATATAGACTTCTATGAAGCCCAAGCAAAATCTTCACCCAAGAAGAAGGCCATTCGAAAGAGACGAAAGACGAGCGACGACAAGACCAACAAGATGTCGAAGTCATCTTCTGTACTTGACGAGGAAAGCCGTGACTTCGACGAAACAAGCACAGTCACATCATCGGTAGACAACGCCAACGCAAAGGAATTCGATTCGAATGGCGAGAAGAACCCCGAGGACGGTGCAACACTTCGAGAACGATAACAATCCCCTCCTCCACCGCCATCCAACGGCATAAGCGAATGATTTAGAGGTCAGGACAGTAAGTCTAGACTTGGGCTGCAGCATAGATGTGGGATGGGATGGGATAGGATGGGATGGTGGTAGTCACTAGTACAATGTCATCGATTGGGAACTGTGGATGCATCTCTGGGCGATGGCTTGATATGAAAAGTGGATTGTATGTGTAGAGAGTATGGATTGTTATCTGGATGCACAGATTGCGGACGCCGGGCGACGCATGTCTTTAGCGCGGAACGTAAAACCCTGGACTATGAAATATAAATTCTGTCTCCCATCCTATAAATTGCATTTTGACGTGATGTGTGGCTTTTCGTGAAGTTATTTGTATACCACTTGAGGTGAAACAAACATGTGTAAGCAAAACAGCTGCGAATACCGACCAATGGTACGCCCCAGCAGAAGATGTTAGAAGAGAACTTTAGTCATTTGCAGATGCAAGACACTTGGTTTGAAGTAAATTCCAACAGAGACAAAGTAGAAAGGTTGAAGTGGTGTAATCGTCATAATAGAACCCACCTCTGGTGACACACACCGTTTTACTTGATGCAAGGGATTGCATATAATTACTCCAAAGTACATCAATGTCTCAAGTTGGTTGTCTCCTCTTTTCCTGTGAATCTCCGAGGAGGAAAAGTGACGTGGATTTCCTTTTCTATCCACGATCTGTCACTTCTCAAGAAAGTGAGACGACTCACCAAACTTTCGAGGAAATACTACAAGTGAAATCAATCTTTGATGTACCAATCACCGTGAAAAGACAGGAAATGACGGGAATGCAAACAATAACATTAATCAACGAATGACCAGGCTTTCGTCCCTCTCTCCTTCTTTCTTGAGAATCGCGGTGTTGGCCAGCCCCAACTTTGCTTCCCCGTGCTGAAAGACATTCTTCTGAGCAACTGAAGATCTTCTATCCTTTGGTACCACACTCATTAATGGTCCGTATTCGCCTCGGAGTCGCGCCTTGAGCCTCGTTTCCTGATCACCAGCTTTATCTCACTTGTTTTATTGTGCTGGTACATATTGGATCCTGCTGACCGTGTTCTCAAGTCCAGACATTGGTCATGAAATTCCTCTTCTTCTCCGCCCTATGCCTTCCCGCATTCCAGAGACCTTTTCAAGTTCACACGAGCAATCAGATGACAACCAAATTCCCACTATGCCGACCTCTACACATCCAACAGCCAAGAAGCACCCAAGCTTAGTAAGCAATCTTAGTCTCTCTATCAACTCCTCAACAGAAACCAATCTCGAATAAGCCGGGAAAATAAGCCCTTACAACACGCGCAAGCATCTTCTCACCACCTTATCTCCTCCCAATCTCAACCCCGCAAAAAGCTCCCCTTTTAACATACCTGGCATTGACTGTGTCAGCAATGACTGCGAATCACAACGCTCGAATGAAGGCCCACATTGATTGGGTCTCTTTTGTAGGACCTGCCGAGCCGGGTTTCTTTTCCAAGGTCAACGACGCAGAAGGACGATTGCTCACAAGCGAATCAAAGACAGCAACATACTAGAAGATGTGCCGATTGAATGCAAGACACCAGGAGCTACGATGTCCATTGTGTTGTTTCTCAATTTTTCCCTCAGAAATTACAAATATACTGAGCTTTATGGCTTTGCACAAATCATGGAACGATTTCCCGAGTCTGTTGCAGCAGAGCAGCGCAGAGCTGATGTTGACAGAAGTCTCTACGATGAGAAGAACAAGATACCAGAATTTTACATCGTTATCTACGACACTCTATGCCATCCTTATATCAGAGACGAACAGTACAAGTTCAGTATTCTGGGCAGGTTCAGGAAGAAGGCCACTGCTCTCGAAGAAAAGAACGAGCTCACTTCCATTAGGAACTCAACTACGACCGAAGCAAAGTCGCAGTCGTGCACTGTACCAAACGACTTCGAAGCTCGACCTGAAATGATGAAGAAGGAACGCCTTGGCACCACGGCTCGATCCGTTACAGCCATCAGGGATTACGAACACAACTGCCATGATATTCAAGGCTTGCCTATTGTTCAATCTTGACACAACCTAAAAGCGGTCACAAGAGGAAGAGCGTCAAGGTATCAAGCCAAAAGAGAGCGACACAGCCCATCAAGACAGCTACCAAGCCTCCGGCGATGATGATCACGACGATGGTGTATACACAGTGTTACCGAAGCCTAAAATAAAGTGGCAAAATTTTGGAAGAAGGTGAGTAACACCTGGACTTGCAGAATTTCTCCTGTTCCACTTCCTCTTTTTAGGTCAGTTGCTTACCATTGTCAGACGGTAACTAAGTTGTTTTCAGACCTCATGGGAGCATCATCCTTGGAACGCTGGGCATACTTGATCGGGGTTATTGAGAGGCAAATCAGGATGGGAGAAGTACTTTTGTACAGCCTGAAAGATAGTTAAGGGTGTAACTACTCTGAAAGTCAAGTTTATACTTTTGATTCACAAGATAAATCCTCTGTAGCAGAAGTAAACATCTTTTGACACTTTGACCTCATAAGATTAAGAATATAGTGATAAGTGAATGTGCGAATTTTCATAATATGGAGAAGTTAATACAGCAATGAGATTTGACCGACCTTCAAGAAGTTCAATATTATAGTTCATATAGACTGGAATCTAATGGAAATTGTCTTAAATCAGGTAGTAAATACTGTCAGAGGAATCCCTTCAGGCGTCTTTGGAAGGGTAGCAAAGGATATTATATTCACAGTAAAAGACCCGTATTTTATCATTGTCGAATGCTGAATCATGGTATAGCGTGCTCAAAGTTTTTTCTCCTTTGTCTTGTCTCCTACTCAGCCTCTCCCTCAGCCTCTCCACAGCATGATGCCCTGCAGTCACTCCTGCTACGGTGCCTTCTAGATTGTGGGGTCTCAAAACCTCTCAAGTATCGAGTCTCATACATGTGAGGGCCGAGGATTTCACGGGGTAGAAATTATTTATCTTTGAATTAGACATAGTTTTCCAGTGGAATTCAACATGTCTTGAAGACATTATTGGACAGGGCTATAAATACGACGTAATTCTTTGATAGTGGCAATAGAAGGATGCCATGAAATGAAGCTTCACTAGTGTGTTTTCGTCTGATGTGAGGAACATAGTTGAGAACGGAAAATGTCATTTTGTTCAGCACCGTTTAAATTTTTCAGGGAGCGTTGATATAACAAAAAAAGACTAGGCAAGGCTAGAGAAACGGCGTATGATACACGTGCTCCATCTGTGGTTGTATTTGCGCACCAGTAATCGCTGGAGGTTTGCCAACCGGCAATATATTTTGGCTGAGCGCGAAGCTTCCAGACGAACAAGACTCAACAGTTTGCAATCAGACTCTGGCTGGACTTCTGCTCATCTTCTTGCGCTCGTCGATCCCAAAATGGCGGAACGCGTCCTTCGAACAAGGAAACCACTCCCATCATCACCGATTCGAGGTTTACAGCAAGGTCGTCAAGTCCCGCAACCTACGGCTGCGGCAGATACCAGTGCTAGATCTTCAAGATCCAAGAGTAAGTGGATCTTCTCCGCTCTTATTTCGACGCTCTTCACCTAACGTGCGGTCTATGTAGATACGGTGGACTCGGCAAACTCCTTACAACCATCACCAAGCGCAACAAGGACCTCCAGTCAACGATCTCGATCAGCCAAGTACTATGAGGAGTTCTGTTGGACCTGAAGGACACATTTTCGTAGCACCTGATAACAAGCATGTGTTCTTCAACTGGCACCCTGATTGTCTTATGAAAGCATCACATGCCTTTGGCTTGTTTTGCAGCACCTGTCGGGACCAGCCAATGAACTGGATCCCCGGCGATATGCCTCCGCCCACAAATGCTCAGGGTGAGCTGATCATGATCGGGCCAGAGGAGGGAATGGTCAAAGGTGTTCATCTACAAGAAGAAGAAGCAGTGGCTGTTGAGTCAATTGTGGCATCATTGAATTTCCTCTCCTGGAGATACACAGAAATTGATGGGTTCACAGAGATTATGGGAAGATACCCAGAGTCTGTAGAGGCTGGCGAAAGAATTGCAGATCTATAGAGCGATCTTCGTCGACAAGCTCTTCATGCTGCGACGTCTTACCATACTTCTGGGAAGTTGTCACTTCTGCCTGTTTTTGCCGCACTTAGACGCAGAACGGTTCAGGAAGGAGATTATGGAGACTTTCAAGAAGCACCGCAAGGACACCGAGGCCAGTGGAGGTGAAGAGCATAGAGACAACTCTCAGAGACGCGAGCCGGGTACGAGTGGAGAAGAACATCGTTTGGGGAACTTTATCAATCCTGATCATGAACTCCTGATGCAATCCAGGAGACAAGTAACCGGCACGGCGATTCATGCCGCAGTTTTTTAAGGTTGATGCCAACGACTGGGAGTTCATGGAAGGAACAGATCTCTCCGCGCCCATCTTAGGTTTCGCCGAACCCCATAAGTTCTTCCTGATTCGATTCAAGAGAAGTGACCCTATAGTCGTGGATGTGCGGGAGTATCCTAAGCTCAGAGGTTTCGATTAGAATTCGAAAGAGCATGTCGCTGCCTTGGCCAAATATCGCTTTCAGATCTCTTTACGAATGGGCAAGCGTGTTGCAGAACGTCAGCATCTATGAACCGAGGAAGAATTGAACGCACTCAGGTGTCTCCTCAAAAAGGATCCCCAAGCCGGCAAGACTAGAGCAACGATCGATTGGGAGGGCACGGCAAAGAAACTTGCCAAAGCTTTCGAGGGCATCACGCAGAAGAAGGACACACCGTTGGGCCGAACAAGCGTCTTAGTCGATGGAGTATATGTCATACAAAAGCATGCTAAGTTACCTGTGGCGCGAACTGGTGGTGTCATTCGATCAGCAATTGCTTTACAATCACAAGCATTCAGATACGCCGATATTCGTACATTGTTCGACGAGCCATCAGAACCTTCTACAGCATCACAAACCTTGAAGAGGGGGCGAGAAACTACTGGTGAAGATGAGGATGAGACTGAGGAAGAAGAGACTGTTTCGGAGCCAGAGCAGGTGGTTACCCTGCAGAAAAAAAGACTAAGAATTCGCAAATCCAAACCCCAGGCCGGCCACGACGACGAAGAGAATGACGAGTTGTACACTGCATAGATTGGTGGATGTTTGCGTCTCTTACTTTCTTGACTTGGTAGTCTCTGGTTGTCAACAGGCTACTAGTGACCTTCTCGAGTTTGACAAAGTTTCTGGACAGGAACCATGAAGATTTTGGTAGGCTTGATGAGGAACGTAGAGGTTATTATTAGGAAGTTAGCACGCAAGTGAGAGTAATTTGGGGAGGAATACTGGAATAATCACAGATTGTGGCTTATTGTATATGTACAGACCAATACCTACCATACATGCTTCCTTGCACTTATCTGTACTTATCTGTGACTCAGTCTGATGTTGGAGCTTACCACTTCGCGGTGTATTTCTTCCAACCTTTAGAAATCGGATTGGCGATTCGAAAGCTGATTATCAACTCAAAAACACAAGCGCCGGGGGAGCGGCACTTCTACCTGATTTCTTCTCCGAAAGAAATTTGGCGGCGAGCTTATTTGAAACGTGCCACTGCAACTTTTATCCAACCAACATTCTCCTTTCCAGTCTGACAAAAATCTTATTAGCAGCGTAGCCCTCATTTGGCAATTCGGCACAATTATGGATGGCTCACGCCCTGCTGACGGGAAGCCAACTCCATTCGAATCATGGTCTTGAGGTAAGCAAAATTCATCCTACCTTGCCAGGCCTGCAAAAAGCCCAAATGCCATTTTCTCGCACCCCGGCCTCTTCTGTACTTTTATATACTCTTTTGACTCTGGTTCATATGCTAATCAGGTCGCAGAACCTCTTATTCCTGCCTGCTAAGGACGAGTGCGGCTTCAAGGGTGGTAAAAGCGAATCAACCAAACAGGGAGAGTTACACCGGGAGAAGAGTTCACGCAACCCATGGAGGCCATACGGAAGCATTGATCTACAGATATATATCTGCAGAGTTATATCAAGGTTGCTGAAGTCCACAATGATTTTGAAAGGTCCGAAGGGTAGTAGGTTCCCCTTTGGGCAAATCTCTGCGACAGGGAATGCTGGAGTCTTTGATGCTGGTGCTTTTAATGGAGGGGATATGGTGCGGACTGATAATTGGATGGATGGGCTATTGATAATTATAAAAGCACTTGTATAGTTCATTGCCAGATCCGCTGGCTCATTGAAGTCTCATAAATCTATTTTATCTCTCTCAAGATGGATTCCTTGTAATTCTTTGGATTGGGAGAATTCTCAAGTCCCCCGAATCACAATTGTAACATTCATTCTAAAGAAGCTCATCAGGATGTCTGTCTCAGGAAATGAAAGACGACAGCTGAAAGGCTCCTCACCGCCACACTCTGGTCATGTCCGCCTGAGATGTGTGTCCATCAAGCATCTCCTTCCCATTTCTCCTCATGAGTGGCTCCCGACTTGTACAGTGGGGTAAAGCCGCAACACAGAAATAGTGGATTTCAAGAACTCTTTCAATAGTTGCCGAACACTTCCATATACCTAGCTCGCTTCCCGACCTCTCCTCTCCTCTCCTCTCCTTTATTTTAGAACAACCATTATATCGTCACTCGCGCGGGTCCGATACCATCGATTTGTAAAATATTAGAACACGGTGTGTTTGTGGCTGGATAAACTTAGCAGGAACTACGGACTATACTTCGAAAGCGGATACTTTCCCAAATCGCTCAACCGTAGAGTCTGGCCGATTTGTCAATTGAAAAGAGAGAGATGGACTTGCCGATTATTGAAAAGTTTGCAGAAGCTCTGCTTCGCCAGATCGGCAACACAATAACCACTGTTCCGACATTTTGTTTTCCGTCCTCGTCCTCAATGGCAACACTCCATCCCTTCTTCAATATAAATATAATATAACCACCCCCATAGTAGTGGATAGCTAGATATGGAAAGCATCTCGCCTGGCGGGATCTCAGGCACATGAAACGTCGATTATTGCATTGCGGTCCAGCTTCGGCTTCGTACAGAAGGTTATTAGGTGCGAGAGGAGCTTCAAAAGCTACGGAGTTGGGAGACTTGGAATCGAATTGTGCTGTAGGATGGTATTCGCAGATCTGCATGGAAAAATGATTGTCAGCATTCCTCTGCAGATTAGGTACAAGTGAGCCCTGGCACAGAGTCGGGGTGCAAGGGATGGGGAGGGATAGTACTTAAGTGTTAGCCTATTGAATCCAAGTAGAGAGAATGAAATTAAGTTCAGATGCGTGTATCAGGTGAGCAGTAAACACGCTAGCTAAAATAAACAAACTCCCACTCTCTTAGCTTCCACCATCTTAGCCTTCATCCCCTCGGCTTCCAACATATTAGCTTCTACCATCTCAATTCTTACTGTAAATCTCCATTGTAAGTCTGCATTATGCATCTCTCTCTTCTTGTTTATAAAGTAAGTATGCATGTATCTCCTTTCAATCTCCTTCTCAATCAAGATATGTACCACCATTTGCAGCAATCACTAGTACTAATTCTCTTCTAGAACGCGTTTATCACACAAGTAGGAGTGCAAGTCAGGAGTGCAGACAAAAGGGCAGGCAGGAGGGCAGGCAGGAGGGCAGGCAGGAGTGGATGGCATATATACCCTGAGTGTGAATAATTCCCGACAAAATCCCTAACTTGTACTGGATATATTATTCAGTAGATATCCGGGTTGCTACAGCAGGGTTTGGGCCCAAATTCTCCATACATCCCGAATAAGCCTTGGACTTGTACTGTATTCTTGCTAGACAAGATTTATTGCGATAAATTCTAGACTATGACTACAACTCATTTAGCAAAACTCCAGTCATTGCTACCGTAGGGTAAGGCTCGCACTTCTCGTGTCTCAATCAAATAAATCATCGCAAGTCGCAACCGCCCACAGAAACTCGTGTTTCTCCCTTTCCACCTCTTGGGAGTCTCACAGCGATCGTCTCTCAGTCAAACAGATCAACACATAAGCCTAGGATTTATGCCCAAAGGTCGCGCAAAATGCTGAAATGCTGGATTGTGAAGTACTAAGCTGATGATTTGCAAAAGTACTTCAGTTTCTATGGCATCTTACACTAAGATCCAAGTACATTGCAAAACATTTGATTTAACACGTTCTGTTCGACCTAACTTTTACTTTAGCTTCCTCTCAAAGTGCGTGGAAGATGGAGAAGAAAATACAAAGTTTTATGCGCTGAAACATAAGAGTAGGATTATATTTGGGGGTAGAGGGCCGCGCCGGGCTGGGGGGTGCTTGCTCTTTTGAGAAGTGGAGCTACCATCGCTTCAAAACCCGAAGGCCGAGGGAGTTCCCACTTCTCAGTGATTATAATTTCAGGTCCCCGTATTACAATCTTCCTCCTCAAGTCAGCTCATTTTCCCGCTCTCCAGGGCCGGAGGAGCCTCCCCTCCCTTTACAGCTGCGCTTAACTGCCCTAGACTTCCCACCCCTCTTACTATCCCAAGGCCCTGAATCTCCTGGCACTCTAGACTTTAGGGGAGCATTAGATCAGAGGGGGAGCCCCGGATTAGAGAGGGAGTTTTAAAGAAGAAGCTTTTCTAAGTACTTGGATTCAAAGTGCTATAGAAACTAAAAATAATGTTGTAATTCAGTAATTCATAGTTCAGCATTTCAAAATTTGTACACGATCTTTGGAGCTTAAATTAGCGGGTTTTTCGTATAATTCTAATTAAAACTTGATTATTTAAAATTTTGCACCTTTGTACTTGCGGCTTTAGGGCATTAAAGTCTTACAACTTTACAGTATTATATATTTAAAAAAAAGATGTTGAGCTCTAGACTAATCGAAAGACCAAATTGTATTCTATTATCATCACATAAATAGAGTTGTATAGTTTTAAATCCTAGCCTTCGGTGTAGCTCAGCACTTAGCTCTCAAATTCTCTCTGCCTGGAAAGCACTCTCATTCACAGCCTCCCTGTCTTATTCCCTGCTCTTTCTATCCTTACTCTCCCTCTCCCTACTCTTTCTCTCCCTACTCTAGCGTTCTCAATAAGTAGGTCGGACATTCTTTGGCCTTGAACCATTACCCGTACTAGTACGGATTCGAACGAACAAATGTCCGTCACCATCACGATCCTAAACAACTTTGGACGATTTTAATTACTAACATAAACAAAACTTATTGATAGTATATTTTTAATTCCAAATTCAAATTTCAAGCTTTAATTTCAAACTTCAACCTCAAAATTCAAGCTTTTAACACGTTTATTTTAGGCTTGCTATAGTAAAAGGTTTCAAGCTCTAAAACCTTATTTAAAGCACCCTAACCTCCTCTAATTTTTAAAGCCAGCTTCCACCCCGGCTTCGACCCCTAGGGTAGACGGGTAGTCGGGTATTAGCAGTTTTTTTTGAGCTGATATCCGTGTCCGCCAATAAGATAACGGACATTTAAAAAACTATGTCCGTAAGCAACCTAGACGGACTGTTCTTGTCGGACACGCTAAAAATGCCTGTTCATTGAGAACGCTGTCCTACTCTCCCTCCCCCTCCCAAGCCTCCCTGGCCCTAAACACATCCCCCATCGCCATAACCCTCATAGCCTCCCTAAGCTTGTCCTCTCTCTCTCCAGAGCTTTAGGAAGTCAAAACCAGGATTTTGATAATAACAAAAACTTTTAACGGCTTCTGCGTAGCTATTAAAGCTTCAGCAAAGACTCGTTTTTCGCTTCAAAAATCACCGCAAAGTTTCAAAAACTCAGTACCATAAAGTCGCAAATGCAAAAGTGCATAGCCTTAAAAAATTAGGTTTCTGCCGGAATTGGACAAGAGCCCCGCTATAGCGGGGCTCTTGTACTATTTTGGCCAAAACCTAAATATTTGCACCTTTGCATTTGCGGCTTTAGGGTTTTGCACCTTTGCGGCATTAGAGTGGAGTGTTTCATTGCAGAGTAGAGTGTGCCACTATTCCCAAGACCCTTATTCCAAGCTCTCCAGCCCAGCTCGCCAGCCCAGCTCATGCTTCCTTATTATACACCCCCCCC